CAATTCACAGTGTCACCTGCAGTATATGAGAGTCTCACTCAGTTCCAGATATTCGCCAACAAGGGGTGACATTGGGTCTCTTATTCTTCTCCATTTAATTGGTGTGAAATTGTATCTCATTGTGTGTGTTTTTTTTAAAGTTAAACTTTTAATATGAGATAATGGTAGATTCACATGCATCGTAAGGAATAATACAGAGAGATCCTGTGCACCCTTTACTGAGTTTCCCTCAATGATAACATCTAGCAAAACTACAGTAAAATATCACAACCAGCATAATGGCATGGATGCAATGTCAGATCTGATTGTCATTTTCCGTTGCTTGTACTCATCCGTACGTGTGTATATGTGTGTGTGTGTGTGTGTGTGTGTGTGTGCATGAGTATTTAATTTCATGTAATTTCATTGCATGGGTAGGTCTGTGCGTACATCACCACAGTTGAGATCTGGAACAATTCTATCACCACAAGGATCTCATCTGTTGCCCTTTTCTAAGCACACCCACTTTTCTTCCTCTCGTCTATAAGCTCTGGCAGCCACCAGTTTGTTCTCCATTTCTATAATTTTGTCATTTCAAGAATGTTATATAAATGCAGTCATACAGCATAGAAACTTTGGGATTGGGTTTTTTTTTCCTCAGCATAATTCTCTGAAGATTCATCAAAGTTGCATGTGTCAATAGTTCTTTTTAATGGCTGGATAGTGTGCCACGGTACCACATTTTGCTTGATCATTCATCCGTTGAAGGACATCTGGGTTGTTTCCAGTTGGGCTATTACAAATAAAGCAGCTACTAACCTTCATGTATAGGTTTTTGTGTTAACATAAATTTCTATTTCTTTTGGATAAATTCACAAGAGTGCCATTGCTGGGTGAATGGTAATTGCAAGTGTAGTTTTATAAGAAACTGCCAAACTACTTACAGAGTATTTGTCCTATTGTACATTCTCATCACCAATGGGTGAGTGATCCAATTTCTCTGCGTTCCCACCTGCGTTTAGAGTCATCACAATTTTTTATTTTAGTCATTCTGGTAGGTGTGTAGTGACATCTTATGATGATGTTAATTCACATTTTTCTAGTGGCTGGTGATGTTAAACATCTTTTCCTGTATTTCTCTGTCATTTGTATATTCTCTTTGGTGAAATGTCTGTTTGCATCATTCGCCCATTTTCAAATTGCATTGTTTTCTTATTGATGAGTTTTGAGATTTCTTTATAAATACTCTATATAAGTGTACTTTGTCAGATATGTGGTTTTCCAATATCTTCTCCCAGTCTTTAGCTTGTCTTTTCATCTTTTTAACAGCATCTTTCTCAGAGCAAAGTCTTTAATTTTGATGAGGTCCAATTTGTTGAGTTTTTCTTTTATAGCTTGTGCTTTTGGTGTCAGGTCCAACAGCACTTTACCTAGTCCTGGATCCCAGATCCCAAATATTTTCTCCCACTTTTTTCCAAAAAACTTATAGTTTTATGTTCTACATTAAATCTAGGATCCATTTTGAGTTAATTTTTGAATAAGGTGTGAGGTTTTTTTCATAATGGATACAGCACTATTTGTTGAAAAGGGTGTCCCTCCTTCATCGAATTATTATACAGAAATGACGGCCTCAGCCAGCCACACCAGCCTAGAAGATTTTAGTGCCACTTTTTTTCTAGTCATAAAGTGACTGGAAAAACCCTTACCTTTCATTTTTTTGGTGATATATTTTACTTTGAAATTCAGAGATTTCCTACTCAAGAATCATAATCTCGTCCCTTTGTTTTTGCTTCAATAAGTAGCCTTTTATTGTGGTCATAGAGATTTAGAAAAATGTGGCAGAAGGAGAATGCCTCATCCAGAAACCTCAAGCAGAGTTTGAAAAAAGAAGCAGGAGGAAAAAAAAAGAAAAGAAAAACAAGAGAGGGCCTGGACTTCCGCTTGTATTTGGTCACTTTTTACCTGCGTTGCCTCCGTCTGCTTCCCTGTCTGTAAATGGGAACCACAGTCCCTTCTCCACAGACGCCTTGCGATAGTAACATCCCACGCATACAGCTTCCGGTCCAGGTCCGGCCGGCTGCAGCACGCTTCTGGTCCCCAGGGGATGGATGGAAGAGCAAAGGTCTTTCTCCGGGGGGTCTGTCACTCCTTCTGAGGCCGGAGGAGGCTGGTCTTAGAGGTGTGGTAGGGAGCTGAGCAGTTGGTGAGTGGACAGCTTAGATTAATATGTAGGATGCCGGGATGAGGGTGCCATAATGTGCTCCCCACCCCGCCCCCCACACAGCGCATCCGCCTCTGGGAGCCCTGGCTGTAGAGGAGATCAGTGACGTAGGGGATTAGGAAAAGTCTGCCTGGCCTCTTCCTGCTGCCCCCGCACCTGGGGCTCTCCGCCTTGGAGATTAGTGGGTGACAGCTTTGCCAGGGGACAGACATTTAAATGTCAGCTTTCGTTTAAAAGAGCGGGTCTAAGATGAGAGGGAAGAGAAGATAAGCCTTCCTCCCCGCCTCCTCCAGCAAATCAGTCCCGTGCTTTCCCGTGCGTCCGAACCCTCTCCAAACTGGCGCCTTAACTCTTCCTTCTAAGGAGCCTCGCTCTGCAGGCAGGTGTGGTGGCCCTGAGAGATGGGGCAGGTGCTGGCCCCAAATGCAGAGCTGGAGGCAGCAGTCAGAGAGGGAAAGACGCGAATCATGTCTTGGAAGCATAGAAGGTTCTTAATCTACTTTCCCAGACATAGGAGGAGGGCAGTCAAAGGACCCCAGCAGGTGTAGGCAGCTCTTCGCAACAGCGCATGCCCAGCACTGAGGGCAGTGCCATTCTCGCGGTTCATTTGTTCGTTTCTTCATTGATTCCCTTAACCCTACATTTGGGAGTTTATTTACTTATTTGCGCCTTCACTGGGGACCAACCAGCTGGCCCAGCCAGCCCCCCAGTGAATATTTCTGTAGCTTCTCTTGTGTACCTGGCCCGGTGCCCAGCCCTGGGGACACAAGTGATAAAAACACGGTGCCGCTGTGCTGCGGAGGAGGCTGGACCGGTTGTGGGCCAGAGCGGCGAGTGCTGGCCCTGGCACGCTCCTGGACATAGCAGGGGCTCTGCCACACGCGTGTCTTTGCAGGCATGAGCCCGACCTCTGTGACTCTGGCCAGTGCCCTGCAGGTCAGGGGCGAAGCTCTGTCTGAGGAGGAGATCTGGGCCCTCTTGTCCCTGGCTGCTGAGAGGCTCCTGGAGGACCTCCGTGATGGTAAGAGAGTGTTTGCGGCCGTTGAGTCACGGGGGATGATGTGAAGCTTCTCAAACAAGCACATTTCTGGCTGCTGCTTCTCCATCTGTTATCAGTCCAAAGTGTTAGGGCAAGTAGGCAAATGACACCCACCATGGAGCTGTGCTGGGAGGGCGGGCCCGTCTTGTGGACCCAGAGTTGAAAGAGTGGCCTCGTTCTGCCTTGAGATTGTATGTCTAGGCCTGGTCACTAGGGAGAGAGTGGGGGCAGCTCCGTGGGCCTCTCCCACCACCTGGACAGTCTGCGCATAACCAGAGATGGGAGGCAGCAGGTAGCCACGGGATCAGCGGACATCCCATACTGTCCTCCGTGAGATGCTGTGCCAGCTTGAGTCCCATCAGGAGAGAACGTGCACACTCAGTGGTCTAAACGAGATGAGCGTGTGTTAATATAAAGAATTCTTAAACTCCGACCGAAGAATAACTGTAAGATATAAGAAAAGTCCACATGGTCCCCCAGGGCTGAGGGCTGTACCCAATGAGCGACAAACTTTGAAGGGAAGCCCCCTCCCCAGGTTGGGGTTCAGATGTGCCGGAGTTGCTGTGTTTGCAGCCCGTGATGACAGCTGCTCTGCCTGGCCATGGTGGTCTGCAGGCACTGGACAAGCCGGGCGCAGGCGATCGCCAATAGGGGCGGGGTGACTCTGGGTGGAGCCGGGCGCAGGCGGGCACAGGCCAACACAGGTGAGCCCCAGCTCCGGAGCCGGGGCGCGCGGGAGGCCTGGAGCCCGCAGCGTCTGTGTAGACGGGGTCGCAAGAAGGCGATCGCTTGGCTGAGGGATCACGCGTCCTGGACGTGTGTCGGGGCGGAGCGTCACCCGGTGTCCCCAGCACACACCGCTGATCCCCCCAGAAACGGCAGGAGAGCCCGCCCCCCGCGCTGTCTCTCCGGCGCCCTCTACTGAGAAAGCTGAGCATCGCGCTCGCTGAGAAGGAGAGATGCTGAGGGGGGAGCAGGTACTGAAAGATGGAGCTGCGAGGCATTAAATCTATAACTGGAACAAACACTGGATGCTCATACTCAGAGTTCAGCTCAGAAGTCACGCGTGCTCCCCCCATGTGAGACCACACATGCGCAGTCAGGGTGAGTGTCTAGCTGGGGAGACAAGGGAGGCTGCGCACCCGTACCTACAGCTCCATCTCCTCCCAGAGCCTTCACGCCCTCTTCCCCGCCCTGGAGGTTCCGATGAACAGCTACAGTGTGTCCAGAAGACCAGCTGCCTTGGTCCCTGGCTTGGCCCCAGGCCACTCAGAATTGTGCTAATTTCCAGGTGGATCTGACCTCTTTACATTTTACTTTGGGACTCTTGGCCCCTGATGAACACTGATGCAGGTGCTGTTATCCCGGCCACCTCTGCACCCACCTTCTGTAACACCTGCTCCTGGCACACACGCATCAGGGCTGAGTTTGTTCCGCTCCGTGGTTCCCCGGGTCTTGTTCGCTATCCCTCCCAGAGGAGGATCCTGCAGGGCACCCCCCCCCCCCCCCCCCCCCCCCCCCCGCCCCAGGCATGGTTCCATGCTGGCCCTCCAGACAGCCGCCTGTCTCTACCCCCCCATCACTGCCTTGGTTTCAGATTCCTCGGACTATGTGGTCTGCCCCTGGTCGACCCTGCTTTCTGAGGCCGGAAGTCTTTCTTTCCAAGACCATAGTTCCCATGGAGAGGCTGCTCCTTTCAAGGCCCCTGAACTGCTTCAGGGACAGAGTGACGAGGAGCGGCCGGATGCGTCTCGGGTAAGGCGTGTGGCGTCTCTGCAGCGGCCTCCGGCCCCACCTCCAGGAAGGCCTGCGTCTAGGACCTCGGACCTGTCCTGGGGGTGGCATCCCCTGCTCCCAGCTCAGCCCAGAGGAACACCGGACAGAATGAGTTTTAAAGAATTTTATTCCCAGACTGTCTTGCCAGTAACTTATTAGCTCTTAGATGAGGACAAGTCAACTTCTCTGAGCCCTAATTTCTGCATCTTTTAAGTGGGGTTAATATGACCTAATCCACGAGCTTGTTGTTAACATTCAAGAAGAGGTGTTGGGAAAGCTGTGGGTAGATGGTCTGGCACATTGGTTCCATTGGCAACATGTAGCAAAACCCCTCAAAAGGACCCAAAAAGCCCTCAACTAGGAATTTATCCAAAGGCATGAGTAAAGATTGATTTAGCTGCAGCAATGTTTATTGTTGAATTGTTGACATTGGTGATAAATTGGAAACCAACTACATGTTCAATGAGAGTGGATGTGAAACAAGATAGTGTTAAAATGAGGCTGTAGAAGCTTGTTGAATGACCTGAAAAGAAATTAAATATATGCATTTACGATGTGATCCTAGTTGTGTAAACACACACAGAGGGGGAGAGAGAGCGGAAGTTCTAAAAATATACGCACCAAGGTGTCTGAGTGATTATTTCTGGATGGCAACATCAGTGGCGAATTTTGTTTTTTCCATGGACATGTTTTGCTTCTGAATAGCAGAAAGTTCTAGTAAACATTATTTTCAATTTGATAGAGAAGGAACTCCAAGGAGAGAAGGGTGGAGGACAGGCGCACGGTAGGCATTTCCTCGGTGCATTCTGTTCCTTTTTTCCTTGTCATTTCATGGGAGAATAGGGCCCCAGGGGCTTCCAGGTTTGGTCGGTCTGGGCCCACGTGTCTCCAAGTCGGATGACAATAGAGAAAGCATTGGAGTCCCAGTTGCAGTGGCCCCGGCTCCATCACCCCCCCTCCCCCCCCGCCCCGGGACTCCTGGCCCCTGCACCCTTTCCTCACGGCCAGGATCCCAGGGCTCCTGTGTTGGGTGCAGACTGGGTGCCTCTCAGATACCCTCTGTTCAGGCCTCTCTGGTGAAGTTCCACTCACACCAAGTTGCCTCCTACTCTCTGGACTCAGTTAAGATGCCACATCCTGAGCCATGGGATCTGACTTTCTGAGCCACCACCTGAGGGGCCTGCTGGTGCAGCGTGAAAGGGCAGGGGACCTAGTTTCCCAGGGGGTGAGCCTTAACCAATGGCAAATGAGAGTTGGGAGGGAACTGAGAAGATTAATTCTCCCCTATATCTTTCCTCCTGAACTGCTTCGAGATGGGCGAGTCTCAAAAGCTTCCAGAGGAGTTCTGAGTGCTAGGAAGCTAGGTCTGCTGTCCTTCCTGCTGCGCTCTGTGGCTTGTTGCAAGGAGATGGCCAGCATGGTGACCCCAGCCATCACATCTGCTTTGCTTCCCTTCCCCTTTTCTCTTCACCCTCATTGCCCTGAGTTTATAGCCCCTGAATGAAGTATCAGTACTTAATCCTTGCCTCAGGCTCTGCTTTCTACAGGACTTGAGCTAAGACAGATCTTGAGTGCCCCTGGGGTCCTTCCCCATCCCTCCCAGCATCCCTGGTGAGGAACAGACATCACCCTCCTGGCTTCAGCCTGGCCTCCACTGAGTGTCTTGTGAAGGCCTAGTGGCTCCTCTCCTCAGAGCATCCTTGAGCTGAGCTGAGCTGGAGGAAAACATCCTCCTGCACATGTTCCTCCATGCAGAGGAATGAGGGCTCCAGGAGTTCTTAGGGTGAAGGAATAGGCTGAGCTAACAACTGGGGAGGTGTGTTGTGGGGGTGTGGCTTAAGGGCCGCAGCCGCCAGCCTTGGGCCCTGTTCCTGCAGCCGGAGGGCAGGGTTACCTGGCCGTTCTCTCTCTTACAGCCTCCCTGCCCCTCAGTTCCATTAATTATCGTTCCCTTCTGTTCATCGCAGGCTCCTCTCTTTGTCTCACTTGGCTCAGGTCCCGTGGTGGGGGGAGTGGGGGTTGGAGGCTCAGGAAGGTGGTCCCAGGAGAGGCGGTGCTCAGGAGCCTCCCCGGCCCTGGGCCCCATTCTGAGGTTTGAAGGGTGCACCTTGACACCTCTCCTCGGGCCAACACGGGGGAAATTAAGACATTTCCCCGACTCCTCGGGATGTTAGGCCCAGGTGCAGGGGAAGGTGTGGGCAGGTCTCTAACTACAAGTCATTCATTCCACTGTCACCCACCCCATGCTCATGGCAGACATCACCAATCGATCATGGCTTCTTTCCCACTGAACCGGGAGTGGCCTTCAAAATCCTTCTGACCACCCTTCTCCGGGCGGTGTCCACCAATGGGCTGGATTTGGGATTTGGGGTGAAGCCTGCTGTCTTGTGGCCCTGGGCTTTGCTCTGGGACACTTTTAGAGCCCTGGGAACCCAGGTAGGTGCCTAGGTGTGGACGATGCCTCTGGTGGGGCTCAGGACGTCCACTTGCGGGGTCATTTCTCTGGATGAGGGTGCAGCTTGCGAGCCTTCCTGCAGGTGTCACCCAGATGGGGGACTGACTGGTTCAGGGGCACAGACTCAGACGAAGAAGAGGCCTAACGGGCGCATGGGGCTCGGGACGCGAGCCCCTGATCTAGAGATGTGAACTCCGGAACCAAGCCCGCTTGTGTTGAACTCCACAGGTAGCCCAAGTGACCGCGTGGTTTACGTACCGTGCTTGTTAATCCAGCCTCTTCCTTCCAGAGCCCCACAAGCCTTAAGGTCTGGAGAGAGACCTCAGGGGGCTGTGCCTGGTCGGTTATAATAGAAACCTCACGATAATACACACTGACATTTAGTGAGGACGGCGTGTAACCCAGGGGCGACACAGCCCAGTGGCTCAGGGCAGGGGCTCTGGCTCCGTGTTCAAGTCTAGGCTTTATGTCTTCTTTGGGCCAGTTCCCTAACTTGCCTTTGCTTTAGTTTCCTTCTTTGTAAATTGGGGACGATTAAAATACTTGCCTCCCAGGACTGTGGTGAGGAAAATAAGTTAATATTAGTGAAAGACGTAGGGCAAGCCTGGGTATATTATAAGAGCTCCATGTCCAATAATAATGATAACACTTATTATTATTAATACCATCTTTAGGTACTTTTTACTCAATCGTCCTAAGTTTTCAGGCAGAATACTCACTTCAAAGATGAGGAAACTGAAGCTCAGAGAAGTCAGTGCTCTTCTATGACACCATGTTGCTTTGTGACAACATAGGATGCTTTTCAATCAGGTTGAATAACAGTGTGTCAAGAAGAAGAAAGCCTAGAACATGGTGGCTGGAACCACAGATATAATTATTATTTACTTAATGAGAGGTTTAAGGATTGGTCAGCAGCTTAGTAAATGTCATCAAGGTTCCAGGTGTATATTTCCATTCTACTCTCATTAGCTGCTGCCTTTTTGTCCTTAGACTTGTTGCCGCCTGGTCACAAGATGGCTGCCATGATTCCAGGTATCACATCAGTGTTCAAGGCAGGAACAAGGGGGAAAGCATGGACCAGTCCCATGTGCTCCTATTGCCAGTGAAGCAAAAGCTTTCTCAGAAGTCCCCTAACAGATTTCTCAGATGTCTTTCGCCAAAATTGGGTGTCATGGTGACCCGGGTCTTCAGCCTCTAGAGTCAGAGGCAGCAAAGTTTCAGGGAGCTGCAGATGGCTGTTGGGCTAGCCAGCCAGCAGTGGGAATTGCATGGGAATTATCCCACGTGGGAATTGCGTCATATGTCGTCTGCGGGATGGTGGAGCAGCAGAGGTGACTGGAGTCTAATCACATGCTTTTCTCTCGGGCAGATGCACGTCTATTCTCTAGGAATGACCCTCTACTGGTCAGCGGGCTTCCATGTTCCTCCAGACCAGGTCTGTACCCACGATCCTCGCCGCCTCGCCAGGTGGTGCCTGTGGCTTGGTTTAGCGGTTTTGGCCGGGGCAGGGGAACTCTGGGCCTCCGCTCCATGCTCCCGGGTTCTGGGAAAGCACTGCCAACCGATGCCAGACCTGCTCCTGCCCAGTCCAGGAGGAACCTCCAAATCCATCCACGTGGCACCCTAGGCAGCCATGATCTGGGATTGGCAAGCGAGAGATGATGTATCTGCCACTCCCACTCAGAGACTAGCGAGCAGGAGAGTTTTACAGATGCTGACGACGCAGAGTCAGACAGCGGGTGAAGCCCCCTCCTGCAGTGGGAAGCCTCCCGGAAGAGGGTCTGGTGCCCCATCGATTCGGGACAGTGCTCCCCGGATATCTTCCTCTCTGAGATCTTTCAGAGTGTTTTCTTAGAGACGCTGGGAAGGCTTGAAGCACAGAAAGGTTTAAACTTTATCATGGTATTTTACAAAATTTTTGACGACAGAATATGTGTGCAAAATTTTCATCTGACGCTGTAAGAATTCCTTAGAAACCAGTGAAACAGGAGCACACGCTGGAGACCTGCCTGGCCTGCCCATCTTCCTCCCTGCCTCCCTTCCTCCCTCTCTCCCTTCCTTCCTCCCTCCCTGTCTTCCTCTTTTCCTTCCTTCCCACCCTTGCTCTCCAATGTAACATCCCAATGCTTCTCTGTGCTCCTTCTAACACAGACACCTGCTCACATTCCTCCTCCTGTGACTTCTTCCTCGGCTCCCCTCGACCCACGAGGTTACTTCCCACTCCTCAGCAGGACACACCTGGAGCCCAGAGCTGGGCTCCTCCCTGTGGGGCTGGTCCCTCTCTGGCCCTCTGCTGTATCAGGCCTGGTTTCATGGGCATGTGGCCTGTGTAACAGCACGGGGCCTGCGCTTACAAGGGCCCCATGCTTGATTTAATGCTCTGCTGTCAGCGTCTTGAAATCCTTCTCAATCTTGAACAAGGGGCCCCACTCCTGCCCATGGGCCACGTCCTTTCAGGCATACGCCCACCTTTGCACGTTTCTCCCTCCACCTGAGGCCCGCTCCTCCACCTTTCTCCTTGTTAATTAACCCCAGCATACTTTTTGAAATACAGTCCAAGCTCCTCCCTCCCTCCCCAGCCTGGGTTAGGCTCCTTCCTCTGTGTTATTTCCATGTCTTGTGCTTCCCGAGACCAGAGCACTTATCACCCTGTCCTGTCCTTGTCTCTTTAAGTGACCGCCTTTCCCAGCAGACTGTGAACTTCCCGAAGGTGGGCCTGTCTCCCACCCCTGTCCCAGGAGCTGGGCAGTCCCCGGCACGTAAGGGCACTGCTGTTCAGGGCAGGACTCAGTGGCCTGGTCACATGCCAAGAGAGGAATTCACAGCTGATGCTCCATGGCAGACATGGTAGTGCGGCCTTGACCTGGAAAAGGGCCTTCAGTATGGGTGGGTGTGAGAAAAAGCCGGACTTTGAGTCTGACTTTGAGCTCTTCCCCATATAGATGGTGGCCACTTAAACACATGAGAGTCATGCTCAAGAAAACATCGATTTTCTCTTTTGCTTGATGTGCACACATTACGTCAAGTTCAGCCAAGATTACTGAGCACTTGGGCTGACAAAAGCCACAGTTGGTGTGTTTCTGGAGCTCACAGTCCAGGGAAAAAGGGCCCATGCGACCCACCTAAATAATTTGGCAAAATGACAGGCCGCCCAGGTGAATGTGAGTGACAGGCTAACCCCTGGGTTGATCTGGAGCGCTCGGCGTAGGTGGAAATCCGTGGTGCGGAGGATGTATTTTTTGGGAGTATCCCAAGCACATGTTGGGGCTCTCTGTGCACAAAGGATGCTCCAGCTTAGACAGCAGCAAACGACACAGCAGGTGCAGATAATTGCTCTGCATCTTGAGGCCCCAGTGACCTATCTTCCGCCTGTCCCTAACTCTCGGGGAGGAGCAGGCATCCGTCTAGTGGGGACGAGAACGCCCATTTCGGTCAGCCCACTGCGCTCTGCCGAGGCACCGGCCCAGGGGCTGAGCCCTGTGCCTCCCGCCCGCCCCTGTCCCCAGCCTCTGCAGCTCCGGGAGCCGCTGCACTCGCTGCTGCTGACCATGTGTGAGGACCAGCCCAGCAGGCGGCTGCCGCTGCCGGCCGTTCTGGAAGCTTGCCGGCTGCACCAGGACGACGCGGCCATCTACCCAGCCTCTGCCAATCTGCATGTGAGACGGCTGGTCAGCGTGGTTCTGGGCTCCGGCTCTGAGGTCAGTGTGGATCCGTGCTGTCCAACCCAGGAGCCGTGGGAAACTGTTGACTTAGCTAAATTATAGTTAGTGACAATGAAATCAAATGAAAAATTCAATTCTTCAGTCCCACCTGCCTCTATTCAAGTGCTCAGTCGCCACAGGGAGCTGGTAATGACCGTATCAGACACGTCAGATCTAGAACATTCCTGTCAGTGCAGTTCTCTTGGGCAGGGCTGGCGAAGACCTTCGGGCAAGCCCCGATTTCTAATGTGGCTAAGACCCCTGGGATCTTGGAAGAGCCTCTCTACATAAAAGCAGTCGTGTCTACAACCCGTGCGTCAGTTCCCCTCTCAAAATTCAGCTCCGTGCCTGCACAGTGCCTGGCCGCCCCCTCCCCTCTGCCACCTTGTGCCTGCAGAGGGTCCCCTTGTTGCGCTTGTCACACTATCTGCTTGCTGCCCTGTGCCCTCCCTGGCGCCTAGTGAGGGGCCTGGCACGTGGTGGGCATTGACTTAGGCTGGGTTCCCTTGAAGCAAAGCCAGGGACGAGGGTGCTTATGCAAGTCACGTACTGGGGAAGCACTCCTGGGAGAGAGGGCGTGATGGAAGGAGGACAGGATGGGGCACAAGGTGGATACAGCCTTAGCCTGATCCCACGGTGAGCTCGGTGCCCGTGGTCCAAAGGCGAGGAGGTCTGCATTTCAGAGGAACCAGAGGGGTGCCAGCTGGAGGCTGGTGGGCGGCTGCTGCCCTTGTCCAGGGGCAGGTTGGAGAACTGAGACCACGATTAACTCAGGGTCCGTGTGGATGGAGAGGAGGGGACAGCTGTGGGATGCTGCCGACGGTCAATCAGAAAATGCCTCTCCCGTTCTGTCCCCTTTCTCTCTTGGTGTGTGAGCATGTTGCTCCTGTTCATTGATCCAGAGGATTCTACTTGTTTGAAAGACATTAGCGCCTACGATCCAGTGGTGTGTCGTCGTCCCCTGATGGACATGGCATTGACCCGTTGTGTTCCATTAGGAGCCCATAACGTAGATTTGGATCCCTCATTGGACATTCACCCAGGCCCTGAGCTGGGGGAGCTGCAATGGGGCATGACACGCACAGTGGGGTCCGGGAGACAGACAAGGAAGCAGACTCATGTTCTGTGGTGTCACCGAGGGAGGTGCGAGAGGAACTGCGAGAGGGGCATTGGCGTCTGCCTTGAGCGTAGAGGCTGAGAGGACTGGAAGTGAGGAGGATGTGTCTCTGGGGCTTGGGGCCCAGAGGAGCTGACAGGGAGAGCCTGGCCGGTGGAGGGAGCGCACGAGCAAACACAGATGGGCAGGAGAGGCGGGCATCTCGGGGGCATGGAGGACCCCAGGGTGCATGGGCACAATGGGCACAGAGCACCCCCTGGCTTCTAGAGAACATGGTGTGAGCTCTTCCTGTGTGGGACACACGGTCCACACTGACTGGAAGGGACAGTCTGTGTGTGTCTGTTCGAATGCCCCTCCCGACACGGGGATGTGCTGTGTGCTGCACCTGACCCTCAGGTGGGGAGGAAGGCGGTGGAGGAAAGCTCCTCTGTGCAGCAAGACAGAAGCTGCCAGCTCAGGAACAGGCTGCATCAGGCGAGCTGCGAGGGCTCGGTGGCCCCGGCCTCGGATGGTCTGCACCCCTCCAAAGGTAAGTACGGCCCCAGGGGTCTGTGTCCGGCAGAGGGAGGCCCAGTCCCTGGGGGGTCCACATCCCCACAGAGGGAGGTGCTTTCCCGGGGGGTCCGCGTCCCCGCAGAGGGAGGCGCTGTCCCGGGGGGTCCTCCTCCCCGCAGAGGGAGGCGCTGTCCCGGGGGGTCCTCCTCCCCGCAGAGGGAGGCGCTGTCCCGGGGGGTCCTCCTCCCCGCAGAGGGAGGCGCTGTCCTGGGGGTCCGCGTCCCTGCAGAGGGAGGCATGGGCCCCGGCATTGTTCCCGGGTCTGCGGAGGGTGCTGTCTACTGTTTCCCGCCCCCCGTGTGCCCGAGGTCCGTGCTGCAGTGGCAGAGAAGCCCGCGTAGAGTCCGCTCTTCCAGACGCCCCGCAGAGAGCCGAGTTTAGGGCTCTTCTGCGTTCTGAGGAAAGCTTTAAGCTAACAGTTACTCCTATCCAAGGAGAACTCTTTCTTGTTGAGTTCTAACTTGGACAGTTCATTGTCCATGCTGATAAAACAAAATAAAGCAAACAGCAGCAAAGAAAAATCTCTCTTGATGGGGTTCTGGGTGGAGCAAAAGGAAAAATAATTGTAAAAGATGGTTTTTGTTGTTGTTCCAGGTGAGTTAACAGAATGACTTTTAAAATAATCTTCAGATCTTCTGTGCTCTACTTTTCAACTGAATCTGAGATTAAAAAAAATTAACGTTGGTTTGTTGTCCCTGAAACAAGTTACTCCTTGCTGTTAATCTTAATCTTCCCCCCAAGACCTCCCTCAACCTCTGTAACCGTCATTTTGTTTCCATTTCTCATATGAGGAAACAGACTCAGAGAGGTTAAGTAATTTTGCCAAGGTCACACAGCTAGTAAGTCGTGATGCTGAAATCCTCCTTCCAGGCTGCCTGATTCAAGAACGCCATGCCCTTTGCCTCTGCCCATGCCCTCCACCCTACTGTTTGGTTAGTTTCAGAGAGAAGCACAGAGACTCAGAGCTCCCTGGAGCCTGGTCTGAGCGCCTCAGCACACAGTCGCGGCAGCATCTCTGTTAACAGGTAACCAGCAAGGGGCATGGGGCTGTGAACTTGATGTGGGACATTGGTGTGGGGGCTGCTGTATCCTGCTGCTTTACTATTGCCGAGGAGGAGTAGCCTCTTGCTTCTGCAGAAGAAGCTGACCCTATTCCGTTGGCAGATGAAAAAGCCACATTTAAGGACATACGAAGCCAAGATGACGAGGGGCCCGATGGCAGCTGTGCAGTCAGGGCGTCCTGTCTCCTCTGGGAACCAGGTCCAGGCTCAGCTATGGAATGACAACGTGCTTCCGTGTTGTCGTGGGCATCTGTTGCCACACGAGCCTGCGTAACAATCGCCCACAAGACCCAGCGGCTGGAAACGGTGTTTGATTTAGCTCTCGATTCTGCGTGTTGGAAATTTAGCTGTGCTCAGCTGTGGGGCTCTTCTGGACTCTGCTGGGTGCCCTTGCACGTCTGTGATCAGTTCAACTTGCCTGGGCGCCCTCGCTTCTAGGGGGAGGCTGCTGTTGTCTGGGGGAGCCCTGGCTCTTCTCCACCGGCAGGCTAGCCTGGGATTGTGCCCCTGACAGTGGCAGAGAGGGAGACAGAGAGCGAGACAGAGATGGAGAGAGAGAGAGAGAGAGACAGAGAGAGAGGGAGAGACGTGCACAGAACCTCCAGAACTAGCCCTCCACCACTTGGACCTCATTCCACTGGCCACATCAAGCCTGGAGGCCAGCTCAGCTTCCAGGGGTAGGGGAATAGACTCCATCTCCTGAAGGCAGCTGGGGCAAAGTCAACTGCAAAGGGCACGGGTCAGCGAGCAGAACTGTGGCTATTTTTGCAATCAGTCTAACTAGATGCTTAAATCTGCTCAAAACCCACATGGGCTCATATCTTCCTGGTCCTGGAATCTTGGACGTTGTGAAGCTCAGATATTTATTTATTTACATGTTGACTTGTTAAGGGCTGTGCCTCCACAGTTCAGCCCAGGGCTGCGGCCAGACTTGAGGTCAAATACACAGCTGAGGCCTCTGCTGGCTGCTGGCCAGTCCACCTCACAATGATTTTCCTGCCATTTAAAACTCTTATTTTCTGTTTTCCATTTTCCCAATGAATATAGCTTTAATTTTTTTTCTGATTCCATAAACAATGTAGGTTTATTGTCAAGACATTTCGAACAAGGGGCCGGCCAGGTGGCATAGCGGTTGAGTTTGGCGCACTCCGCTTTGGCGACCCCGGTTCGTGGGTTCCGATCCCGAGCTGGACCTACACCACTCACCAGCCACGCTGTGGCAGCCACCCACATATAAAATAAAGGAAAACTGGCAACAGATGTTAGCTCAGGGTGAAACTTCCTCAGCAAAAATCACCCCAAAACCCCAAAAAACCATTTTGAACACTATGTAAAATTCTAAGGAAGAAAATCAGAACCCTCTGTGACCTCATCGGCTGCTCTGGGGTGTTGGGGACCTGGGGTCACAGGACCTGCCTGTCCCGAGCACGGTGAGCAGAGGGTCCTGGTGGAGCAGAGGCCGCTGTGGCCTTGCCTCAAGCATCCCCTCACCGCCCCCCAGTGGCCATGAGGCCTTAGTTGCCTCCTTCGGAAAGTGGGTATGATAGCACCCTCGTAGGCACGGGGTGAAGATGCCGTGGTGGGTACACTCCATCCAGCTGAGCCCCTGCAGGCGGTGGCTTCTCCTGGACGGGAGCCCCTTCCCTGGTTAACACTTTCTCTGCTCCTCTGACCGCTGGCCAGCACTCTCCCGGCGGAAGCTCCCCAGAACCTTCAGGAGGGCTGGCGGCTCAGCTCCGGGTCAGCTCCCTCTGTGGCAGCAGAGAACTCGCAGCCGGCAACTCCTTCTCAAAGGGCTTTCGTGCAGAGAAAGGGAAAGGTGAGCAAAACAGGACCGAAGGACACCCCCAGGAGAGGTTTGAGCGGGGAGCTGGGGTGGCCGACATGGTGCTGAAATGGGCAGCACCCATTGGAGGTCTAGGCTCCCTGGGCTGAGGTTTGTAGAATTGGGTTAATATAAATCTGGAAATTGCAATTCAGTGCAGCGGGTGTTTATCGAGTGGCCTTGTATGCTGTGCAGGATAGAAGATCGAAGAGGCCTGGTTGGTGTGCGGTGATGGGAGAGCTGATGAGGCTGCATGTCCTCGGAAGGGGCCTTCAGAGCAGACAGAATGCAGAGAAAATGTGTGGGTGGGACAGGCGGGGAGGAGAGGGTCCATCCCTGCTGGTACTCAGGGTCATCGGGTTTGGGGTGTGAGGAGTGAGTTATGGAGGAGCCAGGCCAGTCTGCCTGGCTGTGAAGTCTGGCTAACAGGAGGAGTGATGTCTGGTGGCCCCTGCAGTGTGCACATGCCTCTGGGGACCCCCGGCTCCTGGCAGGCAGGCTGGTCTCTGCCGAGGGGCCAGCTTGCTAAGCTGTGCTGGAGGGTGAGATTGGGGTGGTCCTGGCATCAGCCGTCAGGTCAGAGCCACTTCTGGTGTTTAGAAACACTCCCCTGCTTCCTCAACACAATACTACCATTAGCTGAAAATCTGTTTTAATAACTACATGAGCCCGCAGTGGCCGCAGGGCATTAGCACCCCCTGGAGCTGTGACAAGCCCTCCTGGGCAGGCTACTCACTGGGGATGCTGCCTCTGAGTATCCGGACCCTTTGGGAATGTCAGACCCAGATGCCTCCAGAAGGCCTTTGTCTGTCTGTCTGCCCGTCACAGACAGATTTGCTTAAAGCTCTTCCATAAGTTAGAGATGAGTGAAGCCTGGACGAGCCTCAGGACATCCTGCTGCTGTGTGGCCCTGGGCCCCCACACTCCCTGCCGGCCCCTGCTGCTCCCCAAGCTGACTCTCAGGTCCCCGTGAGCTTGGGGGATGGAGACGGGGTCCTGGAGGCCTGACTCACCTTCTCTGCCTTTTCTTCTTGACCATTCACTAAAGATGCTTCTATTTTGGACTCTCTCAGGACACAAGTCACCCCCAGGCTGGGCTTTTGGCCTCTTGAGACAGCAGTCCTACTGGGTACCTCTGGGGGAGCATTAGAAGCCCCCCCCCCATCCTGTTGCTCATGGGTGTTGAATTTGGGCGAGTTTCTTAGTCTCTTGGAGCCTCCATTTCCTACAAAATGGGCTGAGAACATGCACCCCTCAGGATGATGGCTGGGTCTAATAACGATGGGCATTAGAGTATTCCTGGTCACAAGTGTGACTCAAACGTGGGCATCGTGAAATTGACACTAGCTGCCCATGCACGCTATTGGTTCAACATCCAGAGCTAGAAAAACGGTTCATCTGATCTGAATCTAACGGTAGTTTTATTTTTAAAAAATCTTATTGCATAAAATATGTATTTGTACTATATAATGTGTTTTATAATTTTGAGGCATACAAAAGATGTGTGAATTATGAAACTCGTCATGAAGTAGACACCCAACTTAAAAGCTAGAACATCGCCAAAACCGCCACACCCCTTGTAAGGCTTCTGCTTTGCGATGACCCCCTAGCTGGGCCCAGTTTGTCCCGTTCGCTGAAACTTGTCTCCTGCTGGCTCTGGGGACAGAGTGCTGGTCGGGGATGAGGGAGGTGAGCCCGTGGGGGAAGCCCAGTCCCAAAGCTGGGGGTGTAGCCCCGTGGAACGTGACTTCCCTTCTCTACTGAGTGACTCTGAGTGTTTCCCCAGTTCTCCAGGCCGGAGTTCGTCCTGCTGGCTAGAGAGGCCCCTGTGACTTTGCATCTGCCTGGATCCATTGTGGTAACTGCTGGGCTACACTGGGCAGGGGTGGAGGGTGGCGAGGGAACCGCCCAGCTAAGCAGGCCCAGAGGCCGCCTGAGCTCTGACTGGGTTCTCAGGCTGGGAGGGCCCTGGGGACGCTCATTCTCCCCCCTGCAGACCCCTGCCAGAGCCCTCTGCTGGGTCACGTGCCGCTCACATCCTTCAGCCCTTCCCTGTGCCTTTAAGAGGAACCCTCTGTGACCTCTGCCTAAATCCTGCTTGTCTTTCCAGACTCAGCTCAGCCTCCATCCCCTCATTCAGTCAGGAAGTCTTGTTCAAGCATCAAGTAGGCACCAGGCACTGCTCCAGACCCCAGATCCGCCATGTGAACAAAGCAGAGCCCCCTTCCCCTGGAGCGTGCATTCTAGCCTTTGTGTAGTTGTCTGATTTCAGGGGTGGAAAAGTCACTCTCCTTTCCCTTAGCCCTGCTGCCCCAGCCCAGGAAGGCTGCGGACCCCCGCGGGGTGCAACCCGTCTATGGAGAGGCACTTGCTACCTGGGTTGGGAGTGAGTGACAGGCTTGTCCCTTCTGAGCCGTTCACCGAAAGAGCTTTGGTGCTGCTGGCCCAGCGTGGGGGCAGCCACTGCAGGCCCTGCTCTGGGATGTCTGTGTGCCTCACTGGGGCCCTCCTGAGCCAGTGCCCTGCAGAGGAGGGGAATGACCGTGGACTGGGAGCGGGTGGCCGCCCTGGGTAGAGGGAGGCAGAGGTCCGAGGGTAGGGAGGGGGAGAGGGAGGCGGGGAAGGGCGGGGAGCACCTGGGAGCGGAGGAGTTGGCAGCCAGAACCCATGGCCAGAGACGGGGAGGCAGGACCACTGTGAGCTGAAGCCCCATGTGCATTTTCCATTATCCCACTGGACCTCTCTTAGAAAACACACATTCAAAGATGCAATTCCTGTATTAAGAATTTTAAGAGGGCAGCTGCAGAGCATTACACCCAAGCACAGGGCCCTTCAAAGCCCGTGGGGTGGCCCCTGCACTTGTCTCTCTCTCAGGAGTGGCCCTACACTGCATGTGAGACAGCCCCTTGGGGGGGCAGGCACACAGCGGGGGTGGAGCCAGGGGGCTTGGAGCAGGCCACATGATCAGCTCCGCCAGGGACCCTGCGGGAACCCCTCCCACAGGGTCCTCAGACCTGCACGGGCCCCTGCAAGGCTGCCCCTTGGTGTCCAACGTATGGCTGCAGGCATGGTCTCGATGGCAGTAAAACCATACACACTGGTGACCGGTGTCCATCCATGGCTGTCATCTAAGGAGGAGTTCCCTGGGGAGGTCTGGGCCAGCCCCCAGGCTGGGCTTCGAGGCACAAGGTGCTGTGGCCGCAGACAAGGGTCCTGAGCCCACCTGGAAGGCTCTCAGGATTTTGCCGTGCGGAGAAGGAGGGTAAGAGCCTTCCAGGCAGTGGGCGCCGTGCAGAGACACAGGCAGACGAACCCGTGAGGGGGTGGAATGGTGAGCCGGTCTGGGCTGCCGAGTGGAGGTGGTGGTGGTCGGGGTGGGATTGGGGTGGAGATGAATCTGGAATGAATCTGAGCAGGAGGAAGAGGCAGAGGCAGGATGCCATGGGTCTGTTTCTGGACGAGTTAATCCCCTTGGCTGCAGCCCTCTCTGTCACCTGTGCCAGCCCAAATTCTCTCCGCTGTGCTCTGCGGGGGCCTGGCGGGACAGCATCAGCTTGACCAACACCCCCCGGAGTGGAGGATTCACTGACGAAGCCCCTGATTAGTCCTCTTGGGAAACAGAGCCAGAATTTCTGCAGGGGAAAGATGTCCGTTCCACCTGCCTCTCAGCCCTCCTGGCCCCCCAGAGCCGGGCAGAGGGTGAGGATTTGAGTCCGGTTCCACCGCTTACTAACTTGGCAACTGAGGGCAAGTCCCTTACCATCTCGGAGCCTTGTTTCTCCTCTGCCGAACAGGAATCAGAAACGTTCTTATCTTTGAGGGTTGGTTGTCAGTTAAATGAGACAATGCATGTAAAATGTTTAGCATAGCAGCCAGCCCGGGGTAAAGATGCCATGTCTCGTAGTTATTGTTATAATTGATACTCTTATTGTTGTTTTCAGACCAAGAAAGGGAAATCCTATCTGGCTCTCAGGGACCTCTGTGTGGTGCTGCTGAGCGGGCAGAGTCTGGAGGTGAAGTGTGACGTCACGTCGACAGCGGGCGCCATCTTCAACGCTGTCGTGTCCTTCGCCAACCTTGGGGAGCTCGCCTACTTTGGTTTGGCTTACATGAAAGGTAAGTGTCTCCGGGGAGGCGACGGCTGGCCTGGTACCTCAGGTAACCCAGGTCTCCAGGTACCTGAGTGCTATTCCTTCTACGAAAACTGCTCGAGACTAGGACACCTCACCCTCCACTCTTGGAAACTGGCATGGTGAAGCCTTCATGGTCATGTGCACAGTGTCAAGTCGGCGCAGGAGACTGTCATGAAGTAGTGCGGGGAAGATGTGGGCTTCTGTGACTTGCTGGGTCTGGTTGATCAACCTCAGTGCATTCAAGTGAGACAGGCAAATGTTTAAAACAGTTCCATCTAGGTGGGACTGTAAAATGGTACAGCCACTGTGGACGGTATGGCAGTCCCTCAAAGAACTAAAAGTGGATTTGCCATATGATCCAGCAACTGCACTTTTGCATGCATACCCCAAATAATTGAAAGCAGGATCTTGGTTATATACCCCTGTTTGTAGCAGCATTATTCGTAGGAGCTAAAATGTGGAAGCAACCCAAATGTCCATTGATGGATGAATGGATAAGCAAAATGTGGAATATACATACAATGGAATATTATTCAGCCTTAAAAGGAAGGAAATTCTGACATAGGCTGTAACATGGATGAACCTTGAGGACATTGTGCTAAGTGAAATAAACCTGTTGCAAAAAGACAAATACCGTAGGATTCTGCTATGTAAGGTACCTGGGTTGTCAAATTTATAGAGACAGAAAGTAGAATGGTGGTTGCCAGGGGCTGGGGAGAGGAAGAAGGGGAGAGACTGTCGAATGGGTACAGAGTTACAATTTTGCAAGATGAAAAGAGCTCTGGAGATGGATGGTGGTGATGGTTGCACAACAACGTGAATGTACTTAACACGACTGAACTATACACTTAACAATGGTTAAGATGGTAAATTTTATGTTATGTGTATTTTACCGCAATAAAAAAAAAAATTACATCTAATCACATAGGACTAATGGGAAATCAGCACCCCCACCCCCAGGAGCCTAAGTTAACAATCCCTTCCCAATATCCTGAAGGAAAGGGGGTCTACAACTTCTTTCCATCTTTGCCCTTCCGTTAAGGCTCTGTATTTCCATCTACTGTGAATCTCTTTGCTGTGGTCTTTAGCCACTGTGAGGAGTAATGGGAAGGAGGCCGTGGTGGGATCACGGGCCTTCAGGTTGAATCCTGGATCTCGCAGCCCACCTTGCTTAGGTGTCATAATCTCGCTTTTCCTCTATTCTTCCATCTCCAATGGGAGAAGCTCACAAGCCTATTGTGGGATCATTCCGTGTGCCATGGGGTTGGGGGTGTCCTTGTCTCCCCATAGTTCTCAGCAGACCTCGGAAAGAGCTCTCTCCCAAGTAGAAAGAACAAGCATTATCTGCTTGGATGTGGTCAGTGGATGTTGGCTCCATCTTTTGTAAAATGTGAATAGAAGAATCCTTAGGAAACATTGTATTTTTATTGATCTAAAACATGCAATCTAAATAAAACCAGTATGCCGACTCTAGGAGTACAGCCTTAAGGCTTATCTCCTGCTGCCTCCTCCGGGTCAGGTCCCATCCCGGACCCCTCCCGGGTGGACATTCTAGAGCCACTTAGCTGGGGCCTCCTGGGTAAATCATTCAAAAGCGACCAGTCTTGGGTTTAAATATAGGCCCATGTGGGAGGGTTTGCCAGTCACACTGTCATGGGGACCTGCCTATGCCCTGGGGAGAAGTGACCTTAAGCGAAAGGTGAGTCAGTGTGAGGAGTCAGATTCAGCAGCAAGGGCTTAGGGCACAGGGGGCAGAGGTCCAGGCACCATGTGGTGACTCCCATTTGAACCACTCTGGACACCTCCTTCCCTCGCCCCAGCTTGCATATGCCTCTGGGAGAAAAGGCTGGTTCCCCATGTAAAACCTCTGCCTTCCAAAACTTGGCATGACTCCTGTGCCCAGGCAGCCTGCTATGGAGCGCCTCTGGGCTGCGAGGGTGGAGCATGGTGAGGGGTGTGGGGAGAGCAAGGCTGGGGCAGAGTGCAGGGGTCCCAGGAGAGGGCCAAGGGCGGCCACACAGGATGGGGAGGGGGTCAAGCCCTACCTTGAAGAGAGCAGGGCGTGAAGGTGGTGCCTTCAGGGGCTGGGCTCGTTCAGCCTCTCTCCCAGAGGTGCTTGAAGACAAATTCAACAGGAGTTCAAGTCCTGAGCTTGGGTTGTTGGAATTTTCAAGCGGGCAACGTGCAGGTGCAAAGACAAAGGTGAATGCATTTGTGCCCTTTCTCAGTCTGCTCAGGCTGCTCTAACCATATGCCATAGACTGAGTGGTTTAAACAACAGACATTTCTTTCTCACAGTTCTGGAGGCTGGGAAGTCCAAGGTCAAGGGTGAGCATGGGCAGGTTCTCGGTGAGGGCTCTCCTCCCGGCTTGCAGACAGCCACCTTCTCACTGAGTCCTCACACGGCAGAGCGAGCAAGCTCTGGTCTCTCCTTTTTCTCATCACATTAACCTCATCTAAACTTGCTTACCTCCCAAAGGTCCCGCCTCCAAATACCATCCAATGGCGGGGGGAGGGTTAGGGCGTCAATGCATGAATTCAGTCCCTGACACGCCCGTGCCTGGGGAGGCTTGGGATGGTCCAGGTGATGCAGAACGCTTGGCCCATGGCAAGATCGACGTTCTCATCCCTTTGTTTCTCATTTCATCTCCATAAGATGGGAGCTGGAAGGCAGATACTAAGTAATATCTTCTCTAAGATAAATAACCACACTTTCTCCTTCTGGTGCTGAGTTTCTCTTCCTCCGCCTTCTCCTCTTTGCCTCCTGCTCTTGGCCCCTCAGACGCTGTGGTGGCAGGTATGCAGGTGGCTTGCTTCCTGCTCCCTCCGGTACTCCCAGGGCTGCTGTCTGACCCTCTGGACAGGGCTCAGGGCTGTGGGGCTGAGGGGTGCCGCCTGCCCCGCTGCTTTTCCCTCCCAACGCTCTCTATTTCCATTTCAGGCAAAGAGTTCTTTTTCCTGGACCCTGAAACCCGGCTGTGCAAGATAGCCCCCGAAGGCTGGAGCGAGCAGCCCCGGAAGAAGACATCTTCGGACGCCTTCACACTCTTCTTGAGGATCAAGTTCTTTGCGGGCCACTGCGGGCTGCTCCAGTGAGTGCTGCAAATGCCTTTGTTCCTTCGGCCTTTGTCTGTGTGCAGGTTGAAGTTAGCGACAACAGATAGGCCAGTGCTTGGAGAACTGCAAATTATGTGTAAATAACAACAGTTATTGTGGTTGATCTTGTTGATTGGATTCCAATATGACAGAAAAGGGGGGAAAAATCAGTGTTTGGGGGCATGCCCGGGTCAAAATGAGAGCTTGCCCTTTTGTTTGGTACATACTCCACTTGAGGTCAAAGTTCTCTTCCCGCTGACCCCAATGTGCCCCTCCCCCGGCAGCCCAGTGAGGAGTCTGGAGGAGAGAGGGGGTCATGACTTCAGAGTGGGGTCCCTGCCTCTTCAATCCTTTGCTCACTAAAAGGACCGTCTAACTGCATCTCAGTTTTCTCCCTTGAACCACAGCAGCAAACATCTCCGTGGGCGTTGGGTGAAGTGCGTGGCACAGAGCAGCCCTCCACTAGGGGTGGGAGGCATGGTGTGATAAAGACCACCCTTGTCTTATTGGCATTGCCGTCTGGGTTCTTTTGGGTCGTATCCCGTCTCCTCTCCTTTCCCTGCTTCCCAGACTGAGAAAACCCTCTGGCTTCGGCGTCCTCCCTTCCCCTCAGCATTCCAGTGGCCTTTATTCCTGCATTTCTTTCCCAGGCAGAGCCGGACAAGACACCAATTTTACTTACAGCTTCGGAAGGACATCCTGGAGGAGAAGCTGCACTGCAACGATGAGATGCTGCTGCAGCTGGGGGTCCTCGCCTTGCAGGCCGAGTTTGGCAATTACCCTGAGGAGGTAGGGTGGAAACCTGGGGCCCTTGGTGGGGTCACTGGAGAAGCAGTCATGAGACAAGGGGGATCTGTCAGAAATGTGGAGAGTGAGCCTTTGAGAAGTGCTGTTAACATCTGCCACTGAGATGGGGTAAACTGCACCCATCCATCCATCCATCCATCCATCCGTCCGTCCATCCATCCGTCCATCCATCCATCCATCCATCCACCCATCCATCCATCTATCCATCCATCCTTCCATCCATTCATTCATCCATCCATCCATCCATCCATCTATCCATCCATCCATCTGTCTATCCATCCATCCATCCAACAAGCATTCATTGAGTGCTCTTTGCTAGGCTCTGGGGGTACAAAGATGAACCAATCAAGTTTATACGTTGTAAGGTAGTTCTAGTCTAAGATCCCTCCTAAAAACAGTAATTTACTAATATGTTGAGTTCCTATCATTATCATCATCATCATCAATAGTAATAGCCAATCTTTATTAAAAGACCACTCTGTACCTGTCATTGACCTAGACATTTTCCACAGTGCTAACTCCTTTGACCCTCACAGCAACATTGCAAGGCTGATACTATTGCTCACATTTTCTAGAAAAGCGATCTGAGACCCATGTAGCTAGAAAATGGTAAGTCCAAATTTGAGTCCAGGTGTGTCTGACTCCAAGGCCAGTGCTGATTCTGCTGGACACACTGCCTCTCAGATGGCAGCTCTAAGCTTGTTGACCAAGCCCTTGTCCCTGCCCCAGAATCACATGTAAGTTTCTTTAATTTGGTTTGCCTGGGATGGTCCTTTGTTATAGTCCCCGGGGAGTTAGTTGAGGCTACTGGTTATTTAATTTGCAGATGCATCAAAGTAGGGAGAGATGATGCTAATATATTTATTTACTTAATTAGGATTCAAAATGAGGAGGCCAGGCAGGAAGGCGGGACCAACCAGTTGAGCTGTGACAGAGAGCAGTGCCGCTTTGCTCTCAGGTTCATGAGCCCCTCCAGTGACACATGTTCAAGATGAGGGGGCAGGGGCTTAGCAACAGACCTCAACAGAGACTGAGCAATGTGACCCAGCAGTGTGACATGGCATCCAAGTGCGGAGTTCGTCTCTGGCTGCATCAGTAGAAGCAGAGAGGGAAGAGCCAGGGAGGTGAGGGTGCCACGATTTCTTCCCAGGTGACCTCCCAGACAGTGCACTGGCTTTTATCTTGGAGAGCATCGCCACCGTCATATGACAAAAACTTGGGTGCCTCTAGGGAGTGCTGAACTTGGAGAAGAGATGCTCTAGAGAGGACGTGAGAGCTGTGTGAAGGAGTCTACTGCTCAAAGGAAAAATGGAAAGGCTTAACCCATATGTCCTTGGGCCTTTGAATGCTTTCCCAGCAGTGTCTGCACGTCCATCACAATCTCACCCACCCTCCAAGACCAACCCCAACCACACAGCTTTCCTGGTCTCCCCGCAAATGGAAGGAAACCCTCCCTCCACCCTCTGAACCCTTTGAACGTCTCCCCCACATCCCTTGGCCAAAATACGTGATTACTCAGCACTCTCCTAATAGCAAGTGACAGAAAAGCGGGCTCAGATTGGCTTGGATAAAACATGTCATTTATTGGCTTGCAAAACTGAAGTGTCTAGGCGCTCCCTGCCCCTTTGACAAGTCTCTGTGCCTGTCATTGCTTTCTTTGTGGCTTCTCCCTGTCTCCTCGGCCCCCAGGGCTGGGATCCTAACCGTGCCTAAGGCTTGCTGGGTGCAGGGGCTCAAAGACACCAGCAGGACTTATGCTTCTTGCGTCTCCAGGCTGTGTGCTCTCCTCAGTCAGGTTTGCCTTCAGCAGCTTCTGGATTCCACCCTCCTAGTTGCACCCCAGCACCAAAGGGAGAGACCCTCTCAGTAATGCCATGGAAATCCTGAGGTCCTGTCTCCTTGGTTCTGATAGGGTCGTGTGCCCACGCTAAGCCAATCACTGTGCAGGGAAATGCCATGTTCTGATTGGTTGGACTTGACTCACATGTCCATCCTGGGAGCCACAGGTAGAACTTACACTATGCAAAATGCTGACTGAGGGGGGACTGAGGGGGAGTGGGGATGGTTCCCATTTCCAGAAAGAAAGGGAACAGTTGCACATGGCCAAAAATATATGTCCCCCACCAGTGGGCACTTATTGGTCAGTAAAGCTACATCCTTGGTGAGATGTATTAGGAGAAGATGTATTAGGCTGAAGTTCTGAGTCTGCTGGGGTCATCTGGGTCTGGCCTTGTGTTGTGAGTTGAAGTGTGTCCTCCAAAATCCATGTGTTGGAGCCCTGACCCCCAGTACCTCAGAATGTGACTGTATTTGGAGATAGAGTCTTTAAGGAGGTGATGAAATTAAAATGAGGCAGGCTGGGGGGGCCCTGATCCAATATGACTGCAGTGCTTATAAGAAGAGGGGGTTGGGGCACCCAGACAGACACTGGGATGCAGGAGCACAGGGGAAAGACCGCATGAGGACACGGCGAGAAGGTGGCCACCCACAAGCCAAGGAGAGCGGCCTCAGAAGAAACCAACCCTGTTGACACCTTGATCTTGGACTTCCAGGCGCCAGAATTGTGAGAAAATAAATTTCTGTTGTTTAAAGCACGTTGTCTGTGCTCCTTTGTTATGGCGGCCCCAGGAAACTAATGTCCCTTGAGTCTGAGAAGGAGAAGCTGTGGTCCCCACTGAGTGTGGACGTCTGGAGGGGGCTGTGTTCTTCATCCTCAGTGTAGGGTGGAGAGGGCAAAGGTGTGGCCTCAGTCACAGTGCCTGTGTTGTCCCCCCATCTGAGTTTAAGAGCAAGGACAGGCTCGAGAGTTAGAATGGTTCTTGAGAAGAGTGGCTTTCAAATGTTTTGTCCCATGACTCATGATAAAAAGTGACAGACATTATAACCAGCACACACACACGCACATATTACAGAACTGAAGAGAAGTTTCTGGAGGTGAGATGCACTCTTTCTATATTTGACGTACACTGGTATTTCCTGTTCTATTCTAGTCAATTTAAAAATACTGCCCGTGAACCACAGAATTGATTTCATAGTCACTCATGGGTTGCAGGCCTCAGTTTGGAAAATGCTTTTCAGACTATACCAATATCGTCTCGCTTTCTTCCCATGAGATCTTCAGAAGGTGCCACCATGTCTGGAGTCTTCAAAGTCCCTCTTTATCCCCACACACTGCTGTGTTTTTCTTCACAGCATTTTTCACCACCTGGCACAGCATATCCATTTATTTATCAATCTTATTGTCCTCTCTGTGAGAATGGAATCCCCCTGAGGAGAAAAGGTTTGTCTGTTTTGTTCTGTCATTTCCCCAGCACCAAAGTGGTGCCTGAAACACAGGGAGTTTGCTCAAGAGCTGTTGGTCTCAGGAGTGGATGGATGAATGAATGGAGTGCTGGCTTCTGGACCGGATGACACTGTGGATAAAAGTCACCCATCAGGAAGCCAGCAGCTTGCTTGTCACGGAACAGTGGGTTAAATCCCAACGCCTCCATCCCCACTCCCCTGCACCTCCCTCAGTCCCTGGGGCCTGGGACTTTACCACCTCCTCCTGGCAGCAACCCAGCTTGGGAGGGCAGTCTCCTAGAGCTGGTCTGGCCCCATAACCTCCTCCTTGCCCCTTTGACAGGCCTCCAGCCCAGTCACTGCTGCTGCTTCTGGGAGCTCCTTCCTGTCTCCTCAGGCCCCAGGGCTGGGGGCCTTACCTGGCCTGGGCCAGCTCCCTCTTGCTCTCGTGCTGCTCCTTCTGAAGGTCTTGGAGGAGAAGACATTGGAGGGTGTTCTAAGGTGCCCCGGCGCATCAGTTGACATCCTTGCTACAGTTTCTAGTCCAATCCTGTGTGTGGCTCACGTGGACAGGGTAGGGGGGCTTCTGGGGGCAGTGTTAGTTTGTCCTTGGCAGGCTCCATGGAGCAGAGGAGTGAGCCTGAGTTTTGGAGTCAGACAGAACTGGGTCCAAACCCTGCCTCTTTCAGTGGCTCTGTGCTTGACCTTGGGCACATTATCTCTCTAAGCCTTGGCTTTTTGTCCTCAAAATGGAGACAATAGTAGGCTCCTTGCAAAGCTGCCATGAGGGTGGAAGGTGGTAACATATGTACATATGTATGGCACCCACGTGATAACTGCTCTCTGCAGGCTTCCCTCCCCCTCCCCCATTCTGATTAGAAGTGTGCTCTATTATAAAACGACCCAAAGACTAACTTTCAGTCTACGGATTCGCACACACGATCTTACACCTGAGACCCTAACTAGGGCTTAGAGTAGGGGAAACTGCAGGCCAGGTCCACTGAAGGCAGCTGGGGAGCCTGAGTAAGGCCCCTTACTGATTCCAACTCCTTCCTGTGGGATCATTTGCCCCAAAGCCCCAGGGGCCCAGAGGTGTGTCTGGGCGCCCCATTCTGGCAACCCGCTGCCTGTCCAGTTTCTGACCCACTTTACCCAGCTCCGGCCTCATCCACCACCTCCAGCTCCTCCCCCAGGTCCTGCCCAGCCTCAACCTCTCCCACTGCCCTGGGGACCAGCGCGGTTTCCAGATGCTCTCCGCTGCTCCCATAGGCCGACCTTTCCTCTACCCCGTGTGCGCGTAAAGGCAGATTACGCAAACGGATTCCTCTGCGCATGCGCACACTCAGCCCTACTTCCTGGAGGGCCTGCTCCAGGCTCGGCCTCGTCTGAGCCTTGCCTCAACTCTGCAGGGCCGGGATTATTTCCATTTGAGAAAAATGGTGCCTCTGGGAGGTTAGATGAGCTGATGAGAGCACTGCCAGGACTCACATCTAAGGCTTTGCTTCGCTATGTGCCAGGCGCGGTGGTGGGCACGTCAAAGGGCGATGGGGGAGGCTCCGAGAGGAGAGCCCCTCCTGCGTCTGCGTCGGTGAGTGGCAGGAAGCGGGACGGCCGGTCCGGGGAGCTGCAGGTGTGTCCTTGCAGCCCTGGCTAAAGCGGCTGTCGGCCTGGGCGGGCACGCTGGTGGGATGCGGGAGGCACTTCGTGTGCCCTCCTCAGGGGCTAACATATGGTGTGATAAATGGTTCTGGAACTGGACAGAAAAAGAATCTGGAAACCACTGTAGTGAAAGATTGGAAGCCACTGAAGAATTCTAAGCAGGGAAGTGACATGAATACATTTGCAGTTTAACAAGGGAGACAAAGATATTTTGGTATAAAGTAAGTATCCTTAATCACATCATTGCAACAGACGACTTTCTTCTGGGCGCATTCTCTTCCAGCCTTTGCCCACCCCCGCGGACTTACCCCGCTGTAAAGGTGACCACCTTCGGTTCGCATTCTGCTTCTCACTGATGGTCTGTGTCTTCCCACGGCCTTCCTAACCATCTTTTGGGATGGCTAGGCGTTTTGCTGGAGCAGGGCTGGAGCTTCCCTCACTTGTCTGTTCTCTCAGCATCCGGGATCTCCCAGAAGGGCCATGGACGTGGTAACTACTATTATTATCGTTCCGGTTGCTTCTGATCTTTCCTTTTCATAAATGACATGGAAATAAATGTTTGTGCTGGAGCTTTTTTAGGCCGACATTGACTTCTTCTCTTGGCTACACTCCTAGTAATGAGATGCTGGCTCAAAGGTCCTAAATACTTTTTAAAAATGTTTAAATAGACTTTTTTGTTAGAGTAATTTTAGGTCCACAGCAAAATTGAAGGGAAGGTACAGAGATTTCCCATATAACCCCTGCCCCACACATGCATAGCCTCCCCATTATCAACACCCCCACCAGAGGGCTACTTTGTTCCAACTGAAGAACCTGCATTGACACATCATTACCCCCCAGAGTCTACAGCTTACATTAGGGTTCAGTCTTGGTGTTGTACAGGCTATGGGTTTGGACAAATGTACAATGATGTGTACCCGCCGTTATGGAATCATACAGAGTGGTTTCACTGCCGTCCTGACCTTCTGTGCTCCACCTCTTCACCCCTCCGCCTCCCTACCCCCTGGCAAGCACTGATCTTTTTTACTGTCTTCATAGCTTTGCCCTTTTCAGAATGTCATAGAGTTGGACTCTTACAGTTTATAGCTTTTTCAGATTGGCTTCTTTCACTTAGTAATGTGCGTTTAGGCTTCCTCCATGTCTTTTCATGGCTCATTTCTTTTTAGCGCCAAGTAACATTCTGTTGTCTGGATGTACCACAGTTTATTTACCCACTCACCTACTGAAGGATATCTTTCATTTCCAAGTTTTTGCAATTAGGAATAAAGCTGCTGTAAATATCCGTGTGCAGGTTTTCGTGTGGACATAAGTTTTCAGCTCCTTTGGGTAGATACCAAGAAGTGTGATTGCTGGATTGTATGGTAAGAGTACGTTTAGTTCTGTAAGAAACTGACACACTGCCTTCCAAACTGGCTGTACCACTTTGCAGTCCCACCAGTGTTACCGCGCCAGGTTCATTTTTGCCCACTGCCCGGAAAGCCAAACACCCAGACGACGAGATTGCAGCAGAGAGAGAGTTTACTCACAAGGCAGCCATGCAGGAAAGTGAGAGCATGAGCCTCAAATCCACTTCCCCAAAAATAGGCACTCAGGGATATTTATGGGATGAGGGGCAAGGTGGTCAGAAATGTGGAGAGAGGGGATTGAAGGTGAGGTCATTGATGATCTGTGCAAGCATAGTCAGACTTCACGCCTCTCCATAGGACGTACGCTCACAAAATGGCGGCATGAGTATGATCTGAAGGTGAAATTTTTAGCCTCTCAACGTCAAAAGGTTGCCTATTGGACATCTGCACGGGCCTGGTTGATGAGTTGGTGGACTCAGCCAGCCTGGAGTGGACAAAGGGGTTCTATTTCCTGAAAAACAGCTCACACACCCATTACCATGGTGACCCAGGCTCCAGGAAGATGTTCTCTGTAGGAGCCTAGTGGGAGTCAGATAGCATTTTGCCTAAGCAGCACAGTTAACAATGGGTGAGTTAAACAGCTAAAAGCTGTAATCAGTAATTGCAAAAAGGAAAAAAACCCTTCAGTTCCTAGCTACTTAATCATCAATGGCTAATTTGTTGCTGGTTTCACCAGCAATGAATGAGAGTTCCAGTTGCTCTGCATCCCCATCAGCACTTGGTGTTGTCAGTGTTCTGGATTTTGGCCATACTAAATGCACTTTTGTGTACTAGCTTGCTGAGCAATTTCTTTCCCTCTGCGTCTCTGAGCTGAGAGGAGTTCAGTCCACAGCCACATGGGGACAGGCCTGTGCCACACCAGGAGCGTGGGTATATAGTGGATGCTGTGCTGTCCCCTTGAGATCCCTTCCTCAGGCCAAGTGACCCACCCCAAGCCTTGAGAAGTTCAGATGCTCCGGGCTCCCTGCTGCTTTTCTCGTGAGCAGCTGTCCTCAGCTGTGGGGAAATGTCTTGCCTGAGATTAGGCCAAGAGGGGCTGCCTGAGCCTGGGATGGGCTGATTCAGGAATACGGGGCAGGGTCAGCTACTCGCTCTGCCAAGTGCTGCCTTTCTCATTCTTTACAGGTGACCCTGACGCCACTCCTCCAAGATGTCTGCATTCCTCTCTCTGCCCCAGAGCCTGCATCCGGGAACCCGGCATCAGGCTGCGAGCGATGCTGATCTGCCAGCCGCTCCCGGTGGGGCTACAGCCTCCGGTTCCCTGAAGAGCAGACCTGGTGAAGGTTCAGGCCTGGGGCGGGGTGGGGGTGTCAGATCTTCTCTCATTCAGGGGGCTACTTCTTGATCACCTTCTCATGGAGAAATGGTCCCGCAGCCAAGACCTCCCTGGTCAGAGGGGACTGTGTGCCAGGAGCACAAGCAGACAGGAAAGCTAAAGGAATAAAAAGAAACAAAGTTTTAGGGCCAGGGCTTTCTGTACCTTTTGGGAAGTGGCGTGGCACCATAGAATGTGTGAGGGCTTTGGGTGACCAAATCTTGTGTCTGTCACTTACAAGCAGTGTGACCTTGGCTCTGTTGAATGCCATCCTTCCTTATTTGTCTTGTTCTCTTGGTAATGGCAATAATAATGCTGTCCTTGTAGGATTACTGTGAGGATCAAAAGAGTATCCTGATGACCAGTGGGCATACAGAAGGGTCTCACAAATGGGTGGCTCCTTTCTTCTCTCCCTCCTATTCATGTCATGTGGTTTGGCCCAACTTCTAATTTAGTGGAAAAAGATATCCCGGGTGGGCCCTTCAGAGGAGCATCTTTGCCCTGGGGCCCCAGCCTGAGTTTCGACAGCACACAGACTTCTGTTCTGCTCAGAGCTCTCCAGAAGGCATCTTGGTCATCATCTTCTCTTCTGCATCTTATTTCCAGCAGGGAGAGAGTAAAGCCTACTTTCGAGTTGAAGATTACGTCCCAGCAAGTCTGATTGAGAGGATGACTGCTTTCCGGGTCCAGGTCGAAGTCTCAGAGATGCACCGTCTGAGCCCCATGCTCTGGGGAGAGGATGCTGAGCTGGAGTTCTTGAGGGTGAGGCCTCCGTACCTTTGAGGGGGTGTTGGTGTTCAAGGCGATGTAGTCAGCAATGCCCTCCAGAGCCTTCTCTCTGGGTCGGATGTGCTCAGACCGGTGAGGAGGTACAAGCAAGGGACTTGAGGCTCTGGGAGGAACGAAGCTCCATTGCCCTGAGGGGCAAGGAGAGGCTTCTGGAAGCAGGTGGCATTGGAAATGATCCCTAAAGACAGGTAGGGGTTAGTGGTCTAGCATGGGTATGGCCGGCCTTTCTCCCATCCTAGAGCTCACAGTCACTTTTCTGTGAGTAGAGAGACCACATTTCTCACAGACGACATATGGGACAACTGAAGTACAAAACTGGGGCGTGAGCCAAGGGCAAAGCCACTGAGAGACCCCAAGTTTGCAGCTTCCAGGCAGCTATCCAGGCACAGCACAGATGGTGTGGTCCCTGCGGGTGGGTCCAGCTCTGGTCCACTCTTTCTTCAACCCTCGAGCAAAGCAGAGGCATTTCAGTCCCCCATGTTGGTGAGCACACACAGAGCCCCCATGGATAGACTTTGCTCACTCCACAGCTTATGCCAGATGTGGGCCAGGCACTGTGGGGATCAGAGACAGAAAGGACGAATTCCCTGCCCCCAGGGAGGACAGACAGGTGTGTAAGACAGTGATAACTGCCTGATGAGAATGATAACAACACCAGGATGGTGCTGTTACTCTATATCAGGATGGGAGGGGATGGCCGCTCTGCCCGTGCAGATGGAGCTGGGGGCACATGGCTGGAGGCATCTCCTGCACCCCCAGGGCAGGATACCCGCTGGCCTTTAGAGTTGGGGAGCAGTTTGAAAAGGAAGCTCGGGGATTTATACATTTCTCTGTACAAAAGTCTCCCAAGACAGACAGAAATATTCTGTCCATGTTTTCTTGTCTTTATTAGAGGCGGGCATTTGAAATCAGAACTGCCAAGGCGAGGTCTGCCTTGCCTTTCGGTCGGTAGCTTAGAACTGTCTGCAACACCTAGCATGCTATAAACCTGCAAGCGTGTCATTTGAGAATCCCCAGCAGAACTGTGCGCACTGCATCCCACAGTGCAGCCACCACGCGTGTTCCTTGTCAAGAGGATGCAGCATGCCCTTGACAAGGGACAAGTGGGAACTTCAAAGCCATCAGCACACATCTGATGGAGAGTGGCCACAGAACCACAGAGCCAGTGGAGGGGCCCACTGGCCCTCCTGGAAGCTCCGGCAGGGCTGATGGTGCCTGCCCACCTCTCCCCAGGGCCCTGCTTTGTGTGCCAGGCTCACAGTGTCCCTCCCTCCCATGGTGATTGCAAAGGAAGTCACCATCTCATAAGCAAAAATGCAGGAGACGTTTTTTCAGTCTTTGACAGAGAACACTGAATAGATTTGATTTCGTTTGCATGCAATTTTATCAGTTTCCTCTTTTGGTTCCTCTTGGTGGCTGGTCAGGCTTGCCAATGCTGTGTACCGCCTGGGGTACAGACACAGGAACTGGAGGGGGCTTGGAAACCCCCAGAGCACATTGTGACCCTTCTCGTTAGGGTGAGCGTTCCTTAAACAGAGTCCTTTCTTCCGTGATTAGAAAGTAACCGTTTGCTCATGATTCTGCCTCCTAGAAATAGCCCAATTACATTTTGGCGTATTTATCCTCCTCTCTTTGTTCTGTGCATTCACATGTGTATATGCATAGGCATTTAAAACTGGCTTTACATTATATATGCAGTTTTGTGTATTTTTATAATCCCATCTCACTAAAGTTTTGAAAGTTTATTTTAAATCAACACATGGTGTGCCCTAAATTTTTTCTCAGTACGCTGGTGTTTGGCACATAAATTATTTTAAGTGTGGGACTATTTTAAACAATCCCGAGATTAGCACTTTTTCTACACAAATCTTGAGCTGCGTTTCTACTGAATTCCTAGGGGATGGAATCTCATGAGTGGATTTACCGGGAGAAGAGGTGGCAATATTTCAAGCGTTGTTGACACAGATTGCTAAAACACTCTGTTATAGTCATTTCTGTACATTCCTTGTCCCCTCTACTAGGTTGTAAATGTCGGGAGGGCCCTGAATCCTTGGACCCCATCACAGACCCCAGTTACTCCGCAGACAGTCCCTGGATCATTTGATTATAGCTCCTCCTGGCTCCTCTTTGTCGTTATCAGATGGTGCCCATTGGCCTGCGGTTCACTGATGACTAATTTTGCTAGTTCATCATCTCACACTAGACGGAGGCTTGGCAGAAACCCAGTTTGGGTAACGCTGAATAACATACTCTGTCTGGAAGATTCATAACTACATTAGCATATTAATCCCAGAACAGCATGTTCAGGTTAACTCAGTGTTTTCCAAACTTCTCAACCGTGGAACCATTTTTTCCACATAACTAGGAGGTGAGCTATTCTATCAAAACATTTTCTTTTCTTTTTTTTGTGGTCGAAATCATACTGGTTGTATCTGGTATTTTTCCCCACTTAGCATTATAACATATGCATTCCCCAGATGAGTACAAATGCTTTGAAAATACCCTTTGTAAAGGCTGCCTGATAATCCCCTTTAAGACGGTACTGACTTTAGGAAATCATTTACCTCCTGGGGCTAGTCGCCCAACCCAACACTGTGAGTCTGCTCTGAACGTCACTATGAGAAGGGTCTGTCTTGATTATTCAGTGTATTTTTGTAGGACAGATTCCCTGGAGAGGAATTTTAGGGTCAAAGGATATGAATTGTTGTGACCCTCTTGATGAATATCTAGAAACGAGCCATTTGTTCCAACTGTTTTCAGTCCAGGGAGGGTGCTGCATGGGCTGGAAGATGGCAAAGCCTGGGTCCCGTCTAAACCTTGCTGCTCAATGCAGGGGGAAGGGAAAATGGGGAGATGGCCCTAAGAGCCTGGAGAGGAAGTGACCCTCCAAGAGGAAAACCAGCAACAGCTACAGAGAATGGAGGAGGAGGGGGACACAGGAGGCCCCCCAGCAGAGCATGGAGACGTGGACGGGTAGAGATGGGACACCTGGTCTCACCAGTGAAACCCTTCTGAGAGGGTTTCAGATGCCTAGAGCAAGATATTCCTGCTGTGAGTCCAAGGGCCTCAATCTTCTGATGAGGACTGGCGTCTTCCAGGTAAAGATGAGGATGGTAGAGACCAAGATAGAGATGCGACTACCATCCAGACATAACAGCATTTGCGTTAGGTTTATACAATATTCTCTTACGAATTTGGTTGGCCTGATGCAGTCCTCAACTCTGATTGACCCTCAGGCCCCTGAAAAAATTCAGTCTCCTAAACTGATAAGCTGAGGACAGCCCTTGGGCTGTGGGGACCACTGAGGCCCCGCCACATGGTAGGAAATGCCAGTGATTGGTCATCTTCTGTGCAAGATGTTCACGGCTCATCTCACTTAGCAGTGACGCTAACCATCTGAAAGGTTGCCTTCTGTGCCTGGGCCTTTTCCATCTGTAAAATGAAGGGGTGGACCTGACAATATTGGAGTAGACTTTGATTGACATGATTGGGAAAAGGAAGCCTTTACACTGAGATGACCCAGAAGAGTCTGAACTCTAAAAACTTGTTCACAATATTATTATGCTGTTGCATCATATTCATAATAACTGTATTCTGGATGTTGTTTTAGGCACTTCATGAAAAGAGGATTCCTTGGGTTAAAAAAATAGGAAAATGGGGTCTGCCTGGTGGTGCAGCGGTTAAGTTCACATGTTCTGCTTTGGTGGCCCAAGGTTTGCCGGTTTGGATCCCTGGTGTGGAACCTACACACTGCTTATCAAGCCACGCTGTGGCAGGTGTCCCACATATAAAGTAGATGAAGATGGGCACAGATGTTCACTCAGGGCCAGTCTTCCTCAGCAAAAAAGAGGAGGATTGATGGTAGATGTTAGCTCAGGGCTAATCTTCCTCAAAAACAGAAAAAAGAAAAATGCTCTTGTATTAGAGATTCCAAGAATTTCTGTAGTAAGGCGATCTGTGTAGCTCAGTGTTTCTTAAACTTATTTAGCAATTATACTCTTTTTTTCTTTTTTAGAACAGCTGAAGATATTTTTCATGGAATAGTTTGAAGCCCTTTATTTCAGACCAGTGTGCCAGTCTTTTCTAAACTGGCCTTTTTCTTGCTCCAGGTCACTCAGCAGCTCCCGGAGTACGGTGTGCTGGTTCATCGAGTGCTCCCAGAGAAGACAAGGCCAGAAGGGGAGACGGCCCTGGGGATCTGTGCCAAGGGTGTCATAGTGTACGAGGTGAAAAACAACAGCAGAATTACAACTTTGCGGTTTCAGTGGAGAGAAATCTGGAAGATTTCGACTTGCGTGAGTGGAGCTCATTGATCAGTGACCGTGTTTCATTGTCCTTTGATCTGTTGCCCCTGTAAAGAGCAATGAGTCAGGAGAGCTCCTCCTAACCAGACAGGCTCACAGCCCGTCAGCTAGCCTACTCCGATGCACTGTGGCGTATTTGGAAGAAGTCTACCAGGGGACTTGAGAGTCCCCAGGAGGCCATTTCTTCTCAACCATCCCTCGCGCAGTCCCCCAACACTCCCACGGACAGCCATCACTCTAGAGAGCTACACTTCTCTCTGGGTAAAATTCTCTTAATTTGGAGAAGCCACAGAAGTTGAGAGCGAGGTGAGAGTGGGAAATGGGGGAGGAGAGCGTACTGTAGGTGCTGTGGAGTCTGCATGGTTTGGAAACATTTTCCTGATATTTTTTCATTTTCCCTTTGTGCACAGTGTGCCAAGGCATCTGGCCTGTCTCCCATGGGCCTCAGGTGAGCCACGGGCCACTGGGGACCGCCAACCTTTGACAGCTGTTGAAAGTTTAAAAGCCTTTTAAAAACAACAAAAAAAATCCCTATTAAAGTACAGTGTTTGAAATTGTATTGGAACATTATTTCCTGGAGTATTTATACTTCCTGAATTTAGTTACAATAAATTTGGCATCAAAAATATTGTGTGCAGGGGCTGGCCCGGTGGTGTAGCAGTTAAGTGCTCACATTCTGCTTCTTGGCAGCCCGGGGTTCGCCAGTTGGGATCCCAGGTGCAGACATGGCACTGCTTGGCAAGCCATGCTGTGGTAGGTGTCCTGCATATAAAGTAGAGGAAGATGGGCACAGATGTTAGCTCAGGGCCAGTCTTCCTCAGCAAAAAAAAAAAAAAAAAAACCAAAAAAAACCAAAACAACAACACAAAACAAAACATTGTGTGTGTCCCCACTGCAGAGAGTGGTAACTAGGAGCTCCATTGCCTGCCTGTCCTGTGGACCATCGCAGGCACGAAGCTATCACTCCAGCAACGAGTTCATTATAAAACATGCAGTTCTTCAGCTTGTGGCCCAGGAAAAAACTTAGTTTTTCTTTCTATTTAATTTTCTCTTATGGTTTTAAAATGTTTCCTACTGACTAGATGGCTGTTTTTGTTATCACTATCTGATATTAGAATTTCTGAAGTTGAACATAATTGGTTTTATTCATTTTCTCAATGTTTTTGTTTCTTCCATCTGTGCTGTTGAAGTTATATTATTAAAGTATGATTCTTGATAGAATTTCATATTAAAGTGTTTTTTGTATTTAGAAAAAAAAGCTTGCATCTAAAAATAAGTGAGTATAATTTAATTGAGTTCATTAAAATAGGCTTTATAATATTAGCAAACTGACGTTTTCCCAAATATTTTTGACCATAGCTTAAAGTAAGTGATATTGATATTTGTGAATTTTTCAGAATTTTAATGGCTCAAATTACTTGAATTCAATTTGAGATTACTTGAAGAATTTTAGTTATTGAATTTATTCAATACTATTGCATTGCTTCCTATTTTCTTTATCTCATGTTTAATTGTTCACAATTTCCAAAGTAATTTGTTTCAAAATTTTTGTAAAAATGCAGGTAACCTAAAAAGTAATTTTGAAAAAGAGAATTCTTTGAAGCCATAAAGTTTAACAGTCCCCTTAAGTAAGTACTTTACGTTTAAGTTGGTTTAATTTTTACAGATATTTTTTAACCCACGACCGCAGACAATTTCTTGATTAAAGCTGGAAAGTCATCATGTTCATAAGACAAACTTAAAAAGACCCTTGTCACTAATTAGGATTGCCATGCCCTCATGACCATCCTCTTCCTCAGCATGAATGTCTCTTTTTATGGAAAAGTCATCATGTGAAGTAATGTCACCAGCTTCTTGCCACAAAACAAGCCAGGCATCTTACACAGAAAATGACTTGAATTCGTCATGCTTCTGCAAACACAAAACGGGGAACTCGGTGAATGATACAAGAGCAAGCTTGGAAAGCTGGGTTCAATTTGCCTAATTAGTAGCGGAAACCAAAATGCTTCGAACAATTGCAGACATTCATCTTGCCAGCCTGGAGAGAACCAGCAAAGGAAATGAAGAAGAATGCTACCTTCAAAGAATGTGATTTGTAGATGCGTCGGCAGCCTGTCTGCAACAGAGACGACATCAATTCAGATTAGTTAATCGAGAAAGCGTTCGTTGTCGAAAGATGAACCCCCCCACGTTAGTAACTGTTCTCGGTTATTAGCAGTAGTAAAAATGTCTGGGGAGCATAGGGGGAAAGCGGGGCTCTGCATGGCTTTCTTTAAGGAAAAGAATACAAAGTTCCAATTATGAACGGCAGCCTGCAAGTGAATATTCACTCAGGATGAGAAAGGAAATCACCACAACTTGTGAATTTTAAAAAGCTGAGTAAATACTGTGAAATCACAAATACCCGCAAAAGTATTTTTATTAATTAACTCCCTGATAAACTCTATGATTCCTTTTTTCCTTTCAAATTTTTGGTGGCGTATGCTCTGATTACTTTTTCATGTGATGACACTTTTGTAATATCATTTTCTCTAGAGAGGATAGAAATATGATTTAGTCTTTCTTCTACCCTAACTGATTGAAAGTTGTTTTTATTACTGATGAGATGCATAAAACATACAGCTTTGCACAGACATCCTTGCTCTTCGTGGCACCCTATAGGTTTCCGTGCTGCTAACACAGGAAACCTAATAAATTCTATTTCGTGTGATTCCCATAAGAAAAAGACAGGTATTGCATCGTGCATTGATAACGCAGTATGTGCAATTACAAAGTATATCTGTGTTAGAACAGAACTTCCACTTGTCTGGGTGTTTTTGAGAATTAAATTACAGTTTTTCATTTTTGATGATTGAAGAAATTTCCCACAGACTGGCCTCTGGCTCTGTACGTTTCAAACCTTGTTTCCCTCCAGCGCTGACCCCACGTACTCCTGGTGCCAGGTATTGTAGGCATGGTCAATTTCCTATGGCCACTGGCCCTATACCTTTATGCTGAGACTTTGATGAATTGGCCCAATGGACGGAGTATTCTGGGATGGCTGGCGAGGAACTAATACAGAAGAGACTTCAAACCCCGTAAATAAACCCTACTGAATCTACACTAAATGTATCCCCATTTCAACTTCTCCTTAGCGAGATCTGCTTCCACATCATGCAACACTGTCTATGGTGAGAAGAAGTGGGAAGGAGTTGGAGTGGAAAGAAGAGTCAGTGGTCTTAAGTGATTAAGCATCTTACTTTCCACATTTTACAAAAACATGTGAAGACATTTCCAGAGTCCCTTCAGCTTCATTAGCTTTACAGCAAATCTGCCTGTAGAAGAATATTATCGTTCTGCAAAAAGATGTTTCAAACCAAACCAACAAATTAGCATGTGAACAAACAACAACAACGATAAAACCACTGGGGATGAAATATTTGAGGTGGGAAACCAATGCTTTGAAACAAACATGATGTTCCAGAAGCACTGAGTGTGTTGGTACTATAACATCAGAGATGTAAATAAATTCTTCATGTTTGTGCTGAAAACCCTGATATTCAGGTTATGCATTGTCTTATTCACAGAGTGACTTGCCTATGGGAAAGTTTGCCTGCGGATACGAATTTCCCATTAAATGATGTTATCAAAGTGGAAAAAAATCGAAACCACTGCAGTCAACACTGTTTTCAGCTTCATGGCAAGAAATGGGATCAGAATTCCATTCTCTGTGGCCTTTAATACCTTAGAGCATTGGTGTCCAAAAGGAGAGTTTTGTCAAGAGTTTATGAGCTGGAAGAAAGATTGGGATGTGCGTGTGTATGTGAATGATTCTCTCTTTTAAGATTTGTTAAAAAATAGTTATCAGGTTTTTAAAAACTTCCTTATCTAAAATTTTTTAATACCTGAGTGAACTTAGAACGAAATTGTCAAGACTGTATGAAGGCGTATCAGTGTGTACTGACAAAGTGGATGGATTCCAAGCAAATATTCAACTTTAGAAATGGGTGGATATAATGATCTATAGTGGAGTTCAGGCATTATTATACTTTGAATACTAAAGAAGAATTATTAACGCTAGTAAGGTAGCTTCTATGAATGTTTGAAAAAATACATTATTTTAAAAAATGCTGGATATAGTATAGTTCAATTGGATCCACGATCTGTTTAGGTTAGTGTAAGGAAGTTCAACATTACATTTGTCAATAAAAGAAAAGAATATTTAGAGAATGCTCAAATTATCTAAAATTAGGTTAATGGTAAAAAGGTGTTTTTCAGAGGAAAAGCAGTGAATGGTTAGCTGCCTTTTGTTAATATCTGACTGTGTGAATGGAGTTTCTTAGAAATGGTGATGTTCACGAATTAAAAGGGATCAGCATTAAAGAAAATCAGGCGTTTCAGGCATATAAAGTGATCTTCATAGGAGCAAGCTCAAGTTTCTTATTGAAATATCTAGAATATCTAGAATAGAGATTTGATGTGAAAGTTATAAATAAATTCATATTTAATATCATCTCTATTACTTTATATTTGATTGTTCTTATTAGAATTACATATGGCAAAAAGTTATGGACTTTTTCCATGAAGCTCCATATAGATAACCCCATAGAGACAGTAATTTCTGGCTCATCCCGGTGAGCTGTACAGATATTATCACTGTGTATGTGGGAGGTATAAATGTGGGAAGCATTTCTTGGTGATGTGACCTCAGTTCCTGCTGTATTCTGAGAGCTCTTGGTCTGTTTCCTCATCTGCAGAATGAGGATGATGACAGGACATGCCTCATTCTGTAGCTTTGAAGATGAAATGAATTAATACCCAGAAAGCTCTTATGTGCTGGCACATATAGCAAGAAATGGGAGAATACATGCAGTGCTTCTGTCTGTCCTACAACCCTGCCAGCTGAGGGTTTGTCTGCAACTTCTGGGAATTTGTACACTGAAAACTATAGGTATATTTAAGAGCCTTTCAAAATGACACAGGATTCTGGTCACTGCTTGCTGAGGGCCGAGTGTGCACCTGACTCAGTTTATATTCTTTTCACCCAGCACACTCCTTCCCAGATAGCAGTTGCCCCGTAAACAAACATTCGATTTATGAATGAAGGAAAAAATAAAAAGAGGGATCTTCTTTAAGAAAAAATATTGGTCCAGAGTCAGACAACATCTGTCATACACTGCTGGATGCCTGGTAATTGATATGGAACTGGGGCTCCTGCACTCGCTTTCTCTCTGGAGTGTGTGCTGCAGCGGATGGATATGGACGTTCAACAGGAAAGTCTGTGTTTGTTTCTTTCAGCGAAAGAAGTTCACCATCACAAGCAGCATCACGGGGAAAAAGCACACGTTTGTCACTGACTCGGGCAAGACCTGTAAATATTTGCTGGGCCTCTGCTCTGCCCAGCACGGGTTCAATGCTAAGATGAGCTCGCCCCGTGTTGTAGCTGGTAAGTAGACATTATTCTCAACCTCCAGTGTGGCAAGTTGGTTATTTCATGAAATAGTTTGTATAAATCGATATGATTGATCCAGACACATTTAAAGAGTTTTAAATCTCCCTAATGACTAAAGAAATACAATTAAAATGAAATATATATTTTTTCTTAGATTGGTAAATGCTAAACTAAATAATATTGAGAGGGCAAATTGATACAATCTTTCTAGAGGGCAATTGGGCATATATCTCAAAAGCCTTAAAAAATCTATGTCCTTTGGGTCTCTAATTTTACTTGTAGAGAGAGATTTATCCAAAGGTCATAAATAGAGAAGTACACAAAAGTTTATGCTCACGAGTGTTCACTAGAACATTATTTATAACAGTGACCATTTGAAACAACATAAATATCCAAAAGGAGGACTAGTGAAATAAATCACAGTGCGTCTATATAGTTGAGACATGCAAATCAGTTTTTGGAGAATGATGACATGAAGGAGTGCTAAGTGAGGAAAAGCATGAGATGAAACCATATCTAGCACTGTCTGACAGAACTGGCTTTGATGATGGAAATATCTACCCCACTCAGGGTGGGGTCCCTACCGGTCTGTAGCTACTGAGCCCTTGAAAGGTGGTAAGTGCCGATGAGGAACAAAATTTGTAATTTTGATTAACATATTTAAATACAAATGGCCACATGTACCTCCTGCATTGGATAGCACGAGTATGGACACCATTATAGCAATCTGGTTAATTTTAACGTTATAAAACAGGAAAGAAAGAATATGCAAATAAGCTACACCGGGTCCAGGACCGGGCATCACAAGGAGACAAAACACCTTTGTGGGTCTGTTCCCACCTTTGTGAGTTAGGGGTGCCAGGGTGATTGTGTGTTCTTCTGTGTATTTTTTCAGTATTTATCAAACTTTCAACAGTGAACATCTATTACTGATATAATTAGGAAAGACACTATTAGTTACAATGAGGCTATGCATTACATAAGAGAGTTAAGATTTGAGTATTTAGGAAGTGCTATGGAACTATTTGTAATTGTTGTTGGTACTCTTTCCAGGCATTACGCCAAGTCCTTATGCAAATTATCTCATTTATGTTCGTGATATACTGATTTCTCAAACGGCAGTTGTCCTGCGGCCCAAGGAGGCAGGGACCCTTATTAGTGGGCGGAGCAAACTGAAGTTTGGAGAAGTAACGCGCTGGCGGGTTGGTGCGGGGCTGAGATTTGAACCTGCAGCTCTGTGGGCGGGGCGTCTGCGCCCTTCACCCGTGCGGACCGCCTTCCGAAACTTGCCGGAACATGCGCTTTAGGACCAGAGAGATTTGGCGTTGAGTGCTAGGTTTCTCACACGGGCTGTTGATCTCTCAGCAGTCTATCTTCTTTGGTTATAAAAGGGAAGAATATAACACAACGGTTTCAGTCTTCGTGTTCACAGAGCGGTCTCTGCATGCACGTTACCTGGGGCTTGCTAGAGATGCAGAATCTCAGACCTACTGAACCAGAGGCTGCATTTGAAAAAGAACGCAGGTGATTTGGTCGCACATAAAAGTTTGAGAACCCCTGGCTTGGAATGTGGCCCCTGGAGTCCAATAGACTTGGGACAGTGCCACTTACCTGCTGCGTGACTTTGAGCAACTCACTTGCCCTTTCTGAGCTTGGTGTCCTCCGTTGAGAACCCTGGCCGTACACTGCGCTCCAGCGGGACGGCGTGTGTGATGTTCCTAGCTCCCTGCCTGGCGTTCGATGCTCGGTGTGAGTAGTCACGGCAGCTCCTGCTCGTGGGGGTTTTGTTTGATGGCAGCCAATTCACATGGGGTCCCCGGATGGGGCCTCAACCAGGAAGCAAGATCTCTGAGCGTTCGGATGCAGAACCAAACACAGAAAATAAAGGTGACGTATTATTTGCAGTAAGACCAAATTAGTATCTAAATATTTCATTGAACCTCAGGGTGGCGGTTCCAGGATGTCTCCAGGGAGCTGGAGATGATAAATGTAAATCAACTATATCTTACCTGCTACGGGCGAGATAGTGTGAAACATCATCACTATTGCTTTTATCGCCTGCTATCAGCGATCATAAAATATTTATAAAGACTCCACAGGCCCACTTGTGAAGTTAGTCCTTCTCAGCCTATTTTGCTCATAATATACTGTTTTCTCACACTGCAAATTCCACCATTATAGGAATTTTCAGGCATCTAACATTGCCAGTAAAAGGATTCTTTCAGACAATTTTTCTTTGGCTGGGTTGATGCTATTTTATTTTTTCCAGCTTTATTAAAATATTATTGACATACAAAATATGTCAGTTTAAGGTGTCCAATGTGATGATTTGATACACTTATATATTGTAAAGTGATTACCAATAAGGTATTTGACACCTCCATCCCCTCACATCATTACCGTATTTTTTTTGTGCTGAGAACATTTAAGAGCTACTCTCTTAGCAACTTTCAAGTATATTATACAGTACTGTTAACTAGGATGAGTATGCTGTACGTTAGATCCCCAGAACTCATTCATCTTACAGCTGGGAGTCGGTGCCCTTTGACCCACATCTCCCCATTTCCCCCTCCCCGAGCCCATGCCAACCACCACTCTACTCTCTCTTTCTATGAGGTCAGCTTTTTTAGATTCCACATATAAGTGAGAACATTCAGTATTTGTCTTCCCGGTCTGACTTATTCCACTTAGCATAATACCCTCAGGGGCCAACCATGTTGTCGTGAATGGTAGGGTTTCCTTCTTTTTTGTGGCTGAATAGTATTCCATTGTATATATATATGTATTTTCTGTTTATCTGTTGATAGATGCTTAGATCGTTTCCATGTCTTGGCTGTTGTGAATAATGTTGCAAAGAACATGGGGGTACAGATATCTCTTTGGGGTGGTGTTTTCATTTCCTTTGGATAAATACCCAAAAGTGGAATAGCTGGATCATATGGAAGTTCCATTTTTAACTTTGTGAGGAACCTCCAAACTGTTTTCCATGGTGGCTGCACCAATTTACATTCCTACCAATAGTGTACAAAGGTTCACTTTCCTCCACATCCTCACCAACGCTTGTTACTCGTCTTCTTGATGACAGCCATTCTAACAGTTGTGAGGTATCTTGTTGTGGTTTTGATTTGCATTTGACTAGTGACGTTGTGCACCTTTTCATGTACTTGTTGGCCATTTGTATGTCTTCTTTGGAAAAATTAGAGAATTTTTCTTTGCCTCTTAAAAAATTTCTTCATATTGCAAACTCTCTTTCCAGATGCCATTTTCAGTAATTGCATCCAGCTGAGAACTGGCTACCTCCATCTGATGGCCCTATACATCCTCAAACTCAGCATGTCCACGATTGCTCTCATCCTCTCTTATAACTCCCTCCTCCATGATCTTTGGCCTGTTCAACTGAGACCACCCCCCCACCCCCGCAAGAACCTGGGACAGTGTGAACCTACACCCTCTTTGCCCACCTCAGCTGTCACCAAATGCTCTCCAGTGGGCTTGCTGCTGGGAGTCACGTGCCCTCTAACTCACCCTGCTCTCAGCCTTCACGGTGACCTTTCAGAAGCACCGATACACTCATGTTCGTCCACACTGAAGATGTGTTAGTGGCTCTCTGCTGTCTGCAGGGACAGGCCCAGACTTCTTAGGATGGCGCGTCTGGCCCAACCCTGGCTTACTTCTTGCTATGACTCCTCCACTCTGCCTTCCAGCTACACTGCCTGCTGGCTTGCAGGCTGCTGAACACATGAGGACAGCTCAGGTTCTGGGACCCCTGTGCTTAGTGTGGCCTCTGCCTGCAATGCTATTCCTGTCCCTTTCCAGGCTCAGACCACGAAGATAAGCCTGATTCTGCGAGAATGAGAGGTGATCGATACATGGCTTTTGAATGAATGAATGGATGACTAGTGTGGAAATACAGTCATTTACTTCATCTTTCCCCTATTTTGGTTTTAAGTTTGCTTTTCATTTTTTAACATTGTAAATAATTTTGCAGTAAACCTCACTGGAAGAAAAATGTTTCGGTATTCTGTATTATTTTTTTACGCTGGATCTCAGAAATGTCATTGTTGGGACACAGGCTGGGGTTTTTTAAGCCCCTTGTATTTCCCTGAGCGTCGTTCACGTGCCAGGATCTCCTGCTAGCTCGGTGCTTCCTTGCTGGGATAGATAATATCATGTTTATCTCTGTTCATTGGATAGATAAAAATGATTTTGCACTATTGTTTCATTTTGCATTTCTTTGATCATTGAGAAGGTGAACATTTTCCAAATGTTTCTTAGTCATTCTGTGAATTGCCTCAACAAACATATTACTTTATGGTTATATTTGGTTCCCAGGGGAGAGAGAAAAATCACCGAGCTTTTACCAGTGCGTAATTTCAGGACTAAACCAGGCAGGATCCGTCAGCATTGGGGAGGGGCCCAGGGGCCAGTGCTCGGCTCTTTCAGATGGCGGCCCAGGGCTATAGGAACACTTTCAGCCCTTCCACGAGCTGTAAGACTCTGCAGCTTTGCAGTGGGCTGCCCCGCTCTCCCCCTGGTTCCCTTTTCCTTTTCCTCACGGCCCTTGGCTCTGGATGCTCCTGTGCCCTTGAAACGCTGTAACTAACTTAGATTTCAGCCCTGGCCATCCAGACCGATTCGGACATTTGTCAGCTACCTCCCCAGAGCCGCAGCTACGCTGTGAGTCACCATGGCTGGTGGACAGAAACCATCCACTGCCCTCAGTGCGTCAGTGGCTTTGGGATATTCTTGGCAGCTCTTCCTTCCCTTCCTGAAAGCTTATCAACTCTTGGCTCTCCTACATGCTGATTGATCCTTCCATCACTGTTTGTCCCCCCAGCTGAGGCCCACTAAGCTGAGGCCTAATGAGGATGATGGCGCTCCCTACCAGGCTGGCCAGCCCCCTGCTGAGTGCCTGACATAAGTGCTTGACATCTGTGCCCTCATAAGCTGACCTCGCTGGGTGGCCCCTGTCCTGTTAACACGGCTTCCTCCTCACAGCCCTGATGCCCTCCAGCTTCTTGCTGGGCACAGTGTCCTGCCTGGAACCCAGGCCCTTGGGGCTCTCCATCCCCTGCCACCTTCCATGAGCCCCCCTCCCCTGGGGACAGCCCCTTCTTTCTGTTCCCCCAACCTCTGAACAAAGGCTTCCTTCGAACCCACTAAACCTCTCTGAGCTGAGACCCTGCCACTGCCATCTCTCCCCAGAATGTCCCCCTGTGGGTATTAATATCCACCTAATTAAGCGCAAGGTCACTGTCCCTTTGGGTCCTGGCAATCAGAAGGCTGAGCCTGCCTCAGGTGAATCTCCTGTGCTGCTGTCTTTGTCTCTGTGTCCTTGGCACCTCGATTTTCGAGTGTGGACTGTGGAGTCAGCCGGCTTGAGTGTGAGTCCTGCTGGACCACTCACTAGCCCTCGGACACTGAGAAAATTGTTAACTATCTCTTAGCCTCACATTTTCTCATCTATAAAGGGGGTATAATAATATCTCCTCCACAGCGTTATTGTGAGAATGAAATGAGACAATGCAGAAAATGTGCCTACCATGGCCTGGCACCTAATGAGCATCAGTCCATATGAGCTATCGGTGTCGATGTTACCGTTGCTGCTGCTCTGCGTCTGAACGGGTCCAAGCTCTGGAGTAAGATGCTGTGGAATTTGTGCAAAAGCTGTGGGTTGTGTTCAAATTCCTTAGATGCTCTTTACTTCCTTGCCCACCATATGTGAGTGATGGTACCAAATGCTTCATAGACGCAGAAAGATCTCAGAAGTATTTTAAAGCCTACCTTTTTCAGTGGGCATAGCCTTGGCAATGAACCAGCCACCATGGTAGGAGAGGGGGCGTCTGCTTGAGGAAATAAATGCCCACAGGCATGCTCACAGTGGAGACGCTCCTCGCGCTTTGGATGTATGCTCATGCACACACACACACACACACACACACACACACAAATCTGCAGCCGCACAGGCACCATTGCCTGAGCATTCTTTCCTTCTCACTTTTAGCAGGGAACAGATGGTCACAAGATAGTCATCATTTTCCTTCTTCAAAATGCAAACTGGGCTTTGTATAAAGCTAGTTAATTTATAGACTCCATCAGATCCCAAGTTCTTATGAACAACATGGGTAGTAAGTGGTGAGAGTCACTCACGTCCATGGTCTGGAGTTAGGGACTCGGTTAGAGTCATTTATTACGTCTCCTGCACGAAGGGAGAAAGGGAAGCATCAACGCTGGAGGACTCCAGGCATCTGATACATTTTGATATGTCAGAACACTGGACCTTAACTTAAGTATTATTACCAGGGAAACTAAGCTGTGTGGAGAGGAAAGATTGTGTTCCACGGGGCAGAGCATGACCTGGAAATTTCAGACCCGTGTGTTACAGCGGATTTGCGAGGACCGTTTTGTGAAGGCAGCGAGCAGAGCCGATGGTGGCAGTTAATTTTATACAAGGCTGTGCTGGCGCTGTGACATTCCCGGGAATTATCTTGGGTTAGCACCATCACAACCTTGCCTCCAAGTGCTGTCAGCTCCAGGCGGAGAGAGAGCATCTCGTCTCTTCCTTCGTGTATTTGTGAGGTTTCTTTCATTAGCGAGTGCTAATTAGGAAGACTTGTGTTCTCAGGCTAATCACAGGAATGCCATGAGGTAGCAGGAGGAAAAATAGCAGGCCTCTCAGGGCAGAGAAAGGAAAGCGAGAACAGAGCCTGGGAGCCTGTGATGTGTTGCTGCCATGAGAGTGAGGGAGCCAGCATCATTCGGCTGTGTATTTATGTTTGTCTCATCTCCCAAATTTCAGACCATGATAAGCATGTGCAAATGGCCAACTTGAGTCTTGCACACCTGGCCCAGCCTAAGCCTCTTTCTTGGATTCAGAGATTGTCGCGCTCTGAAAACACACTCTTCACACCCAGGCTGGAGGATGCCACAGGAGGCCTGTTGCGTGCGTCCCTGGATGACTTCACCGTGGAAACCAGCAAGGAGACAGGGGTGCGAGGAATTGGCGCCAGGTGAGTTTGACACATCTGCTCTCTGGGCCCAAACCGCCAGGGACTTGGTGCTCTGGAGCCATCTGTACCTGAAGAAATGGTTTAGAGGATGTCAGGTCTTTAAGGGAAGTATACATTCATTGGATAACTATCAGCTATTTCCAGAGATTTCCTGAAGGCAAGCTAGGGGTGAAATCTCTGCTAAGTGCTATAGGGCAGACTTCCCATCTCGCTCCTACGTGGCTTCTATGTTTTGGTGGAAAAAGAACTAGGTGATAACACGAAACTGAGGAGGACAAAATACACAAGTTGCAATAGGCCTGTTTGGTCTTATCGCAGCCCAGTTACTGTCCTAAGCACCTGCACACATCAACTAATTTAACTCTCACATCCCTGGGAAGTGCTTCTACTGTTCTCCCAGTTCTGCACGGGAAGAAATGGAAGGTTTGGGATTCAAACGTGTGCTGCTGGCCCTGGAGCCCCTGCTCTTAACCTCCACACTGTGCTACTTTCTCTCTTGATGGGGTGCTTGTAATTTAATTTGCAAGTGAAAATAACGAGCTTATAAATACAACTTTGCATTATCACACGATGATCCATAGATTTCAAAATAGCCTAGAAGTGGGATTACACTTCCACTGCAAGTTCTATAAATAGCACAGGTTCACAGACGACACGTGACCAGTGAGGGCTGCTGAAGGAGCTGTTTTTTGGGTGAGTTATACGTCTGCTTTGATGAGAGGGTACGATGACTCATTTGAACTGTGATATCTATGTATCTTAAAGCAATTCTTAGAAGATCGTTGCCTCAAGTTCTTTTGATGTAAATATGTATCAGCACACACTGCAGACTCAGTCAATAGTGATGAAGCAAAATTGTCTCTTGCTGTGTAACTGCCCCAAAGCACGGTGGCTTGGAACAACAACCATTCTGTTTTTCTCTTTCACAATTTTCTGGGTGAGAAATTCAGCCAGGGCTTATCTGGGTGATTCTTCTGCTTCATGTAGTATGGAGTGGGGTCGTGTGGTGGCACTCAGCAAGTCTGGTCTGGAGGCCCCAAGACAGCATTATTCACATGCCTGGGCCCTTGGTGGGGACGGCTGGGCCGGGAGCTCAGCTGGGCTCCTCCACTCCCTGTGTAGTCTCTGGCCTTCTCCACATGGTGCCTCCAGGCAGGTAGCTAGGCTTCTGTATGGCAGCTCAGGGCTCTAGGGGCACGAGGGGAGGCTGCCAGTCTTCTTAAAGGCTGGGCCTGGAGCTGGCACACCGTCAACATCTGCCATACTCTTAGTCAAAGTCGTCCCAGGTCAGCACAGATTCCATGGCAGCAGAAACAGACTCCACCTCCCAATGTAGGAGGGTCAGAGGATTGGTGACCATCTTTGATCTGTCACTCAAACTTAGAGTACTTTATGATTTAAAAGCCGTGACTGACTCAAGGCCACCTTGAGAATATGTTGACTACAGAATATCCCTCCTGAGGATGGTGGGGCTCCCGTGACCTGCCACTGGGCGTGCACAGTGGGGGCTTTGCGGCACTGCTTGGCGGCCAGCCTTCTCCATAGAAAGCTGAATTGGAGAGCTCAGTAAGCTCTGCTCTAATTTTACTTTACGGTTGCCCAATTTTCACAACCTCACTAACTCACTTCAGGGGTTACTAGTAACCCTCATATAGAAAGGGGAGTCTGGGGTCTCTAGTCGTCTGGAAGGCCCCCAGAAGCACAGCCTGGGACAACGACTCGGGTGCAGGTGGTTTTTGCTGAGGCGATGCCAGGAAGCGTAGTGAGCAGGGAGATGAGACCGGGAAGGAGGGAAAGTCAAAGAAACGGGGGATGCTGTCCTCAAGGTAAGGGTTTTGGGAAATCAGTGCTCAGTTCCAATGAGAGGTGTGTAGAAGGACTTCCAGAATCGTCCGTCTGAAGGACAGGAGGGTGGACACTCGGGCACCAGCTCCCATCCCCCTGGAGGAAGGTTGTTGGTGGGAGATACTAATTCTCCTATACTTTTGGGGGAGGTGAGGTTAGTGGGGTTGCAGGGCACCCCACATGGACAGGAAGCTCTAGGGCAGAAAGAGGACTGAATTTGAGGCAGGATGTTGTCAGCGTGAGCTGAATCTGGGCTCACATGGAACCACCCACCATCGCGGTGGCCAAGTCTGGGGTGGGCCACGGCCTAACGTCCGCTGGGCTCCATTGATCTCTGTGACGTGGATACGATGTTTGACCTTTCTGCTGGGGCTGGGGCAAAGATGATGCAGCCCAGGATCCCCTTCAGACAGCGTTCTGGAGTGAGCCCGGGTCTTGAAGTCCATGACCAATACCTGCTCAGCTGTCTAGTGCTGTGTGATCTTGAGCAAGCTGTGTAACAGGCCTGTCCCTCAGTTTCCTCATCTGTCCAGTGGTGATAACAGTAATACCCACCCCAATCGGGCTGAGTCTGTGATGGGTGTCCCAATGTTGGTGCCCCCACCCCTAGTCTCTAGGGCAGGAGTATCAACCTTTGTTAGGGGGCTAGAGTGGGTTCAATGTTGAAGGCAGGCACAGACACAGTGTTGCGGCTCCCTTGAGGGTGAGGTTATTATTTCCAGTAAGGGATGGGGGAGGGCTGCCTGGGGGAGGTGACACCAGCAGGCTGTGGGCATGGTGAGAGGGAGGCAGACAGGCAGGAACTCCATGGAAAGGCCCAGTTCATCTTTCTAAAGCAATCAGTTCAGCAGCTGCCGTGTCCCAGCCTTGAACTGGGTGCTGAGGAGTCAGCGGTGAGCAGGACAGGCAAACCCTGCCTCCTGGTGCTCACAGAGGTGACAAGCACAGGGCCTGTGAGGGCAGGAGCACGTTGTGCTGTTGGCCTGGAGCCCAGGGCATGTGACTGGATGGTTGAGAGCCAGGGCAGGAAGGGTGGGAGCGCACGCAGACATTGACACTGAGGAAATGGGGCTGCACCCCCAGTGTCACTCCTGGGCGGTTCTTTACTCAGCACCTCTCAGGACAGGAGTGCCAGTAGGGTGCTAGGCCTGATAGAAATCCCTGCCTCTCCCTCCTCCACTGAGCAGTTGGCCACCGACTGCCCCAGCAAAGGGCTGGCTCCTTGATGCCATTGACTCCATTTACAGCAGCGCCCCCCGCGTCCCCTCCTCCCCTACGTCCCCATGCGTTTATCTGTCTGTCCTGTTAAACAGCGAACTTCCAAAGGACAACTACACGCCCGAGGCCAGCATGTGGCAGCTTTCAGCATATGCCATTTTCTTTTTTAGCTTTTCAAAAGCTTATGTTAATTGTGGTAAAATACATACAACATAAAATTTGCCATTGTAACCATTTTTGGGTGTACAGTTCTGCCGTGTTGAGTGTATTCATGTTGCTGTGCAACCCGTCTCCAGAACTTTTCATCTTGCAAAACTGAAACTATACCCATCAAACAGCTGCTCCCCGTTCCTGGTCCCCGAGTCCCTGATGACCACGCTCCTGTGTCCTGTCTCTGAATCTGCCTACTTTAGGAACCTCATACGAGTGGAATCCTTCAGTGTCTGTCCTTTTGTGACTGCAGTAAATGCCAGTCCTTATCCTCTTTAAACAATAAAGGGTTGCATATGTAGCCCAGATCACGTGGACCGTAGGAACCTCAGACGGAAGGCCTACCTTCTCTCCAAAGGCCCACTCAAATGCCACTTGTCTCCGTCACCTTTCTTGGCCCCTCCCGGACTGCTGGGGTACCTCCTTCCTTGAACCCTGGAGCGCTCTGCCTACGCCTCTCCTTTGGTCAGCTGTGCATGGCACAAATGGCACCCTCCCACCCCTCAAAATCCCACAGTGGGCTGGAAGCTCCCAGAAGGCGGGGCCCACCTCTGCCCCACCTTCACCCTCAGAGCCTTGCCAGCCCAGGACCTGACACTTAGTGGGTTCTCAGTCAACTTGGGTTGAACTTCTGAAGTGCTCAGTATAAAGTGGAGCCAAGTCAGAGTGCGGCTGCTTCCCCAGTCTCCAAAGAATGGCTCTGTGCTCGCGCCTCGCCTCTGCACCCGCCTTCCCTCCGCCATTGCTCCTGTTCTTCCCTTTCTAGCTCTGGACCCTCGAACAGTGCCAGGCTCCGTACCCAGAGCAACTGGCATCACCGATCCAGGGATACAGCGAGAGTCTCCGTGGGAAGGGGCACGTGCCAGCATCCCCTGCCGTGGTCCTGATGCCTGAAGCAATGGGGTGGATGTGGGCACACTGAGGTTGGGGACAGCCTGGGTAACGAAGGGCAGCTGAACCTGTCGCAATGGTTGGCCACCCTGGAGACCTGGTGCCCACTTTTTCCAGGGCTCTGAGCACCCATGGCTTTGCATCACTTCTTGCTTCTCACTCCCTATTTTGCTCATCCCTAATGTAGCTTATCTTGTGCAGAGCTGACCCTGGGGGTGGGACAGAGTTCTTGCTTAATTGATTATTATCCTAGGGCCTAGAACATTCTTTGTTTATTAGATGACCATTTGAATGCCTGCATGAAAGGTTCTTGTTCTCAGCTTAGGTGGGGGTTCTGGGGCATACCCAGCCCAGCTAAATCAAAAGCAAACAATGAAAAACCAGGACCCACTAAAGGTGTCGATGTTTACACTTTCTGCCTCCTTTTGGTACCGTCACAAGCCTGGGAAATAGGAATATTATTCCTATTTTATGGTTAAGGAAATTGAGGTTTTGAATGGCTACATATTCAGCCCGAAGGAAAGAGAGTGGGAGGTTCCTAGGAGGCCCAGCTGACTCCGGGGTCCCTGTGAAGGCAGAAAGACCCCAAAGCCATTCTTCCTGATCCACTCCTGATGACCAGATCAGCCCTTCATGGGATCTGTCTGCTGGCTGATCAGGCCTGGGGCTGCCTTCTACAGGCCACCATCCATACTCAGAAATGCCAGGACATTTAGGGGACGTCTTATCTCATCTTGTCGCCTTTCCCTGCAGCCCCTGCACTGGCCGGGAGCGGCTGGAGAGCATCTGTTTGATCCAGAAGCCAACGACTTGTGACCCTCTCTCTGGGCCATCTGTTCAGAGCACGTGCACAGGTGGGGCCAGGCTGTGGGCCGGATGTCGGGTAAAGGAAACCTTACATGTGATGCTGCTTTAAATCTTTTGCCACCACTTCATTTTGTTTCCCTGATAGTGTTCACAATCCTTTGGGTTTTAAAGTTATTTTCAAAACTCCTTATGGTCAGGAAGAGTGCATACAGTGCACCCTCAGCTTGGGCTGGGCATGTGGATCTGAAATATTTCAGCGCTGGTGGGGGTTCCCAGTGCTCTGGTCCAGCATGAGGAATGCCTGCTGTGCAGAAGTGTGATTATGTTACCGGACCAGACGTGGGTCCCTTCTTGGGAGTTAAATCAAACTGCACCAGAAGTAGTTGTTTCCCAAAGCAGATTTTTTCTTTGCAGCATGCAGCAAAGAAAAATGGAGATGGTAGGGAATAATTTCACAAAGCTATGGCCCCCCAAGCACAGGGAGGTGGGTATCTTTATTCGGGGTAAAGGATGAATATTCAAAGGGGAGGTTTCATTGTCGCATGTAGAGGCAGGCGTAAGCTTGCACATGCGTGGTTGGAAATCATGCTTCTACATATATCGCATGATCTAAAAATGGCTGCTTACCCCGTCCCAGAGGAGGGGAAGTTATGATGTTAATGAGCACAGGTTACTTTAGTCCAACTCCCCACCTGTCTGTGCAGGTGTCAGTCTCGTGGTTGCGATCTGGGCCAGTCTGGTCAGTTTCAGAGCATCTGGGTGCTAGGCAGTTGTCGCTTAGAGCGTCTTCCTGGAATAGAGCTGAAACTGCATAAACTCAAGGCCCCAAGGTGTTAAGTAAAGGAACGCCTGCACCTTGCAAGAAGACAAGAGAATTAGGTCAAACACAGAGGTTAGAGTTTAGGCAGGACAGGAGAAGTGGCTTAGGGTCCATGTCTGGTGACAGTTAAAAAAATGCATCACCTACTTTAGTTACAACTCTTCATGCATGCCCAGATATCATCTCCCAGTAACCACCAGAAAACACGGTGGCAGCATTTCCCTCTCCTAATCCTCCAGGCAAGCCCCCAATGGAACAGAAAGACAAAGAGATTCCAGAACTGGAGAAAATATTTACACTTGAGGAGCATTAAGCCTGGGCATTGGGTCTGGAATACCACTGGGTGGCTCTTTACCATCCACTGTCTGCCAGTTCCACCGTGGTCCTGGGGAAAGGAGAAATGTGGAAAGTGTTGGGTAGTGGGTCACCATTTTGGGTTTTCCCATGAGCTCCATGAGCAGCATTGAAGTGCCCCACCCCAGGGCTCCAGCTGACCTGGAACAGCCTCAGGGCTCTGCTGTGGGTCTCCGCCACGACCTAAGCTGGGAGAAGCCCTTCCGGGCATCGGTGCTGGGCTGTGGGGCCAAATCACTCTCTGGTTATTGGAGACCCTAGAGGAGAAGGCTTTGCTGTCTCATCTCTGTGCTCTAATTGTGGTTTTAGTTTTCACTGCCAGCAAGTACCTCTCCGCCCAAATTCTGTCTTGTCCCAAGACCAATGCAGAAAAAAATGGCTATAGCAAGTTGTCAGAAAACAAGCATTGTCGCCTGCACTTGCTGCTGCTCTCATAGCCCGAACGTGACCAGCTCTGACCAGTGAGGCTCATGAGAAGCATGTGTGCATGATCCACCCCCAGGATTGTGCATGCGTGTGTGTGTGTGACATAGTGTTCACCCCTTTTGTATCAGGTCTCAGACAATTTGGGGGAGAAGCACAATGCAGGATGTTGTTTCCCTCCAGGGCCACAGAATAACAGGAGAAAGAGCTTCCCAGCAGAGCCGGACGGAGAAATCGTGCATGTGACCCTGACCCGGGATCCGCGGCGTGGTTTTGGTAAGAGGGCCCGGCAGGTGAGCCCCAGCCTCTCCCTCCGGCGGGGGGGAGGCAGGTGTATGTGTGCTGTCTTCCCGCCGACTTTTCTACTCCCCTTTCCTGCCTCACTTCTCCCAACTTGTCTTTCTCAGTGATCACTTCTGCTTTTTCCTCCCTTTACATGTCCACAAAGAGCAATGGGACTTTGGGGTCCACGTTTTCCTTTTAGACCTGATAAAAGGGGTGCATATCTTGAGAGTGTAAGTACAAGATAGAAAAAGATGTTTTTCCCCTAGTATCATGTAATACCCTTTCCTTAGTATTTTTAGATTCTTGGTGATGGGGAGGAGGAGTCGATATTTTCACTTCTTACTCTTTACTGCATTTGAAGACTTTTAAAAACACATAAAAAAAAGACACTGAGACAAGATACTTGACTAAAAATTAACCCTTTCCTATCTCTGATTATCTGCTAGAGAAAATTCCAGTGCCCATTGATGGGCTGCGTTCCTGGCCTTAACTGTCCTGACTAATGGGGGGCAATCCATTTTTGTCTGTGTGTCATGGAGGAGTAGAAAGAGCTGTTAGAGGATCAGAGGGCCTAGTACAAACATCAGCTCTGCCACATCGTAGCTGTGTGATCTCAAGCAAATAACCTAACCTCTCTGAGCTGTGAAATCATTCCCATCTTATGAAACATCATTGGATTACAGGTTTTGTCATTAATGAGGGAGAAGATGCAGACGAAGTTGACCCTGGCATCTTTATATCTTCTATTATACCTGGGGGACCAGCTGAAAAAGCTAAAAAGATCAAACCAGGTACATCTTTTTGAATTGCCAGAGACACTGCTTTGAGGAACGGCTCTTTCTTATTTCCCTGATGGCATTGTTGAGATGTTTTCTTTTTCCAGGAGGGCAGATACTAGCCTTGAATCGCATCAGCCTGGAGGGCTTCACGTTCGACATGGTTGTTAGAATGATTCAGAATTCTCCTGACAACATAGAGTTAATCATTTCCCAGTCAAAAGGTATGTCCTAACCTGGTTTCAGAAGCTGGAGAGTCTCCCTTATCTTCAGGGGTGCATTTTCACCCCTGGATTAAGTGGTAAGATGGGTAGTGGATTTTTAAGTCCGTGAAGGGCTTTGCATTGCTTTCCTCGTGGTGGTGGCTTCCCGAGAAGCAGTATCGTGGCAAAGATCAGAAAGCTCAGCAATTTCAGGGGCCGGTGGGCTCTCCCGTTGCTTGTCCTGCCGAATGGGTGCAGCCTGCTCTGGTTCTTGATTAGACGTGGCCAATGCAACCGTTGTATTGTTTCTTGTCCACATGTCTTGCATGACACTCTTTGTCATCCAAGTCCTTTTGAAAGTGACCGCTCCAGCATTTCTAATAGCTAGGGCTTAGGTGTGGCAATCAGGTGGGAAGGAGACAAGGCAAGTGTTCTTGAGCTGAACTCGCATAGCAAGCATGCTCTTCTTACTTAAGACAGGGCATGAAAGGTCAACTAAGAGTAAAGCTGTGTTTTTTTTTTAAGAAGCTTTTTTCATCCTTTAGATAAGAGCAACAATCGCCTATATCAGAACATAATATTATTATGCTTATTTGGGGCAGGATTGGGGGGTTGATGGAGATGATGGGGCATGTTAACCTCCCCTTCCCTCCCAGTTACTGGGCACCGCCACTGCTTTTTGACTGGATGATCCTGTGTTTAACAGCAGACTACTGCAATCCAGGCTTGTGGATTTCCTCTTCACGCTCCAGGGTCATTGTACAGTTTCCCCTTATGTATAGAAATGCTTCACGTCACACTAGCTAGCATTTTCTAGATCCTAAATGTGGGCACCCCATTTGCCTTGCCTGCTGAAAACCATGCACTCTTTCACATGTGCACTCCATCGCCAGATGGCTTTCCCATGTGTTGTAGTTGCCCCTGGTCCAGAAGCCGTGGGGAGATGGGAGGTGGCAAAGCCGGGGCCTCAGCCACACACCTTTCATCCTGTGGTTGGAGCTGATTTGGGGGCCTGCCCTAGCACTTTGCAACACCAACCCCTGTGCACTGTCTCTGTTGAGTTTGCCAGCATTGTCACTGTTCTTCCCACAATATTTTAGCTCTTATTGCATTTTCCTCCACACATGGCTCAGGTAGGACAGAAAGGAGCATCCATTTTCATCAGGAAACACAATACAGCCGAGCTGGGATCAATTCAGTGTTGTTCAAGGATGGCCTGTGTGATGGCGGATGTCAAAAATTGGCACCCAAGCTCTGCAAAACTCAAACCACGGTCTCACTTTGGAATTTTAGATGATGGATTTCCCACAATGCCTGTGAATCAGGTGTCCTCTCACAATGCTGCCTCATCACAGTTGGGGTTCCTTACACAGCTGCTCCCGTTGCTGGAGGAAGTCATTTCCACAGTGACGCTGGCTGGATCACAGTGGGCAGAGGCTTGACTGCCATGAATTTCTATCTGGTTAGGCTGCTGTTGGGGCAGGCGATCTGGATTGGAGGTCGGGGACAAGACAGATAACATTCTCATCATGAGCAGCCATCACTGTCTATGATAGGTGGAGTTTTAAGTACCCACGGAAGGTCTCCTAGGTTGCATTTCCATTAGGCAGGACACAAGTTGCACAGCTTGACTTTTTAATTCAATCGTAAGCCAGCCCCATCCTCATCTCTCGTGGAGGCTGTGGGAGAGAAAATGAACAGATACTTACAACATTGCCGGAAGGACAGTGGCAGTAGAATCTGTGAGTGAAATGAATAAGGTCTTACGGAACAGTGGCCTCAACACTCTCTTCTAAATACCTTTAGGTTTGAATAATTCCAAATCTAATTCATTAAATTAAGTTCACACAACATGTGAGTTGGGCACTTACCTGGGTGCTAATGAATCTGTATCAAAAGTAGTAAACCTACTCGTGTGTTTATATTCCCAGATCTAAAGAAAATCTAACTATTATGCCTTCTTCCCATGTACACTTGTCGAGCAGCTAATATTAACACATTAACAGTAAATATATTTATTGAGGCTCTACTCTCTACTAAACTGTAATCTCTTTATCTTTCTCTCTCTCTACCTATATAAAAAATCTCTCTCTGTATGATCTCTAATCCTTACCAACCCTACAAGGTAGTTGATACTATCTCTTTTTTAGATATAAGGAAATTGAGGTCCAGAAATATTAACTACCTTTCCCAAGGCTTTCCCTATTGATCCCTGACCTCATGTTCTTTCCTCTGATCTGTGCCAGCTCAAGGGTCAGACATAGGGTTGATGGGGATCAGTGGCCCAGCCTTCACCCACAGGGAGTCCACAGTCTGGTTAGTGACAGGTACCCCAGAAGGACCTGACATGTTAGTCTTTGGAGCTGTGGTGTTTACAGGCATGCTCAGCAGGGTTTCTGGAAGAGGCTGAGTTTAAGAGCAACACCACGTGCTGGTTGTGGGATTTGGGCAAGATCTCCATCCTTTTGACTCTGCTTTCTCATGTTTGAACTGGGATAAGACCTTCCTGGTGGGTATGTTGAAAAGATGGAAAGATACATATATGTGTGTTTATGTGCATTTGTGTCGCTGTGTGTGTGTGAGAATATGTGTGTTTCTGAGTGTGTGAGTGTATGTGTATCTGAGCATGTGTGTGGTGCCCATCACACGGCAAGAACTTAATAAAGGGGAACTGGCATTATTAACTCATGTAATTGCTCCTGTGTTTTCATAATTGGGTTGTGCAAACTCAATTTCAGTTTCAAAATCACATCCAGAATCTTCCGTTCTTCTGTTCTAAATACGTCATCCTTCAGGAGGGGCTAAGTTCACATCGTCGCCAGCAGCTATAAAAGATCACTGCAACACTGGAGGAAAACAGTGCGCCCCACCGAGAGATGCCACCGAGATGTGAGCCTCTCTGAGCTGTTGACTTCTTCTTGGTGGTTTTTATAGGTGTTTGTGGAAATACCCCAAGCAAGGAGAAGAATAGCACAGCCCGCTCTGGGGGCTTCTCTACAGACAGCCTGACCAATGGGCACCAGGGAGGCTGTTCATCACGCACACCAGACCAGGAGAGAAATACTGAAGAACTAGAAACAGCTCTGGCTCAGAGCTCGATGCCCGGGCGGAGCCCTCAGCTCTCCCCTCTGCCATTAAAGGTAATCCTCCCCTTGGTTCACTTTCTAGAATCTGCAGGAGAGAGAACAGTCCATGGTGCCCAAGAACCCTGGCATCAAAGTCCCTCTTTGCTCTCTCTTTGCCAAGTCAGGTGGATAGAGGGGACTAAACCCCTCTGGCCCTCAGTTTTCTCGTCTGAAACACGGACGTAAAGGCCTGCACTGCAAGGTTGTTGAGAAGAACATCAAGGGGAAAAGGGCAGGCTCCCAGCCACAGGCCTCCGTGTTTGAGCCTCCAGCCTCCTTACCAGCTGATTACAATTATTACTGGTAATAACTGTGGTTGCAGGGCAATGCAGGGACAATCAGGCATCCCATATTCTTGGCATCTAGTTGGTCCTTGACTGCGACTCAATGGCTTTGCTGTTGACCAAGGAGGAAGAAGACAGAGGCTGGCTTTGGTGTGCAGAGAGCTGTGTGCTTCAGTCCCGGGCCGTCCCCCTCCAGCTATGTCTCCTTAGACACAGGGTGGAATGGTCTCCTTTTGCCCCTTCAGACCTTTCTTTTTTCTGCCCGGGGACCCTTAAGGCTGATGTTCGTGGACTGTGTCAGCTCTCTGTCTTCTGATTGGCTCTGCCCCCCAGAAGCCCTGTGCCTAGAAAAAACTCCTTGTTTTCCTTTCCTCTCACACGACTACCCCACACACAGCACTTCTGACACCAGATGTGTGGGCTTTCCTCGCCAAGCAATTCTGACACTAGCTGACTCGAGTCGGCGCCAGATCCCACGGGGCAAGGGCTCAGTCCCTCAAGACTGCCCCCACTTCAGATGTCAACTGCAGGTGGTAGGTCCCCAGGTGACACACACTTCTGACTTGGCTACAAATTGAGGTTCCCACACCCCTTCCTTGGGTTTGGTGATTTCCTGGGTCAGCTCACAGACTCCGGAAAACTTGTTATTGCTGGTTCATTACAAAGGATGTTTTAGAGGGTACAAGTGAACAGCCAGATGAAGAGAGCTGTAGGGCGAGGTCTGGAAGGGTCCTGAGCACAGGAGCCTCTGTCCCCGTGGAGCTGGGGTGCACCACCCTCCTGGCACGTAGATGTGTCCACCAACCAGGAAGCTCTCTGAACCTTCTGCTTTTGGGATTTCGTGGAGATTTCATCATGTAGGCAGGAGCGATCGTTAACTCCATCCCCAGAGGACGGGGAAGAGGGCTGAAGTTCCAAGCTTCTAATCATGGCTTCATCTTCCTGGAGACTGGCCCCCATCCCGAAGCTGTCCAGGAGCCCAGCAAAAGTTGTCTCCTTAGAACAAAGAACACTCCTGTTATCCAAGAAATTCCCAGAGATTGAGGAGCTCTGTGTAAGATGCTCCTGGCATTGCTATCACTCAGGAAATTCCAAAAGATTTGGGAGCTCTGTGTCACGCACCATGGTCAAAGACCAAATACTAGAAAAAAATATGCTCCCAGTGCTCTTAGTTCTGAGGAAATGACAAGGGTTTAAGGAGCCGTGTGCCAGGACTGGGGGCAGAGGCCAATATATATATTTTCTATCATTTCACACCTTGGTGGGAGCCTGAAGTTGGGGGACGAGCAGGGACAGACTTGTCGCTCTTTCCCCGTGCTCAGGTTGGCGGTGTCCCTCTCTCGAAGAGCAGAGCCCCTATCAGCTGCTCTTTGCTGTAGGACTGCTCTCTGGGTTGCATCGGCCCCTCCCTCCGCTCACTCCTTAGGCTCAGAGGAGGCAGCCACCCACTGTTCTAGACCTAGGGTACTTGGCTCTCCTCCTTGGTTTCTCTAAATGCTGCCAGCACCCTTGAGATCAGGCCTCGCACGAGCTCTCCTCCACCCCCCAGGTTGATTGTGTGTGCTTTCTCTTTCTTGCTGGGACTCTGGTTCACACAGGCAAGTTACCCAACCTCGCTCGACTTCATTTTTATCTTTTATAATAGAGGTGACCATGCCTGTCCACAGACCTGTGGAGATGCAAGTGCCCAGCACCTGGCTGGCAGTAAGGCTCCATGAATGCTAGTTCCTTTCTAACTGGCCATGGGCTTAGCTGGATGGTGCATCCCAGGAAGAGCCGGATGAGGGGTCAGCAAGAGCATAACGCTAAAAGCAGACATTGATAGAGTAATTAACCGGGTGTCAGGCAGGGTCCTGAGCGCTTGTATGCGTTACATCATGTAAGCTTCATTACGAGCCTCTGAGATAATTACTGTCATCAAGCCTTTTCATAGGTGGGGTCCTGAGGCACAGAGAGGAGAAGAACATGCCCATGGTCTCTCGGGGAGTAAGTGGCAGAGCTGGGATTCCAACCCAAGGAGTGGGACTCCGCGCAGCAACCTCCGCCCCAGGGTGGCCCTTCAGAAGGCCCCCTTTGCAGGAATCAGGGCCCAGATGGCTTTGCATGGGGGCTTCTGGGGCAGCACACCTGTGAGCTGGTCTTTGATGAGTAGTTGAGGGGAACAATGGTACTCTAAGGCCACAGCTGACCACGGCACAGGCTGCGGAACCTGTCCAATCCAGGCTCTGCTGGGGCACGTGGCCGCTTTGCGGGCAGGTCACCTTTGGTGGCATAGCCCAGTGTACACTCACACTTGGGACCTCACCCTCAGTGGTTGCTTTACTCTTTGAAATTTAAAATTTGGACAAGACACCTTGCCCGGCCGGTGGGTGCGGAGTGTCTCTGGACAATCGGGGACTTGTCTGTTACTACACTGGTCTCTTTGGAACCTCTTCTGTGGGGTTGATAATTTTTTGGCTCCCTCTAGCCTGTTCATTTTCCTGTGTGTTATTGTATTTTCCAACATGGTGGACCAGGAAGCAGCTAAGCAAAGGCAGATAGGGCCCAACGCTGGGAGTATGGGTGGCCGCATCTTCCGGGCACAGCTCGTTAAAAGTCTCTCCCCCACTAGACAGTGGGTCAGTCTGGGCAGGTCTGTCTTACCACTGCCATCCCCCGCACATGCACTGCGCCTGCCACAGAATAGGTGTTCAACTAACGTTGTCACGTGATTGGATGGATGAATAAACAGATCCTACACGGTTATTGTCATAGTTCACAGCAAAATGCCTGGCACGTGGTAGATAATTCTTCTCTTCTGTCCTGCCCTCAAGCCTTCAACCACTGAAAGTGGAAACCCAGTGCAGCTACTCTTGCTAGGGGTGGTTGAAGGTCTTCCTGAGGTTTTCTTCTTATTAAGAAGCTGCTGTGTGTCTGGTGTCCAGCATGCTATCACTTGGCTGGTGTCATGTATGAAGCTACCGGGAAGTGCCTGGATGACTTCACGTCTCATGATGATATTTGCATCTTGAGTGGAAACAGGAGGGGACCTCCATTTATTGAGCCCTGTTGTGTGCTGGGCATCATTCACAGCCACGGTTAGAAGGAGATCTCTCATTCTAGTTCTGTGGATTGGGAAACTGAGGCTGGAGAGACCAGAAGACTGGTCCAGGGTCACACAGGGAGGAGCTGATAAAGCTGGGAATGAATCTGCTGTTGGCCCAGCCCTCAAAGTAATGTGCCTTGTGGTGTGCAATGCTCCCAGCTCCTGAGAGCAGCTGAGAGCTATGAGGAGCCGTCTGCTAAGGCATAGTGGGTACCTTTATGCCTTCCTTACTTTTGTTTGTTTGTTTGGGGCAGGGTGCTGGTTCTTCTTGTCCTCCATCACCTTCAGAAACCAATGCCAGTGAAATCTACTTTGTGGAACTGATTAAAGAAGACGGGACTCTTGGATTCAGCGTGACTGTAAGAGTTGTTAGGAGAGCTTGGAAAGTAAACAGTTGAAAAGACGTTCACTGGAGCCTTGGTGGGCATGCCACTCATATGGTGACAGCCTCTTGATAATGTGCTCCCTGGGTGCAAGCAGCACGTGGGAAGTGGGTGAACCAGGAAAAGCAGTGGGGGCCTGCATGGGAGATGGGAGTCCAAAGACAAACTGGGAGACACAGGGCAAATGTGGGACGAGCAGGAAGTGCAAGCAGTGGGGGTTGGGGATTGGGTGATGGGTCCTGACTCTGCGGTTCCCAGGGACAACAGGGAGAGGGCAGCAGGGCTGCAGGGACAGAGGCTGAAGGGGAGTGGAGCAGTCCACGGTCATCTCGAGCACGGTCACCATGGAATCTGGTGCTCATGCCTCCAAGGCCAGGACAAGCTCAGGCTGGCAAGACCTCCGTTCAGGATGAACACTTTGCATTTGGTTTTGAGCTCTATCTGGCAGACCCTGGAGGAAGGAGGAAAAACCCTGTACAAGAACGATATAATCCTACTGATGTAAAAAATCTGTAGTTTTGTGTGTATACATGCATGAAGAAATTAGAAGTCAGAAGATAGAGATCTTTATCTAGTGACCTGTAGGGATGTTCACAATCTATTATTAAGAGGAAAAAAAAAAATAGGAAGGAAGTGGCAGAATATTGTGTAGTTTAATTCTACTTTTGTAGCCACAAATCAACACATGAGCATACAGGACATGCCAGGCAGCAGCCTTTGGGCCTGTGGCCGGATCCACCAATGCTGGTCACTGCTTGTGGAGAGACGGTGTGGTGCGTTGCTGTGACTCTGCCTTCTGAGCACCTGCCACGGGCACATGCTGGGGTTTGAGAAGGCACAGCTCCCCTGCCCAGCTCGTTTTGTTAATACTTCTCCTGAGCACCGAACCTTCCTGCTCAGGGGATAATATGGCCCAAACAGAGAAGTGGATATATGAGATGGTGTCACATGGAGATGGATGGAGTGGCAGGCGGGTGGGAGTGGCCCTCCCAGGACGGGGCAGACGGGCGGTGACTTTTTCACTGTGTTTTCCAGGGCGGCGTTAACACAAGCGTGCTCTATGGAGGTATCTACGTGAAATCCATCGTTCCTGGAGGCCCGGCTGCCAAGGAAGGGCAGATCCTGCGGGGTGAGGCATGGCGTCCCCCTGGGGACTCTGTGCTCTGTGGTGTGACGAGCCCTGGCCTGGGAGGTGCAGCCTGAGACCTCGGACAAATGCTTGTTCTCCAGGTCCTGGTTTCCTCACCTGGAGAAGGGTGATTTGACCCGGCCCGCCCCCTTGATAGGTTAACGTGGGGATCACAGGTTTGTCGTGGCGCACTGGGAAGCATAAGGTGATTTAGAAATATGAGAGTTTCAGTAAGCTTGTTGCTGTTTGGCCTTTGTGGGAGAAAGTCGTGCTTCCCGTGGAGGACAGAGCACACGTTGGTGGCCGCCACTAGTATGTGGGGGCGACACCGCCAGCCTCCTCTCTGCCCTTCCTCATGTCTACTGCTCAGAAGGAAGGGGGTTATTTTTACTCTTTTCCAGAACAGCCAGAATGGAGCTACAAAGGGCACCTAAGATCTTATCTCCGTTTCTCCTAGTATTCCAGTGTCCCTGGCATCAACCAGGTCTCCTGGACCTTTGTGAAATAATGAAATCCTGGAGATATAAATATTATTCCTGAGCGACTTGAAAAAACGGTTTCACAGGCAAACAGGAGAAAGGATGAGGTTGTACAGAGCTGGCTCGACCGCTCTGTGAGCCAGGAATAGAGGGACTTCTAGATAGCTGACATGTGAAGGGGTTCCGAGAGGCCCTGGCCCTCAGGCCCAGGCAGGGCTCCTGGCAGCTCTGCTTCCTGCCCCTCCTCGGGGCTGCACGGAGGGGTGCTGGGCAGGGGCCTCCCGAGAGAGTCCTTCCTGCAGCCCAGGAGCCCAGGGACATGACGTCTGTCCCCCTCCCAGGTGACCGGCTCTTGCAGGTGGACGGAGTGAGTCTGTGCGGCCTCACCCACAGGCAGGCCGTGCAGCGCCTCAAGGGTTCTGGGCAGGTGAGTGCACCGTTCCCGGGAGCTGCTCTTCCTTCTAGAGATTTCCCAACAACTTCAGAACTGCAGTTGCCTCTGGCGGGGAGAAGGGGAGGTAGGTGGGAAACAAAACAAAATTTTTCTTGGTTTTCTTCTCTTTCCCTTCTTCCTTTTACTAACACTTTTCTATGGGGCTGTTGAACGCGGGAGGAAGCAGATATTCCCAAGCAGAAAGTCTCACCCTCTATAAATAGCCTTGAAGAGCTTACTTGTCACTTGCCTGCATTCTGGAATCAGACAGCTGCACAGGGCTGAGGGAGGGAAGCGACCTCTCCGGCCTGGCTCTGGCCGCCCGCTCATGCTCTCTGCTGCAGCCCCATCTGACCAGTGCTGCCTTCTGCTCCCAGGCCCCGTCACCCAGCTGCCTTTGCACGTGCTGCCACCCCTCCCCCAGTTCATGCCGTTCCCAGCACCCTGTGTGATTAAGGCCTCACTGTCCTGGGATTCACATCCCAGTGAGGTAGAAATTCAAACGCCAAGAGCCAGTGGCGTTCACCCATCCTGTTCTCCCTGTTCTGTGCAGCCCAGGCAGCCTCTGGATGTTATCACGCTGTTTTCCGACCTCTGCCCGGGGGTGGGAGCCTTTACTTGCCCCAGTGTCCTAAGCCACAGGCCTAGCATCACCCTCTTGGTAACAGGGAAGTCGGCAGAGACAGAAAGGACTCCTGGAGGCCTTCTGGCAAACCAAGTGGCGGAAGGGCCCCTTTTTGCTTCCTTTCCCAAAGTGGTCTTCTGGTTTGTGGTGGGAGTTACTTAACGCTGGTGACCTTCACTGACGTATCTTGAGAACAGAGTCACAATTTATTAGTCCTCTCTGTTCTTTAGACCTTTGCTAATGAACATGTTTAGAGAAGGTCCTTGGCCAGCCCACTGGCAGTGATGACAGGTAGGAATTGTCACTCTGGGGTGGTGGCTTGGTGCTGAATGACAGTTGCAGCAGAAGGATGTTGACAAGGCCAAGTCCCCTGAATGAAAGCTGAGCATTCCTAAAAAGCTTCCAGTTGATGTCTAGCCACTGGTTGTTGAACCATGCTTTGGGTAACAAGAGCGTACAGTGTGTGGGGAAGAAGGATGGGAAATCAAAGCAAAAAGAAAGGGCGAGGTCAGCTTGGCACAGGCCTGGGGTACCATGCTAGGGCAGTGGGCTTTAGGTGGTGGGAAATATTGGAGACTTTTAATCAAGAGTGTTGCATGTTCAATGTGTATCCGAGATCAATCCACGGGTACCCAGGAGGGGAGTGGACCAAAGGAGGAGAAGATAAAGTCCAAGAAGCAAAGTTAGCTGCAGCTTGCCACAGTCCAGCTGGGCACTGGCAGAAGACGAGGGAACGGAGGAGGGGGAGCCCTGGGGAGACGTTCCTGATGGAGAACATGCAAGCCTTAGAAACCAGATGGTATTTGGAGGGCAGAAGGGGGAGAGCTGGACCACTGCAAGTGTGGCCCCTGGGAGGATAGTTGAGGGGTGGTTCCATATTCTATGAGAGCAAATGCAAGGTAGGAGTGTTTTAGGCAGGATGGGGAGAAGATGGGGAAGTGAGGGCGAGAGAGAGGAAGAAGATGAATTTGAAGTGGAGGTACATGTGTTACTTCCAGGAGCCTTTCTCCAACAGGCTGTTGGAAATATAGCTCTGGATCCCCCAAAATAGGCTAGATTGGAGATTTTGATTTGACATTCAAATGAAGCAGCTGCTGGAAGTATCAGAAAATTAAGAAGCATTTACTGGGTGAAGGGAGAGCCTCCACGTTGCCATGAAGTGTAAATTGAGTCTGTCTACTCATCCTTCTAGGTGGTAAGACTGGTCTTAGAGAGAAGAGGCCCCAGGACCGCACAGCAGTGTCCTTCTGCTAGTGACAGGATGGGAGACGACTGCACGGCTGTTTCCTTGGCAACAGCCTTGCCTGGCAGGCCCGCAAGCTGTGTCTTGGCAACAGATGGTGAGAGAAGAGAGAATTGAGTGTTACTATTGTCGTGTCATCCTGCGCGCCTTTTGAATTGTCAAGTCAAACGGGAAGCAGGAAGGCTTCCTCTGGGTTCTCAAAGGATAGTGAGCAGCGGTGGTCGTGACGTGGCCGCCTTTCTGACACGGTCAAAGTCAATCTAATGGAATATGTTTCTGGAAAAAAAAAATGCATTGTCCTAAAATGATCACCAGGCATCATTCTGCCCCCAAGCCTTCTGAAGTTTTCTGCTCAGCTGCCAGAATGTTTCTGTTTAAGTATTTAGGGATGAAATCAGAGTGAAAGTGTCATGCGGTTTTTGAGCAAAGCTCCACATTCCAGTCAAGACACTCCTAACAAAAGATCCGAGGACCGATGAGGCTGGTTTGGGAGAGGAAGGTGCTCAGAAATCAGGCTTATTATTAGCATCATTCAAAAAAGCAAACTACTACAGTCTGTTTATGGGGGGTCATTGTGCATCTCCTGATGGGGTGCTTCTCTGCACCTCCCTGAGATTTTGCTTCCTGCTAGGAAAACCTTTCTTCCCTTAGCATATCATGATTTGGAGCTTAGCCATTTTTCTGTGCCTTTATAGAGATTTTCCTGAAGGTGTAAATCAGGTAGAATGCCAGTGACATGCCACGGCGAGTGACGGAGTTGGGTGGAGGAGGGACACGTGCATAAAGCAAGTCTGTTTCCTATTTCATTGCTCCTCTGCTCACTGCGGTGAGGGCCTTTGGGCAACTGACTATAAAATAAGCCTAGATGACAGCGATGGGGAAACTGGTCATACGACACAGCGGGACCTAAAAGCTTCTGACACTTTTGTTCTTGTCCCGAATCAAAGTGTACATCAGGGCTCTGTCCCTCTATTGACTGATTGCCAACTGAATTGGTGAAGGCAGACTAGCGGGGGCCCTGGAGGCCTCCTGGGCTGTCAGATGAGCGAGGTTCCTGAGGCTGTGCCCATCTCTGGTGCCCAGAGGCAGCCGCTTTGTCTTATGGTCAGTTCATGCGGCTGAACAAACAGCAGCTAAAATGTTTCCACAGAGTTGACCATAATTGTCTCCATGGTCTAATCAAACAAAACTTTGTTTCAAGTATGCTAAAAAAATGATTGAGGTGCAAAGGAGTAATAGGAATATATGTGATACAAGTTTTTCTAAATGATGCTGGCATAACGTATATGTCTATAAACTGTATCTTTACATGTAAACTTTGTCCACTTACCTATAATATGGTAGCTACTTGCCACACATGGCTACTGAGTATTTGAAATGTGGCCAGTCCAAATCGATAAAACACATACTCGATGTTTGAAGACTTAGTTCATAAGAAGAATGTAAAATATCTCAATAATTTTTTTCATATTGATTACATGTTGACATGGTAATATTTTAGATATATGGGGTTAAATAAAATATAAGATTCAGTTTACTTTGCCTGTTTGCTCTGACTTTTTATCTTATTTTTATTTATTTATATTTTTTGAGGAAGACTGGCCCTGAGCTAACATCTGTGTCCACCTTCCTCTGCTTTATATGTGGGATGCCTACCACAGCATGGCTTGCCACGGGCTGCCATGTCCGCACCCAGGATCCGGGCCAGTGAAGCCCGGGCCGCCGAAGCCGAACGTGCGAACTTAACCACTGAGCCACCGGGCCGGCCCCTGCTCTGACTTTTTAAAGCATGGCTATTTAAAACGTGTGGTTTGCCTTTGTAGCTCACAGTCTGTTTCTACTGGACGGCACTGATCTAGAGCATGTATAACGGACTCTGTCATAAAAATTAGCAGCATGAAATCTCTTTATGTAAAACAGAAATAATTCAGCTACTGGACGGTTTTCGTTTGGAGGCTGATCCGTTTCATTTGTAATCGACTGAAGGATTTATCTTGTTCACACCGCACGATACAGGTCCTACGTTTGAAGTCACGCTGAGAAAGAACGCCAGTGGTCTGGGCTTCAGCTTCACGCAGATGGAGAGAGCCCGCTGCAGCCATCTCAAGAATGATCTCGTGAGGATTAACAGGCTCTTCCCGGGGCAGCCAGCTGAGGAGAACGGGGCCATCGCGGCTGGCGACATCATCCTGGCCGTGAACGGGAGGCCCACGGAAGGCCTCGTCTTCCAGGTGGGGGGCGAGGAGGGAGGCAGCCCCGTGTGCAAGCTGAGGTCAACCATGCTGCACCCAGGCTCTCGCCCCGCAGGGAATGCTCCAGGTTCTTGAAAATTGTACTTGGAGCCTAGACTTTGATTGCCACTGGCAGAACATTCTCACATTTAATTTTCCATTCCACTTCCTAAATGTCTGACCTTGAGTGGGCTTTTCTTTTAATTCGGTTCATAGTGAAACTGCAGCTGAGGCCCTGGCTTCTGTGCCGGCTGAGGGTCTCCTCACACACATTCCGAGGGGGCTGACAGGGTGAAGGGACTGCAGTGGGTCCCTCTCTGCCCTTTGTCCCACGTCTCTGTTTAAGTTTACAGCTTTTGATGTATAGTATTGCACTGGTTATCCTGTGTGTGATAAAAAATATAATTAAAAAAAGAGAGTGAAAAGGGCGCTTCTCAATGTTTATAGCACAAAATCGCAATGAAATATTATATGTTATCAGTCAGGGTCCTGGCAGAAAGTGGAGTCATTTGAGGAGAGTTTAAGATAGGTGTGGGACAGTAGTTGGGAAGCTCCGGGAGAGAGCAGAGCCCTGGGGCTGGGAACAGTGGCTGCAGTTCTGCACGTCCCTCAAGTCCAAAGGGGTATGGGAAGGGGAAATTAGCCAACCCCAGCAACTGAGAGCTGGGCAGAGCAGACCCTGCCATTTCCAGCCAAGCACTGTGCATCGCCTTTGTGGGTGCTGCACGCCGGCAGCCTTGGCTCCTTGCACGTTGGGAGGTCAGGCCCACAGTGGTGTTCTCCAAAGTTCTCTGGAGCAGAGAAACAGATCAAGGTGGGGGGTGGAGGGGCCAGTGCCAACGAGATAGTTGGGAGCACGGAGGAGGAGCCCAGCTCTGGGCCAGCCCCACCTCTAACCGCAGAGTGTGGTTTCTCCTAGGAGGTGCTCCATTTACTGCGAGGGCCCTCGAAGGAAGTCACGCTCCTGCTGTGCCGCCCGCCCCCAGGTGCGCTGCCTGAGATGGACCAGGGATGGCAGGTAAGGGTGGCGCCCTCCGCTCTCTCGGCACGCCTCGTGCTCAGGCACCCTGCTCTTGTCTGCTGGGTCCTGAGGAGCCCAGCTCGGCGTTAGCTCGGGCTCAGCACGACCTTTGCCTGCTGGGGCGGGGGAAATAGCTGGTCCCCAGCCTCCATCAGTCTGTGGCCGTTCCTGAGGCCCTGTCTCTGTCTTCTCCTTCCCCTCTTGCTCCTGCCTCTTTCCAGCTTGGGGTCTTCTGAAAATGGTTACATGTTTAGAACGTGGCTGTGAAACTTCTAGAGCCAGGCTCCCTGGCAGCCCAAGGATCAGAGAGGGGAAACCCAGAGCAAGGGGAGTAGGTGTGAAACCAGAGGGAGGGAAAGTAGGAATTTCCATTGAGAGGAGTGAAGTGGAGAACAGGCTGCATGGCCACCCTCCCAAAGCATGAATTAGACACGCATGGTCTGGTGCAAAGAAAAGAGGCTTTAGAATCAGGAAAATTCAGGATGTTTACCTTGATGCCTGTGTTAGTCAGGTTATCCAGAGCAATGTGTATGTGTATCTACAGGCTCTCTAGCTCTGTATCTCTATCTCTATCTACATAGAGAGAACGATTTTAAGTGATTGGCTCATGTGGTTGTGGGATTGTGGGGGCTGGCTGATGTAAATTCTGCAGGCTAGGCTGGCAGGCTGGAAACCCAGAGAGGTGTGTATGGTGCAGTGTGAGTCCTAAGACAGTCTGAAGGCAGAATTTGTTCTTTTTTGGGAGATCTCAGTCTTTTTCTCTTAAGGCCTTCAACTGATTAGATGTGGCCCACCCACATTTTGGAGGATGATGTGCTTTACTCCAAGTCTCATTTCAATGTTAATCTCATCTAAAAGATACCTATGCAGAAACGTCTAGACTAGTGTTTGACAAAATATCTGGGTACTGTGGCCTAGCCCAGGTTAACACATAAAATTAACCATCACAGTACCACCTGTTGGGTGCCCGGGACACAGACTCTGTTGCAGAGATTCAAGCACAGGAAGTTTGTGGAGCCAGATGTTGGGAACACCTGGGGAGGGTGAGGGGAGCAGGGAGCAGGGCTGGGTGGAAGGGAGTTGAATGAGGCACAGCTGCACAGATGCTGTGGCTGACACAGGGAGCTCTGGAGCTTGGATGGCCCCTGGGAGCTGTCCTGACCTGGGGCAAGAAAGCCCATGCCTTTGGTCCCCGTGTCAGTCAGCACCGGGATGTGCGCTGCCCCCAGGGGGTGGCCTAACTTGACTGAGGCAGCTCCTGTGAGCTGAGCCCAAGTCCCGGGGAGGGGCTAGCTGTGAGCTGTCCTGGCAACTGGCGGATGAAAGCCTCAGTCCTGGAGAGGGGTCTTTGTGGGCACCCCAGAATCACCCGCACCTGCTCTGCCACTCGCTTGCTGGGCCCTGGGCACATGTCTACCGTCTCTAGGCCTCATGATTCCTTAGGTATAAGACGCGGATAAAATCAATCACTTATCATCACTGAGGGTGACAGTCACTGGCGACGGCATAGGGGATTTGGTGACCTAGATCCTCTGAATTCTTGGACTTGAAAAGTTCATTTGATACAGACTTAGGTGAGGAAAGAGCTATAGGAAGGAAATCCAGAAGCTGCCACTTTGGAAAAGAAGGTAGATGATGTGTTAAGTAACTGAACAGGGTGGGCGCAGGTCAAGTTTCACACACCCGAAGATCGGGCCAACGGGAAAGGCCAGGGACGCTGTCCTTCTGGTCTAGAGAATAGCTCCTCCCAGAAGAGCCCAGAAGAGCCCGCTGGACAGGGCTTGGGTTGAGGTACTATGAGCTTGCTTTCTCTCTCCTCCTACCTGACAACCACATGGAATAGGAATTGCCATTCATTCATGCGGCTCCAGAGGTCAGATTGAAGACCGAGGAAAGAGGCATTTAGCTCATAAGTAGAAAAGCAGTTATGAGAACGAGGCAGCCATGCAAACGCCTGGAGTAAGGTCATTCCAGGCAGAAGGAATCGCAAGTGCAAAGACTCTTGAGACAGGAATGAGCCTGGACGTTGAGAGACAGAAGATAACAGATGTGCCTGGACTGCAGTTACTGAAGGGGAGCGCGGAAGGGGAGGAAGTTGTAGCGAGAGTCAGGGGCCATATCATGCAGGGCCTTGTAGGCCTTGGTAATATGCTGATTCTATCCTGGCTGCAACGGGAAGCCATTGGGCTGGGAAGGGTGGGAGGGTGAGGGGTTAGCAGGAACGTGCACTCGTCTGGTCTAGACTTTAGAAAGATCACTCCGGTTGCTGGTGGAGATGGACGGGAGCCAGTTAGCCAGCAGCCATTTGGGCAAGATATTATTGTGGCATGGACTCAGGTTGTAACAAATAGTTGGTAAGAAGTAGTTGGATCTTGGAAGCAGAGCCCATAGGATGACTTTTGGATTAGATGTGGGTATGAGGAAAGAGAGCAATCCAAGTTTGGCTCGAGCAACTGGAGGAATGGCGGTACTACTTACCAAGACAGGGTATGCTTGGAGGGCAAAGTTTAGAGCAGTCCACGAAGAAGCAGGAGTTCCTGACAGCACGCCAACCCAGAAAGTTTATGCAACAGCCAATGGCGATGTCCATCAGGCTGTTGTCTGCAGAGAATTGGCATGAAGTCAGGGCTGGAAAAAGTGGATTTGGGAATTGCCAGCAAGTAACGTCATTTAAAGCCATGCAATGGAGGAGATCATTTTGGGGAAGAGTACAGATAAAGTCAAGAGGAGGGCTGAGACATGAACCACGGGACACCCCAATGTGGGGAGGTCTGGTTCAAAGAGCCAGAAAATGAGACTGAGAACAAGGGGCCTGGGAAGTGGTAGGAAAACCAGGCAAGGGCAGAGTCCGGAGTAAACTCCATGCTTAAGTGAGTTAGTGAGTAAAGGATGCTCTCGAGACAGAGGGAGGGACCAACTATGCTGAATGAGATGAGGACGGATGACTGTCCTTTGGCTTTAGAAAGATGCAGGTCATTGGAGACCCTGATTAGAGCTTTTGCAGTTGAATGATGGGGATAGAAGCCTGGTTGGGGTGGGCACGAGGGAGAAAGGGGGAGATGAAGAGCAGAGAAATTGGGTGGCTGGCAGTTGGAGGAGGATGTTGGGGTGGGCATGCAGGCTGGTCAGTAGAAATGCTATGGGGAGGTGAAGGCTTCTATCTGAATGTGTCCACTCTCACTGTAAAGTAAGAGGCAAGGCTGGGGTGGGGCGATTGTTGGAGACTTGAGGAGAGAGAAGAGGGCAGAGAGAACAGGAAGCCGAATTTACTAAGGAAGTAGAGAAAGATTATGTGGCAGTCTTGAGTGCCCACTCGACATCTGCGCTCACACAGTTGACATTAGTCTGTGGCTCAGAAGCGGGCCACTGTGAAGTCCACATCTACTGTCACTAGGAGTTGGAGTTAAAATACAGCGCCTGGGAGTAACAAATGATGGAGGCAGACAGGGACAAGAGGCGGGAGCTCAGAGTTTCCAGTGTTTTTATGAGAGCGTTGGTGGGGCAGAAGCATGGAATCTCAGCAGAGTGAAAGGAAAGGGAGGACGTTGGTGGTGGGGGAGGGGGAGGCATGGTGAAAACATGGTGGGTCCATCGACGGGAACCTTGGAGAGGTCCAGGATTGCTGGAGAGTGTGTACTGGGGATGATGAGCCAGAAGGAGAGGAATAATTAAAGGTGAGATTTTGGAGGTCTCCCAAGGAGCATAAGAGAAAACATAACTGTGCTTACTGTTGAGTTTTTACCTGATCCATTTTGAATTTTGATTTTTGGCATGCCCTTTATAAAGTACACTGTGTATCAGTAGCGTTGTAAGTGTTTATGGTTTATAATTAAGTAAAAGTTCCTATTTGGTGTGCATCCCCTCTCATTTCAGGGAGTAGCAATCAGAAAGGCGAGGAGACCTGTGTGCTGGGTGGCAGAGAAAGGTTCCCCTCTTAGAGGAGAGGGCTGGGGTGGGAGCCCAGCCCTGACGGCTTGAAAGTCCACACGCTCCCTTACACAGGGATGTAGGTCATGGAGTGGAAGTGCTAAAAGATAACTCTCAGGAAAAGATAAGATCCTGACTCTCACACAGATGTAAAAATGAACTCACGTTGATGATTTGATACAAGTCATTCAGCGAGGAAACCAGGCAGACGTTAAAACAGGTTCAAAAGGGATTTCAAAGAATGACCTGTTTATTTTTACAGAGTTAAGCAATAGGAATGAATGCAGCTAGAAGCAGATAACCAGAAGGTTGTGCCGTAGACAGTGCACAGTTTCCTACAGAAGCACAGATTTTTTTTTTCCTGTAAAAAGTTAAGCATTATTAGAACGTCATAGCGGGCCATCAGTCATAACCTAAAAGGCCCAACAGGGATGGCAGCAGTTGAGGAGAATCAAGTCCTGTCCGGAGAAGTGAGGAGGAGAGCCAGGACCGGGCATCGTGATGGGAGGGGCGACGGGGCTCTGGAAATGGGCCATCTTGGATGGGGACTGATGGAGACAATGAGACTAAAAAGAATTCCCTACTGGAAAGTGGCATAAAGAGACATTGTTACTTCTGTTTTCATATTTTCTAAGTTTTCCAAATTTTTTTATTAAAAAAAATAATGTTCATGTTTATTGAGAGCTTCTAATGTCCCCAAGCTAAGGGGCTTGGCGATGGTTAAGTGTGTTGCTTAGGGCCCAGTGGGAGCTGGGGTCCTGCCGAGAGGGAACTGACCCCAGAGCCCATCTCTTAACTGCTCTGCTCTATAATCATATTAAAAAAATTACTTTTTAAACTAGCAATTTTTAGATCTTGTTCGGTGTGCATCATGGATCCAGTAATCCTTGGCGTTTCTTCGAATAGATACCCGTGCTCTCAGCAGACAAAGAATTCACCAGGGCAGCAGGCAGTGACTCAGAGCAGAGCCCCAGCCTGGATCAAGAGGACAGCCAGAGGGACAGTGCCTCCCTGGACACAGGGGAAGGCCTGGGTCTCAAGCCAGAGTCTTTCCAAAAGGCCACCAGAGAGGCCCAATGGGACCAAGATGTAGAGAGACCCTTGGCCACTTCCTTGCCGCGTCGTCCTCAGGACTCCCACCCTCACTTATGCAGACTCCACCAAGAACTGGATGCAGCGGCTCTGCCTACCTCTCTGGAAAAGGACGTGAGGCAAAATTGCTATTCCGTTTGTGATATCAGGAAACTTGAAAGGTAAGAATCACCATGCTTGCAGACATTTTGTAAACTGTATGCATTTTATTGCCGGAAATTACAATCGAGCAATCAGTAACGGTGCTCACTGCTTCCTGGGCCCAGCACTGTTCTTGCCATTGGGAGGGGAGGCGGAGACAAGAGGAGTGTAATACAGGTCTGGGGCTGCTGTAACCACAGCTTGTGAGCCTGTGGGAAAGCAGACCCCACCCTGTGGTCTTTGGATGCCCCTCGAGCCTACAGGCAGGCCTCGGGGTTTTCCCAGCGCACAAACCTTTGTCCTGCACCCCGCATGGCCCCTCAAAGCATTGTGGTGAGACAGAAGTCCCCTTGTATGCATCCTCATTTCTACTGCTAATACAATGCTTTACAATCAGCATCAGCTTTAGAGAAAAAACACATCTGCATCTTCAAAACCAGACTGAAACATTCAGTCTAATAGCTATTTTTAACTTGGCCTCATTTTTGTGCCCCCTCTCCCCACCCAAGTATTTTCAGTTCTCAGTCTTCTTCTGATGGAAAACATACTCTTCGATTCCATTTGGCAGTATTTATTACACACACCCAAGGTGCGTGGACACCCGTGAAGAGCAGAGAGCAGGGGACCGATACTGAGAGGGTAAGATACTGCTCCTAGGTGTGTGCTGCCTGGATGCCCGGGCGCAAAGCAGCCAATAACCAAGAACACTGGTTTGTGTTTGGCTCTATATAAACCCGTTGAGATTAGATGGCCCTTTTTTGTTGGTCATCTAGGAGACCGACAAGGGCAGATCTATAGGGACTGGCATGTGACATGAAGGAGGAAGCAGCCAGTGAAATGCAATTAGGCAGGATGAGATGTGTGACACCTGGGAGCCGGGCATACGTTCCTGAAAAGTGTTCAGATAGAATTTGGAAAAGAATACTGTACAGCCAAACAAAACCCAGCAAGGCTGCAAAGTAGAAGAGAATGGGCAAGCATGTTCATGGGTGCTATTCATTTTCATTGTCTGAAAATGCATAATCACAGTGTATTTATAGTTCCTTACAATGCATTCGAGGCAATAATCGATATACTTGATCAGACGATAAAGGAAATAGCCCTCCGAGATTTATCCAAGGACAACTGTTACTGCGATCTTGTAGGGAATATAAGAGGGGCGGTGCTTCCCTGTAGGCATGGGGCCACTCTTTCAGATTTGTAAAGGTTTTACTGCCAGATAGTTTGGGGTGACGGACAGAGACCCGGAATACTGGGTTGTAAAGTGACTCTGGGTTTAGGTACAAGCCCGGAGTTTGACTTGTCATGTGCCTTTAATCTAATTTGGTGATCAATAGTTAATATTATTATTATTATTATTTTATTAATCATTAGTATAGATAGTCACTGTTTCATTCATGGACTCACAGAATCTCAGGGTTATCCAATAAGAAAAGAGATCTAATACAACTCATACCCCACGTGGAATCTCCTTTGTAACATCCCCGAAGTAGGGGCTGCTTTTGCTTGAGTACCTTCATGGGTGCAGAACTTGCTGCTTCTGACGGTGGCCCGTTTTATCCTCACAGAGTTCTTGAAAAAAAGTACTTCCTTATATGAAGGTCAAATGTGCCTTTCTCTGTCTTCTACTTGTAAATAGACCCCTGTTTCCTCTGACGTTTTTGTCATTCCCTTATTTTTTGCAAGAAACATCACATTATTTTACTTTTCTGAATCAAACTAAATTTGGCTTAATAGCTCTACTCTCAAGGGTAGACCAGTTGTCCCAAATCTGCCATCCTTGGAGGCGGTTGCCCCCTCCTAGAATTACACAAGAGTCCTCAGGGCTACGTTTTTGCTGTATTTTCTCTCCCCTACTCAGGAACCTTTTTTTCCTCTGAAGGAAGGACTCAAACCATGTTAGCATCTTCTCCAACGGGACGTTAGCTTGCCCTTAATCACACATAGTTGGTGACTGCCCCCTACAGGAAGAAACGCGTAGCACGTGCCCAGCGATCTCTGAACACAGTTCCCCCTATTCCTGGTGGGCTTGCGGCTCTTTGCAGACCCTCTCTTAGAAGTGTCTGCAACTCCCTTCTGAGGTGGCTGTCCCAGGCAATTGCCTCTTTGCTTCTCGCATCCGGGAGTCAAGCTCTCTTTCTGCACTTTGGAACAAAAAGAACACGGACTTCTTGATCCTACAACCTTGGTTTCAGCTTTCCCATTTACTAGTGTCCCTGGAGAGTAGACTTCCCTGAGCTGGAGGCTTCGCAAATGTAAACGAAGACCCCAACAATTCCATGGGGCACCGTGCAGGTCAACAGCGATGACACGTGCAGAGCGCTGTCACAGAGCCTGGCACACAGCAGGAATGCAACACAAGTCAGGTTTCTTTCCCTTTCCTGAGCTATTTCCAGCTAAAGGACAGATCCCATGAATTGCAATTCCCAGCAAATTGCCAGAATTTGCCATCTGCCAGGTGGCTACCTCCCAAAGCCGGGTGGCTGCCAGCACCCCAGCAAACCCAGAGTGTTCACGGAGAAGATGAGTGCCACTTTTCCTTCCTTGGTCTCTTCTCTTACCACACTGCATATCTAGAGACTGTACCATATAATAGTAGCTCTTTATGAAGTGTGTTATGATGAAGTGGTACAGTACTTTCTCATGGAGGGATGCTGGGATTGTGTGCCTGCCAAAGGGAGGACTTGGCACTTGGCTTGAGTGACATCTTATGCAGGGTTAGTTTCTAAAGTTAGGGCATAGAGCAGAAATCACATCAAGTCGCATGACCCACAGACATCCCTTCGGAAGGTGTGATGTTCTCTGACCCCTGGTTTGGAGCAGGTCGCATTTTCTTTGGCTGAGCCTCAGATGAAGTCTGGTGGTTTGCGTTTATGGGCCATGCTGTCTGCAAAACGCTTATGTTTAAATACTGGCCTCATTGGAATGAGGGGATGGCAGAGTCAAGTCTCCCACTTACACTCATGGAGTGGAAAGTCGGTCATTGCAGAAGTTTTAAGGTTATTTCTCTCTCTCTCTTTGACTAGCACATGCAGTTAAATTTGTGTTATTAAATTACGTGTAGTTTCAGCAAGTAGCATTTGGTGAAAGTGACGATAGAAGTCTTTGTGGTTATTTAGAATGCAAAACCAAGGTGGAGTCCTGGAAAGGAAACTGAAGTCACTACAGACCTTCTGGGAGGCGCTGCTCCTGGAATAGCAAAGGATGATTAGGAGGCTAAGGGTCTAACTCAGCTGCAGCTGCCCACCAGCTGTGACATCAGAGTAGCTGGGCAAGGCATGAGGCTGCCAGGTGAGTGGCGCTGTCACTCAGGTGGGAGGTCACCTGAAGTCAGAGCGTGACTGAGGGGAGTGTGTGAGGCAGATGCCCGCGAGGCACTATGGTCGTCTAGTGTGGCAGAGCAGAGCCCGCAGCAGGCTAGGGCCTGGGCGCCAACTTTAGCATGGTTCTCTCCGCACGCCTGTGGGCTCCTTGGGAAACCTCTCCCCCAATACACACCTAGCCAGGCACACCACTCTGACCTCTCCTAAATATTGATCTCCAGCTCAGGACTATCATTTGAGCTTCAAACCCAACAGTCCACTGGAGCTCTCTACTTGATGTCTTAGAGAGACGGCAGACTCGACCTGCCAGATGTTCAACTCGGCACTGGCAGGAGCACAGCCCCCCAGCTCCTGGTTGCACTGGCCGGGGCTGACAGGGACGTCGGGTGGGGCCTGATGCTGGGAAACTGGAGAAGGCTGAGCCTCACGTGAAGGGAGACAAAACCTGAACTTTGCTGTGAGTTTACCCACAGTCAATAGGGCAGTTACAATACCTAGCAGCTCAGGCCTGAAAGGCTATCTACTCTTTTGCCTTGTCTTCCTTGGAGGTGGACATGATTTTGGTGGCCCAAGTCCTAAAGGACAGATGTCCAGGAAAGTTTGGCACAGGGTCTTCCATTCTCAGTTAATATCCTGGAGCAAGCAGAGGCTTCACAAGGATTTCACTGACCTCAGAGCTGACCTGGCTCCTTCCTTGAAAGCGGTTGCTGCAGAGTTGCAGGATTTGGGGGGCCTGGTTCTGGGGCCCTGCCAGCTTGTGTTGGGGAGGTGGCTGTGCAGGGAGCCCGAGTAGGGTCTCCAGGGTCTCCTCGGGGTACCACCTGTCTGTACAAGGCTCCTTTTGTCAGATAGCTTGGGAGGGAGGGAATGAGGGCAGGGAGCAGCTGAGGTGATTGAGTGTTCTTGGGGGCGAGCAGAGAGCTCCCAGCAGCCTGACCCCTTCTGGCTTTAGATGGCAGCCCTGCTGCCTTATTCCCAGAAGCCCTGAGCTGGCCTTGAGCCCTGGGTGAAGGACTCTTCCTCTCTACCTGGCATGTCCACCTGCCACAACATCTGGCCTTGCTCTAAAGCCATGCCACTGTCCTCATCAAATTCCCCAAATCTGCAAGTCTTGCCCGTTCCATGAAGCGGGTTCTGCCTGGGGATTCCCAGGGGCTTTCTGGTACCTCTTCTTTCCTTGCTCACTTTTCCTCACGCCCACAAACTCCAGGTCAGATCTCCAAGAGCAGCTGGGGGCATGTGTGGAAGGAATGCCTAGGGCCGTTCTCCCTGACTTGTGGTGAGACGATGGCCAGGATTTCACTGTGGGGACCACTGAGCCCTCTCCAGACCATCTGAGCCCCTTGTCTCTTGCCTCTCAGGCTGATGGGTCTCTGTGTGGGCAGGGCGGGTAGCCGGAGCCCCAAATCAAACCCGGAGAGCAAGGAGCTCGTTGGAAAGGTCGGAGGAGTTTGGTGGTGGGAGGTGAGGCGTGGACCATCAGGGGCTGCCCTGGCGGACTGCACGTGATGCCTCCTGCTTCTCCCTGGCAGGGAGGGAGGGAGAGGCGCCTGCTGGGGGTCGGGGGTGGGGGCAGGTGGGCCTGGGCGACAGGCTGGATTTCTGGTTCTTTGACAAAACTTCCACAGTGTTCCCCTCTCTATAAGAAAACGCACTTTCTACATGATTCGGTCAAGGGCTCTAAGGTTTTAAACCAATTTTCCTTCAAAGTGCTTAGCAATTTTTAAATATTTTTTTCTTAAAGTGAGTGTCCCTGGAGCATACAGTCTCCTTTTCACTGGCACGAGTGTTGGTATATTTACATGAAATGCACATTTACTCGTACCCTGCGGCTCTCATGAGCAGAAATAATGTTTCTTCTGCAGCAAAATTCAGTTGGGACAGGTGCTTCGGCTCTACTGAGGAAGAGGGCCGGCTGTGTGGGGGTTTGGGAGGTGCCAGAGTTGATTTTAAGGGAAAGAGACATTTCAGGAAAGGGGGTGGGGGGCAGGGGCCACATAACAAAGCCAGCCCATTGATCTGGGGGTGGGGAAGAGGCTAATAATCAAGGATCTGGGTGTTTGGTAAAAAGCTTCGTCTATGTGCACTTTTTTTAGCTTTTCCTGCTCATCCTCTCTAACCAGACTCTCAACAGATATTTTCTGAGCACCTTCTCTGCATGTTTGAAGCTCTGTGCAAAATGCTCTGCCGTCTGCATGGACAGCTCTTTCCAATCAACGCGTGCGTGGCGACCTCCAGGCAGCCCCTGGAAGGCTTGATCTTGCCGCTGTGGCATCTGCGTCTTCATCGCCAGATGAGGAACCTTGCTGTTCATCTGCTTCCTGTGCCACACAGGGAGTAAATGTCACTCCAGCTGGCTGTCTCTCCGAACAGGCACTTTTTCAGCGCTCAGAAAAGGACCTGATATTTGCACCAAGTGCTGTGAAGGTCACCTGCTTGAGTTGCTCCCAACCTCCTGCTCTAGCCCTTTCCATGTAATTCTTCTGTTGAAATGCTAATCATGATCATGGCGGTAATGATGGCGTCTCCTACTTACTGAGAACTTACCCTGCACCAGGAGCCGTGGACGGCTGTGTCAGAATGATTTAATTTAAGCATCCCAGCAATCTTGTTAGTTTCTTGACCCTCCCATTTTTCAGATGAGAAAACTGAGCTCCCAGAGAAGTTAAGAAACTTGCCCGAGGTCTGACCGACTCCCCACATGAAGGGGAGTCCTAGAACTGGGTCATGTCTCTGGTTCGATGCTGTGCCCTCTGACGGGTCCCCCACGGTCTCCTGGGCTTGGTAAGGATCTCGCGCTGCTTCCATAACGCTGTGCTGCCTCAACCATAGCACTTACTACCTGGATTGTTGCATTTGTTCCCTGCTGGCTCTTCCCATTGAATCGGGCCTCCTCAAGGACAGGGGCCATGCCTTATCCACTGTTCATTTCCTGGTCCCGGAGATGTCTCTGACAAGAACTGTTTGAACCCTAGCTGGCTCTCATCGTGTGTCATGATGAGCATCCTCAAAGGCAAGGGAAGGCGGGGAGAGGAATTTCTGATCGATGCTGGAAGATGCATGGGTTTCTGTTTTCTAGTCCTGAAGTGGACGTGGATGATGAAGGTGACGTGTGCCATCCACCTGAAGCCTCTTCTCCCACCACGGAGGATGAAGCGCATCCTACCATCAACTCTGCGTCCGAAGGCCGGCTACCCTGTGGAGAATGCTTGGAGGCAGATTCAGAGACCATCCCCTTGCCATAGTTCTGTTCTTGGGGTGCTCTCTGGGAGTCTTTGCCTCTGGAAGCGTCCATTGATAGTGAGAGCGAATGGCAAGATCTAGAGGAGGTCGTGGACCCAGATGATGGTGCCTCGGGTGGGTATCACTCTGTCTGGGTGGAATGAGGCTGGGCTGAGTTCCTCTAGTGGGACTCACAAGAGGCCACTTTGGCTAGGTTATGGTTCATGGGCATCATGCGTTTCCCCCTAGGGGTCACACATCATCACACCCGGCGTTTTCGCTGAGCACTTACCATGGTCCATGTTCCATGACAACAACCCTATAAGATAGAGTTATCACCATCCCCCTTTTACAGATGACACATTTGGGACTTTCTGGGGGTCCTACAGTGAGTAAGTGACAGAATTGGCATTCAACCCCAGGTCTCCCACTCCACAGACCGCGTGTTCACTGCTCTCCTCTGCTGCCTCCAGCACTTGGCTGGACACCATCTCTCCTCGGGCCTCTCTCTTTCGGCAGGCTGCTTGTGAAGTGCTGATTCCTGTTTTGCCTGCCCCTGCCCACCCCTGGGCTAGATCTGATATTTCAGAGACGACTCATGGCATCATGTAATGGCGCCCTTCTTGAGCCACTGTGGCTCCACACAGTAAGCTCTTTCTTGTTCAAGAAAGTCAAACTGTTGACACAAGATGCCACAGAAGTTGGGACTGGGTTGCCAGGCTAGGGTCGGGTGCTACTGAAGAAGACGTGAGAGGAGTAGGGAAAACAAAAACCGTCAGACTGGAAATAGAGTGGGTGAAACTCTTGACGGGTTGGTGAGCCACCCAACTTTCTGTTAAAGTGCCTACAGCATGCATAGTTGCAGTATTTAAAAAGGGCTGAATGTTCAAGAAACGTTCACATAAACGCATTTTCAGGGAAAATTGAAACTGACCACGGCATCGGCTCGTGAAGACTTAGTAATAACTGAAACACACTCATTCACTTTCATTCTGTCGCGTCTCAGCTACGTTTCCCCACAAATAATTGAACTGGATTCTTAGAGGAGAGTGGCAGGTGAGCTGATGAGGTGGGTGGATATTTTAAATTCAAATATAAAAAAAACGGGCTGGTTCTTATCTGAAATAGGAAGCAACAAGTTACTAGAGGGGATGACATGGAAGCTTTGGGGACTGTGCGAGTCGTTTCAGGGGAAGTCGGACACGCTGACAGCTTTGGGAAAGATGCATTATGGATTCGCAAAAGTGTGGAGCAAGCAGGCAGCGGCTTATATGTGGAGGGCGATCTTCCCAGAGGGGGCTCCTCAGGGCTGGGGAGCTAAGAGAAGATAGGCTCAGCAATGCTTCAGGGACCCTCAGGGAAGCAACTAAGGACCATGAGTGTCAGTCCTTATGAAATGTCCCAGGAGATCTGCAGTGTCGCGGAGTGGGGCTGCAGAGAACAGAGTAATGAAACAAGGTTTTACAGTAGGAGGGGCTCAGGCTCCAAGCCTGCCTCTGCCACTTACTAGCTGGGTGACCTGCAGCAAATAGCTTTTCAACCGTCTGACTCAGCTAACTGACTGCCAAATGGCAGTGATGAAACCCACCCATGCTGTTATCGCAAGAATTAGAGGACAATGTGTGTCGAGTGTTTAGCAGACTGCCTGGCACATAGTAAGGACTCAAGAGGCGTTAGCTATTTTTATCATAAATCATAAAGGACGAAATGACTTCAGTGAGATGATGCAGCCTTTTTAAAGCATTTAATCCTGTTGGGTTTTTCCATGTAGACAAAGGAGCTGAGCAACTTTGTCAGACCTGGGCTCTAACATGAGGGGTGGGTGGGGTGGGGGGAACTACTGGTTTATGGCAAGAGTGTCGGGTCTGGGGTGGACCGAATGGCCCTCAGCTATGGAGGATGGCTTCGGATGCAGTTAGACAGAGACCTGTCACAGTCGCTTATCCTCCCTGATGGTAGAAGGCGGGTGGCAGGTGTGAGCACTCAGGAGGGAGTTCTTAGCCTAGCTCCACGGAGCAGCCCGCAGCTGTGCTTCGAGGCATTGTGGACCTCCACACCTAGAGCGTTGACTTGCATGCTTCTTTTGGAAAAAGCAGCTCTTGACATTCTTTAAATTCTCTGAGAGTTCCACAAGCCCCCCCAAAGCTAAGGATCTCTGTTGTGTATTTGCCCTCTTTCATCCTGGGAGCGGGGAGAAGTCTCGGAGGGTATGCAGAGGACTTTGCTTATGGATGGAGTGGTGCATCCTTTAAATCTATATAACAAATTATTTTATTTGGTCATTTTAAACATTAAGACAGTAATAGTATGCAAGTAGTTTCTATAAATGATTTAATTTAATCCTCACATCAACTTTGAATGGTATTCTTATTCCTCTTTTAGAGGGTTTTTTAAATTTGTCCAAGATCATACAGCTAGGAGGGGTGGATTCACACGGCATCTGTCTGATTCTACTTTTGGTGCATTTTTACATTTCCTCTACAGTGTGTCTTTCCACGTGGACTTGTGTAACATACAGGTCCTTCCATCACGTGTCATGAGTCCTACTTTTTTCCCCTCACAAAATATTTCTCTCTAATGAGGCTAAAACAACTCTCACTGTCCACTGAGATTAAGAAGGCCATCCAACTGGTCTGTTTAGGGACGGCTGCTGGCCAAGTGGTGAGGTGACCCAATAAAAGCCATTTATTGTTTTAGGTGGACACATTCTCCAGAGGCAGAACCCAAGGGTTTCTGCACTGATGTCCTTTAGACTGTGATCACGTGGGAGCGCCTTTAGATGCCCCTGGTCCAGAGAATGCACCCACAGGCTCTGCCTCCAGGAAAAAAGCCTGTGGGTCCCTGAAAAGGTGACCTGGGATGGAGGGTCTGGCCCAATTGTTAAGAACTAACTTCAAAAAGATCATGCCTGTCACTTCTGAGACTCATTTTGAACAGTAGCCATGACCTCTCTTCAGTTCTGGGGTGTATGTCAGTAAAGCTTGTGTGGGTGTGTGCGTACCCTTGCACTCACGGCTGGGGGGGGTGAGGGGCTTCCTCTGGTGAAGGAATTTGAGAACCAACCTCCTACATCAGGGTAAACCAGACAGAGTGGGGTCTCGCTGCTGCACTGGGGCACAATTTCTGGGACAGATGCACTGTTCCAGTTTGCGCTTTTTAGATCTCCGTTTGTTGAAGGAGTTTCCATGGTTTTCAAAGTGCCCCCCAGATCCCTCGAAGGAATCTGCTGAGGGACTTGGCTCAAAGGCTATGGGAGTAATGTGTTTTGACATCTTTTTGTGTTCTTCTTATGCAACTCCATTTGACTATACATTCTTTTAAAAGGATTTTCCTTTAGGACTCAACAAGCTGATTGTAAAGATTATATTAAGGAAAAATAAGATGGAAACAGCTAAAAAAAAAGGAAGAGTGAAGTGGTAGATCCACCATTGCCAGATCTTAGGACACATAGCCACCGCCATGACAAAAAACTACAACCTTGTGGGATCAGCAAATGTGCAAAGGAAATAGACCGGATGGACCACAGTGTGAGCCAAGGAACCCACTCGGCGCTGTTTAATGGGGGTCACATGGCAGTGAGTGTCTCAACATGGGGGAGAGGGGACAACTTCATAGCCAGAGCTGGGGTAGTTGGAAAAGATGATATAGAGTCAAAGCTCACTTCACTTACTAAACTCACACACAGATTGATTAAATACAAAAAAAAACACATCCGAGAAAAGCTGGTAAAAAAGAGATTCTAGTTTTATCATATCTATAGAGGAAAAATAAGCTTCCTCTGGCTCATAGCAATAGATAAAAAGCACAGCAAAGAAGAATTACGAAGTTGACAATATTGAAAAAGTTAAAACTTCCATACAATAACAAAATTAATGTAAAAAGAGGAGCAATGGTTTGGGAAAAATTTATATAATTGTGAGTAAAGTTTAATATCTATAATATTTAGAAAGCCCATTGTAATTTATAATAGATTAATAAAGGATTTCAGTAGACATTGTGTACAATAAAAATGCAAATGGTGGACAAAAACTTCATCAAATCAAAATAACGTCAATGTACTAATTTGTGTTCACCAGATTTGCAAAATTTTGAAAAATACTATCCAACTTTGGCAAAATTTTGTTGAAGTTAGTATACACAGAAATATCAAAAGCCACAAAAATGCTTATGCCCAATGACCTAACAATGCTATTCCTGAGAATTTATCCCAAAGAAAGAATTCAGAGTAAGAAAAAAATTTGTATATTTTAAGATGTTCATTGCAGTGTTCTTGATAAAAACAATAAATTGAAAATGGCTAAAACACCTTAGAATATGGTAATATTAAAGACAATTATGTCAACATGGTGAAAAAATTAATAGAGTAGAATAGAAATAGTAATAAAATAAATATGGTAATATTAAAGACAGCATGGTGTGAAAAAAAGACAATTATGATGCAGTAGCATAATGGAATATTATTCAGACAAGAAAACAATAAAATAAATACAAAAAAATCACAACTTAGAAAAGTGTTTGATATAATAGCTCAAAGTCGTACACTGATCACAGCAACAGAACAGCGTGTGTGCACAGAGATGTGCAATGAATACAGGGGGATGCTCAGCAGTGGGATAGAAATCACCTAGGGTTTGGTGATAGGATTAGGAGAATAGACTTTATTTTGTTAAAAATTCTTTATAAATTTGTTACTTAAATAATGAATTTTATATTGAAAATAAAGAGACTGAAACAGCAAAAAAAAAGTAAGAAAGAAAGAAAGCAACAATAAAGAAAGGAAAACAAAGGCAAAGCTTTCAACAAGCCTGTGCTCTAAAACCTACTTTGTGAGCTCTTCTCTGTGTGCTTGTATTTCTAATTTCCTGGTCTCTTTACGCTAGAAAAGTCTTCCAGGTCATTTGGCTTGTTCTGCTGGTAATGAAAAAGAAGTTTTCAGGCATCTAGCCGTCTTGTTCCAAATGCTGTCAGGGCTGGAGCCAGCTCCCCTGGCGTGCCCTTACACCGTTTCCTGGGCCTCAAGGTTAGGGAATTAATCACGTAGGCAATGAAGTGAATAAAGAACAGTGTTTACAATTCCGGAACTGCTTGCCCTCTGCTGAACTCTGGTTGCTTATTTGCTCTTTGGCAGAAAAATGGGTGGCTGCAGGTTCAAAATGAATCTAGTCCTCCTCCTTATAGGAGAGGACCCCCACCCTCCTCCAGGCTTGCTTACTCATTTTGAGCCATATGTCATCTGGAGCATGTTAATTTGTCTTAGATGGCCTTGATTGCAGCTGCCACTTTCTTTGTTCCAGGGCAAATATCAGAAAGAACTGTGCAGTCCTCAGGGACTCGGCTCATCGCCTGCAAACTGCTTCCGTGTCTGGCTTCCACATCGTACATTCTCAAATCTGGCTGTACCTGAGAATCAACTATGGAGGGTGTTAAAAATACAGTTTCCTTGACATCACCCTTGGAGGCCCTGAATCAGCAGGGCTGGGGGGAAGCCCAGAAATCTGTGCTTTTACCAAACTCAGCAGAGAATTGTACATGAGGCCAGATTTGAGAATAACTGATCCAGACTCTTCAAGACTTTGCTTGGCCTTCCTGTCTTCCCTCTCTGCCATAAATATTTATGAAGCTCCTACTATGTGCCAGCACACTATTTTTTTGTATGGGGTTGCCCAAACACAATCATGTTCACCACTAAATTGTAGAGCAAAAGTGGGCTCCCCAACTCAATGAAGTAAAGATGTCAGTTCTCCCCAAATTAATTTACTATTCTAATGCAATTAGAATAATTGGTCTAATAACAATTAGGTCTAATGCAATTCCCATCAGATTCCCAGCGAGATCTTTTGTAGACATAGACAAGATTATTCTAAAATTCAGTTTATAATTTTTATTTAATATTTAAATATAATTTACCTTATATAAATAAAAATATTCCTGAAATTTATAGGAAAATGCACAAGCCCTAGAATAGCTAAAAAATCTTGAAAAGTAGAATAAAGTGTGAGGAATCACTGTACCTAATATTAAATCTTACTATGTAGCTACTGTAATGAAGACCGGGTAATATGGCAGAGGGATAGACACACAGATCAATGAAGTAGAATAAAGAACCCAGAACAAGACCCACACAGATATTCCCTACTGATCTTTTGACAAGGTGCAGAAAAAATTTTATGGAGAAAGAACAGCCTTTTAACAAATGGTCTGGCACAGCTGGACATCCGTAGGCAAAAAAAAAATGAAAATGGACCTAAACTTCACACCCTTTACAAAAATGAACTCAAAATGGATCGTGGAGTTGAATGCAAATGTAAAATTGCAAGACTTGTAGGGAAAAAAAGGAAAGAAAATCTTTGGAATCTAGGGCTAAGAAAAGAGCCTTAGACTTGACAGCAAAAACATAATCCATGAAAGTGAAAATTGATACATTGGTCTTTTGGTCTGTGAAAGATGCTATTAAGAGGATGGAAAGACAGACCTCAAACTGAGAGAAAGTTTTTGTAAACTACATGCCCTACGAAGGAGTAATATCTAGATATATAAAGAACTCTTAAAACTCAACAGTAGGAAACCTAAAATCCAATTAGAAAGCAGGCAAAAGACACGAACAGACATTTCATGGAGGATGATACACAGATGCCAAGTAAGCACATGAAAAGAGGTTCAATTTTGTTAGTTTTAGGGAAATGCAAACTCAAACCACAATAAGCTATCTCTACACATGTATCAGAATGGTAAAATAAAAAACAGTGACAAGAGCAAATGCAGGTGAGGATGTGGATGAAGTGGACCACTCAAACGTTGCTGGCAGGAAGGTAAAATGGCACAGTCACTCTGGAAAAACAAGTTTGGCAGTTTCTTATGAAAAAGTAAATGTGCAGTTACCACAGGACTCAGCAGTTGCATAGCAGGCATTCATCTCAGAGAAATGGGAACATGTTCACACAAAAACCTGTACTTGAATGTTCATCGCAGCTTTACTTGTAATAGCCAAAAACCGGAAACAGTCCAGGTGCCCTTCAACAAGGTAACTGTGAACCTTTAATACCCCTGTGGATGGATCTCTAGAGAGTTATGCTGAGAAAAAGTCAGTCACGTAAGTGTGAACAGTATGGTTCCATTTATACAACATTCTTTTTTTTTTTTTTCAGTGGAGGAAAGGATAGTCCTTTCAACAAATTATGATGGAACAACTAGATATCCACAGAGGGGGAAAATGAATTTCAGTGCTTCCTCATACCATATATAAAAATGAACTCAAATGGATCACAAACACAAATGTAAAAACTAAAATATAATACTTCTAGAAGAAAAGAAAATATCTTCATGACTGTGACAAATACAAAGATTTCTTACACAGGATACTGCCTAGATTTTAAAATTCAAAGGGCTTTGGAGTCGGGTAGACTCGAGTTCTGGCACTGATAATATTTAAGCCTTTAGTCTACTTATTTTATTACACTAAATTCAAGTTTCCTCTTCAGTAAGTCTTTTCATAAGGATTAAATGAAATACCGCACAGTCATGCACTGTGTAACATTTCAGTCAATTACAGACTGAATATACGATGGTGGTCCCATAAGATTACTACCATATAGCCAAGGTGTGTAGTAGGCTATCCCATCTAGGTTTGTGTAAGCGCACTCTATGATTTTTGCACAATGTTGAGATCGCCTAATGATGCATTTCTCAGAATATGTCCCCATCGTTATATACATGACTGTATATAAAGTATTTATCACCTTGCTTATTGCATAGTATACCCACAAAATTATAGCTATTAATATAAACAAAAGTGGCTGTCACATTCATGGACTTCTGTAAGATTTGCCTAGATTCTAGCCCGATTCTGCAATTTTCAAGCATCTCAAGTGAATAACAGACAGGTAGAACATTGAAGCTGAGACTTGCATTTTCTTAAGCTGGAGTTCCTAAAGTTCTGGTCATTAAAAAATGTGATACATTGAATGTCATTAAAACAAAAATTTCTGCTTTTTGAAAATCACCTTTAATAAAATGAAAAAGCAAACCACAGACTGGGAGAAAATATTCACAATACATATATCTGATAAAGAACTTATATCTCAAATGCTTATCATTCAATAAGAAGAAGACAAACAACCCAATTTAAAAATGGACAAATTATTTGAACAGACACTTCTCAAAAGATCTACAAATGGCCAATAAACACATGACAGTACACGCAAGATCACTGGTTATTAGAGCCATGCAAATTAAAACACAATGCAGTACTACTACACAGCTACTAGAAGGGCTAACATTCCAAAAGGTGGGCATACCAAGTGTTTGCAAGGATTTTGAGCAGCCAAGACTCTCATACATGGTGGGAATATAAAATGGCACACCCACTTTGGACAACAATTTGGTAGTTTCTTATAAAGTTAATCATACACTTAGCATATAATCTAGCAATTCTACATCTAGGTATTTGCCCAAGAGAAATGAAACATATATGCATACAAAGAGTTAAATATGAGTGTTAATAACAACTCTATTCATAATGGGCAAAAATTGGAAATAGAATCTATCAGCAGGTAAATGTATAAACAAATTTTAGTAAAATTGGAATTACTCAGTAATAATAAGGAAGGAGCTACTTATGCACATCAATCTAAGAGGCGTTTCAAAACTTTAATTTTTTAGTTAAAAAGCTAGACACAAAAGAGTGCATGCTACATGATTTCATTTATATGAAATTTCAAAACAGGAGAAATTCATACATAGTGACAGCTGAATAACATTTGCCTTTGATGGAGGGTGGAGAGAGAATGACAGCAAAGGGACATAGGTGAATGTTTCGGGGTGATGAAAATTTTCTTTATTTTGATTGGGTTACTAGTTGCACGGGTACCCCTTTGTCAAAACTTACCTAACAATACACTTAAGTGAATGTATTTTATTACATGTAAATCATATATGAATAAAATTGATTTAAACTGTAAAAACCCAAACTATATAGTATATGTTTCTTTGATCATAAAACTAATTTCCAATTGATACTCCCTCCCCATTGGCTATGAAAGAAGGAGATACCTAATAGACTTGTGTTGCTCACATATTGGTGACTTGTCTGAAATGCTAAAGGGGAAATCAAAGGAAGTCAAAGTGACAAAGGTATAGAAATGGAGAATAGGTTCATGGTTACTGTAGGTTTAAGGAGCGAGCAGTGTAGCGCGGGGGGGGGGGGGGGGGGCAGGTGGGCCGGAAGTGGGTGTGGTTATAAAAGGGCGTCAGGAGGGATCCTGATGGTGATGGAGCTGTTCTGTATCTTGACTGTGGTGGTTAATACATGAATACCCATGTGATAAAATTGTGTAGAACTTAATACACACACACGAGTACAAGTAAAACAGAAAATCTGCACAAGAGGCTGGGATTGCATCAATGTCAGTATCCCAGTTGTGGTATTGTACTAGTTTTGTAAGATGTTACATTGGGAGAAACTGGGTAAAGGGGACAGGGAGTCATCTGTATTATTTCTTATAACTGCATGTGAATCTATAATTATCTCAAAATAAAAAGTTTATTTAAAAAAAATGGTCCTCCGTACTCTGCTTCCACCATCATGGCTGCTCCACACATTGGCAGGGCGGGGTCTACAGAAAGGGACCCAACCATTGACCGAGAGTGAGCGTGCTCAGCCTCCGCTGCCCACTGTGTCTGAACGGCAGCCCATCTACATAGTCACTGCCACGACCGTGGCACTTGTAGTATTTTTTCATAAATTACAGCTCTGTCCTTCAGCTACACAGGTCTCTGCTGCAGAATAAAGAACTCAGCTTCAGAGTCCATCATGGAGAAAACGAGAAGACTACTGGAACAGCTCTACATGCCTCTGCCCTGTTTTCAGTTTGACACCCATTCACCGAGCACTTACTGCACAGCAGGCTCTGGGTGGGGCTCAGGGGATAGAATGGGTGTGGATGGTGATTGCCCCCAGCAGCCTGCAACCTGTGAAGGAGGAAAACTGCAAACACATCGCTATACTCAATGGGAATAATGCTGTAATGATGGTATAGAGGTAGTGGTGTAGAGAAAATAGGGGTTTTTCCCAGGAGGAAACATTAATCCTGCCTGAGGGGAGGGATGGGGATGGGGTATCAAGGCCTTTCTCTCAGAGGAGTCGTGTAAGCACTGAGGGGCACGGGGAGGAGGCAACGAAGATGGCCCCGTGTGACAGAGTGAGCAGGCGGCAGAGAGGCAGTAAGGAGCCAAGAGATGGGATGGGCACAGAGTGTGAACTAGGCTTTTCAGCAGGTATTTGTTGTAATCAGAACTCTCATCAGAAAGATTAGTCTGGTCTAGGGGCTGGGAGAGCCAAGAAGTAATCAGGTCACCTTGGAGACCACAGCCGATTCCCAGATCAGAAGGAATGGTGGGCCCGTCGACTGAAATGGGGACTATCGAGGAATATCACATTTGATGATCACTTTGGTTTTGTATATTTTGAATTTGAGACATCTCTGGATATGAGGTACTCCAGAGGGATATTTTCAGTAAGGCAGGGTCATCTTGAATTCCGTTGCAAGGGGTACAGTTACGGGGACTCAAAATAATGCTAAGGTGTGGCTCTCTACATGAGAGATTCTGCAAAACGGACCCTAAAGACAGCTATGCTATGAAACTCTTAACACATAAAGGGAGCAGCAGGTGGGGGGCAGTTTAAAGGTAAGTGTAAATGGACACATCTCATGGGTGTGGATGGATGAGGGAAGGAGAGAGAAGGATGTGGTGTCTCCTCTGTCCTTCTTCATCAGACTCCTCATTGATTGACAGACACGCCCCATCTCTTTGATAAGAAATTGCTGAGATCAACAGTCAAAGTTTTCTATCTCCGAATCAGTTCCTAAAACCAAACCTCCTTATTCTCGATGCATACAGAGTAGACCATTAGTTGTTTATTCAGCATCCTTTCCTTTCTGCCAGGGTAAGACCCAGTTGGATTAAAGGCAATTCTTTTTGCTAGTGATAGAACTGATGATTAAATTTAAGCCAGTGAAATATAAGCAGATATTTCGCAGGAACTTTCAAGTAGTTCCCCATGCATCTTTGGGAAAGTTTCCAGAAAGCGGTTATTTATCTACTCCACTGGATAGCTTCTGAAAGCCTTACCTTGACTGCAAGAGGAACCAGTCTTAAGATGAAGCCAAATGAAATCAACATTGTGGATAACAGGGCAAAAATATGGAACGAGTCTCGGTCCTGGTTGACATAATTGAGTTGCTGAATGGATCCACCTGGAACCCTACCCTACAGTGGGACTTGGCGTTCTCACGCCATCAATCTACTCATGTTTAAGCCGGTTTGACTTGCAGCCAAAACCTCCTAACTTATATAAATTAACTGCCTTTCTCCCAGTTCTATTCTTGGGGGCCCTCTAAGTCTATGACTCAAAGACAGAGACGTTCGCCAAACCCGATCTTTTTGCATTTCTGTTTCCCTACCAGGCTTGCCTTTACTGGAATTTTTGAAATTTCCTTTTATCATTTTGAACCAGAAGCCTGACTGTCCACCTGTGTTAGTGAGGATACAATCCTTTTCCTAAAGTGCTCAGTGAGAAGCAGGGAGTCTTAACTATACCTGTGGGTAGAGACTACTCTTGATGGAAGAGCTTTGTCAGAACCTGCTACGTTTCAAGCTCTGTGCCAGGAAGTTTGTGTTTGTAAACCACGTTTACCCTCTACCATAGCCCCGTGGGTTGGGTATCTGTGGTGGTCACACAGGGCTCCTTGGTGGTAGAGCGGGGCTATGTGACTTGTTCTGACCAAACAGCTGTGAGCAGAAGTAATGTGAGCCACTTCCAGACTGGGGCATTTAACTGTGGAGCCCTCCCAGCTCCCTTTCCATCAGCCACAGTGATCACAATGTGGGAGAATCTGGGTGCCCCACCAGCCTGCGAGTTGAAGTCAGGGGGCGCGAGCAGAGCTTCTAGCCGACTAGCACCGGATATGTCCTGAGAGCAAGAATCAAACCTTTACTGCTCTAAGTGACTAAGATTTGAGGTTCATTTATCCTAGCAGCGCAATCTGGTTTATTCTGACTCACATATTATTAGGTTCATTTTTATATATGAGGAAACTGAGACTCAGAGAGGATTCAGTAATTTGTCTGAGGTCACAATAGTGGTACTGAAACTCGGGTCACTCTGGAATCAAGCCCATGCCCTTCTCTCTCAGTCACGATGCCTCCTTAAGGACTTGGCAGAATGGGGAGAATGAGTGGCTTTCCAGACTGTATTAGAAAGACTTTGAGAGACGAGAAAAAGTGAGAAATTCTTTTACTCTGGAAGATTCTCTAAACATTGCATATCAACGTTCTTAGCTCTCACCAAAAAAGTCTCCTCTTTCATCGTGCCTCTCCACACCACTCCCGAAGACAGCATGCTAAGAGACAAAAACATGGACTCCCTTGTTTATATCCTTTGATGGCTAATCCTATAAGACAGCATTCAAATTCCACAGCATAGTACACAAAACACCCCAGGATCTGGCTACAGCCCGGTTCTCCAATTCCAATTCCATCTCTTGACTATCCCTCAAACTCTATCTCATGCCATCTTTTGGAGCCGCATATAGGACCCCAGAACATGCCATGCTCTCTCACGTTCCCTCCTATGCTTCTCTGTGCCAGTCATATCCATGTAGCACACTCTCCCGTCTTCATTCAATTGACATCTACTCATGCTTTAAGAGTCACCTCCTCTGGCAAGCCAGCAGCACTGGTGATCGCCCACCCACGGTCTTATAAGGATTTAGAGGGTAAGGAAGCCAGGAATGGAGAATTCCTCTGAAAAGAGTTGTTGGAATGCCACGGTATTTCCCTTCCACACCTGTTTCCCCTCGTTGGTGGGGGAAGGGGAGAGAGAGGGTAATGCTTCTCCTTCACTTCTGCCCACAGGAGAGGAACTTTAAGAGAAGAATTCATAAGGCTTGACATATGTCTCCTGCAATTCGGTGGTGGTGGGGAACACAAGGGCTTGGTGTCTGACCCGTAGCTGAGCAATCTAAAGGTGAGAGGTGATGGCTGAAACAACATGCCTGGTGGGAGAGCAGAGAGAACGAGGACTGCCCCAGGGGTGAACTGCTGACACCCTTGGTAGAGTAAGGACGTGTAAGCCTTTCTTATAGCCGGGTGGACCTATGGGCAGGGCACAGCCTGGAGCCGCCCAAAAACAAGCAGGGATGGTGTGGACCCACAGAGAGAGAGATCCAGAGCCTCAGCACACACAGAGGATGCATTGGCGAGAATCACACATAGGCACCTTCCCGTGGCTAATGAATTACACGAAGGTAATTGTTCCTTGTTGAGTTGGGAGGTAGAAGGTAAAAGGCTCTTCTTCCCTTTGAGAAGCCCCTCATTGGGGCACAAAACCAAGTCTGCATTTTGGCCTCCACTTACCCATTTGCCTGGAACCTTTATTCATGACCCAAACTACATAAACACATTGGTACCCTGGGGTGGGCCCATGGAAGGTAGGAGCGGAGGAGGGCGTTGTAAACAGCTGGCCAGAGGCAACATCACCCAGGCAATGGGGTTGCACTTGGAGACCTCTCCCAGGAGAATTCTTGGGGAAACCACAAGATCCTTTCTCAGGACAAACAGCCAGCTGTAAATACTCGCCGAGCACAGAGGGCCCAGTGCTGGATTCCCATTGCAGAGGTGTCAGATGCTGAGTCTGGAGGGTAGGATGTGAGGGTGATGCTCAGTGAGAAAGGGGAAACTGACATGCCCATTTCCTGTGCCTGTTTCCAGCTCAAAGGAGTCCTGGCCTCCAGGCGGAGAGAACCTAACAGATAAGAAGTCAGAGGGAGTCTTACACTGAAATGAGACTGTTCCAGGTGCTCAAAGTTATGGACCTGTCCAAGATTTTACATGCAAGGGCCCAGGAAAAAAATGCACCTGGGCATTGCGTTTGAAGGGCATTGGAAAGAAACAAAGAAGTCATCTCCCGCATGCAGACGCAATAAGATGGCCACATCTGTATTCTTGCTGCAAAGCCCAGGGCTTCACAGAGACCAACTGGTAATACAGGAGGATTGAAAGGCAAGAATCCAGCTCCTCTCTTAGAATTTGGCAGTGTTTGCAGTTCGCTTTCTGCCACTTCATGATTTTACTGTTAATAAGCAGAGCTGGGAGTGGAAGGCAGGACATTCACACACAAGAGTTTGTGGCAGGCTCTCCTGCCGACTTAGCAGCACTCTCCCATGGAAGGCTAAGGAGTCTCCTCCTTGTGGTGTGCCCATGCAGAGCGATGGGCTGGTTGAAGCTCTGTGAGTGGACCAATCAATTCATATTTATTGGGCATCTACCATGTACCAGGCCGAGGGACTAGAGAGCCAGGAATTCACAACGAGGTAATTGCATGTCCTTCTGCTCTTTAAATAAAATAGTTTTCGGCCTCCACTGGGATTTTTATTGGCCTTCGACTTTCCACATTTTATTTTTATAGAGTCTTTTATGTGAAGTGTTTCAAAGCTGAGCAGAGAGAAAGTAACACACAGAAAAGGCCCCACAGCTGCTTCTAAGCTCACGGTCCTTATCCACTTGCACTTGGTGGTGCCAGGCGTGAAGAACACCAACCAAAAATAAACCGGGCTGCAAAACAGAGGCCCATACCATGGTGGATCCTGTGGAAGGGTGCTGTCACTGACGGGGTTCTTTTCTTTCTGTCAGTGTTTCTTGTTCTTAGTTATCTGTTCTTCCCTGGCCCAAAGCCAGGTTTAGAAAACCCTGAACTGATCATGGGCCTTGAGGATTGTGAAGAAGTGACTTTGGTCCTGAGATCCTGGGTGTGAGCTGTCCACTGGGGTCTGGGAGGCCCTCATGAGTCCTCTCTGATTGTGTCTAAGACCCGTGGCTTGGGATGAGGGGCCATTTTGGCAGTAAATTCCCGCACTTGAAAAGGGGCAGATGGGCCCCACCTCAGCAGAGAGCAGGCATTTGCCTGGCCCTCAGGGTCCATCCCAGAGGGAGTCCAGGGATGAGAGCACAGACCAGGGGCAGGGATGCAGACCGTGAGATTCCAGAATCAGCTTGACTTCTCTGTGTTGGTCACTCTGCTTCCCCATTTGAGCTTCCCCAGGGATCTTCAGAGAGGGAAGGGCCAGACAGGACACCAGGAGGTGGTGTCTGGGGTCAGCAAGGAGGGGACCACTGAGCGACTCCTCAGCTGGGCTAGAAAGGGGGCCTGGAGAATGGACAAGGAGAGGCAGAGCTGAAGCCTGGGCTGGAGGACCAGAGTGAGACCAGGCCTGCACTGAGGAGCAAGGGCCTGGGGTTGCGTGGTGCTCAGCTCCAGTTCAGCTCAAGAATATGGTCTCTCCTTGGAGCAACACGGAAGGCTGTGGGCTGAGTGAGGCAGGTCTCATTATGCCTTCAAGGGAACTGGACCCACCAGGGTAGTTCCGGTAGGACCAGATGAAGAGAGGCGTGCTGGTCGAGATAAAAAGATTCTGGCTTCAGGTACTGAGGCAATTTCTACCCCCTGGATTCCCCCTACACTGACCACCCTAGCTGAAACTGTCTCAACGGACCTGGTAGCCAACTGACCTCACAGTCTGGCACAGGCAAGTGACTCCTTCTGCAAAAGTCTATCCTGTCCAAAGTGCCTACTCTACCCGGCCGGGCACACTCGGACACTGCAAACCCATCTCCTACCTCGGCACCTCTGGGACTCGGGAGGGGGCTTAGCGACACGTGTGAACCAGGTGATCACCCCCAGAGGACACAGTCCTCAGGGGTTCAGGATTAGGCATGACTCAGAGAGTGGGGGGCACTATGAGCCTGGCCTGGGAGAGGGCCACGGACAGGGCGGGGAACCAGCGGCCACCTGTGCTCCACCTCTGGGTCCGCGGTGGGCGGGGCGGTGCCTCGGAGGACAAGCAGAGCTGCAGTGCGCAGGCTCTCGGGCCCCGCGGGGATTGGACGGCGCCGGCCGGCCGGGCCTGCGGGCTCCCTGGACGACCCAACTGGCCAGCTGGGCTGCGGCGGGCGGGTATGGGCGGTTGGGGCGGGCGGGCCGGCAGGTGGCGGGGGAGCGGCCAGGTGAGACGGAGGAGGGGAGCGCTGCGGGGTGACAAGGCTGACTTGACCCCAGCCCGGGCAGTGGTCCCGAGAGGAAGATGCCACTGATGCCCGGGGGACGAAGGAGTGGCCCGGGGCCCGGGACATCAGGAGGCCTGCCTGGGCTGGGGTCGGGCGAGCCCTGGGCGGAGTGAGGCCGGAGTCCGCTGAAGCCTGGGGGCAGACTCGGCCTGGGCAGTGTGATGCCCGGCCGTACTGTGACATATGTTGTGGTCCCTGTGTGTGACAGGTCTGGGATGGGAAACACCTTGGCTCTGTGGTAAAGAAAGGCCTTGAACTCTGGTTGAGGAGCATGGAGCTGATATGATTGGTAAGAAGCCGTAAGCAGGTCCTAAGACGTGGGCTCCCCTCGCCTGGGCTGGGGAGGCTTGGAGGCCAAGAAGTCCGTTCTCAGGACCGGTGAGGATTGAGAGGCCTAGAGAGAAACAGAGCATTAATTCCTCATTTAATTCAACAGCTGTTTTTGAACACCTCCTGCGTGCCAGGTACTGTTCTAGAAGTTGGAAATATCGATGAACAAGATAGGCAAGGTCCTGGCCTTCATGGACTTATATTCCACGTGGGAGATGGCCATTCAGGGCTGAGTCCTGGACTTTTGCCTTGCCCTTTAACAAGAAGGGGGAAACCGGAGGTGGGGGGTAGGTTTCATTTTTGGAAGGGGTGGAATCTGGAATTATGTTTTGAATATGTCAGGTTTGAGATGCCTAGTGGGTTTTTTTCCAGCACACAACTCACGAACAGTAGAGTTGGAAAGAATTTTACAGTTAACTCTATGCTCGCCACCTGGATCCTTCCATTAACACTTACTTACACTTTTGTTTTCATATATCTGTTCCTCCCTCCATCCCTGTCTCCATCTGTCAATCATCTGGTAGATTTGTTTTTTGACTGTGGTAAAATATACGTGACAGAAATCACCTAGTGGATTTTTAAGTCGAGATGTCAAGTAGGCCTTCGGAAATTTGAGTGTGAAGATCTGGGCAATGTGAGGGCTACAGCTGGTTTTTAAAATCATCACCACAGAGATGGTATTTTAACTAAGGGTCTGGATGAAACCACCTCGGTTGAGAGTGTACATAAGAGGAGGGGAAGCCAAAAAAGGCGGAAGTCGTGGGCCACCGTGGTGACTGCTACTGTGTAAGATGGATCTGGCAATTAGGAGGATTTTAATAATTTTAACAACTTTAATGGAGTAGCGGGGCATTAAGGTCAAGTGGAATTTTTTTTTTTTTTTATGATAGAGGAAACTAGAATATGTTTATATGCCACGGGGATTGAACTCATAGAAAGGGAGAAATGCAGATGAGAGGAGGAAGCATTGTAGGTGTAGGGCCTTGAACAACTGAGAGGGGAGGAGACCCCAGAACGGGAGGGTAGCTGGCTTTGAAATGAGCAGGAATACCTATTGTGTTGTCAGTAGAGGGGAAGCTGAGTCAGTGGGTGCAGAGGCAGACAGGGATAGAGGCACCGTCTGTCTGTGAAGGCAGTCACTGGCTGAGAGGAAGGACAGTGGGGGAGAGGACAAGAGCTGTGAGAACTGGGAGGAGAGACATGTGACAGAGTCCTTCTGGAGAGTGGGAAAGCCCACTCACTAGGGAAAGGGGTGGCGTTGCCAGGCAGTGTGGACTACCCATGTGGGATGTGTCATCATGAGTTTAAAGCGTGATCAGCCAGGGGGTTGTGTGGTTTTCTGTGGGAATGTTCAAGCTTGGAAGGGTGTCCTGAGGATTAAGTGAGATCATGCATGGAAAGCATTTAAGACGGTGGCAAGCACGTGATGGATGTTACCATTTTTGTTTGAATTCTCTCTCTCTTTTTTTTTTTTTGTATAAATGTCAGTGCGGAGGGCTGACATTTACTGCTAGACAGGATCTCCTGTGACGTGTTCTCCAGTCAAACCAGCGGCCGCTGCCGTTTGCAGCTACTGGGAAGTCTGGCTCCTGTGCGGTTACATTCATACAGCTTGATAATCGAGGATGTTTGCTAAAAGAGCCAAACTATAGCAAATAGAACTCTCCATTGTCAGACATCCTAGTCTTGGACTGGATGGCCTTGGGGTGGGGGGAGGGGGGGTTTGTCATAGTGGCAGTTCTTGAGTTTCTGTGAAAATCTTTTATTACCGCATTTCATATTGCACCCGATGTACTGGGAATCTACAGATCTAAGATCACTAGGGGAAATCTTCAGTTTAAAAGGTTATTAGTTCTTCCTGACCAGTTGGGCTGTGTCATGATTCAAATAATAATAATGGCTCCCAGTGACACCTCTTAAAAGTGCCCCGCATGCACAATTGTGTCTAACCCTCACCTCCACTCTGTGAGGCAGGCACTATTATTATCCTTGTTTTTCAGATGCAAAAAGAGGCTCAGAGAGGTTAAGTAACTTGCCCAGGGTACGCATAGCCTGATCTCCAGTTTCTGCTGCTGAGTTTAAGTTTTTTTTAAAGACTGCTTGGCTGTCACTCGTCTGCACTCTACTGGAGTAGATAAGGCAACAAATGGAAGCAGAGTGCCTGCGTTCAAAAACTGCCGCTTACTAGCTATGTGACTTTGGGCAAATCGTATAACCTCTGTGTGCCTTTGTTTCTTTATCTGTGAGATGGGAATAGTAACAGTCCTGCCTGCTAGGGTTCTTGTGAAGATCCCATGAGTTAATAGACTCAGTAAGCCTGAACTAGAGCCTGCTTGTTTCAGTGCTGCTGTTGTCCGCTGTCTGGTAGTGCAGCCGTGGTGGTATGGTGTACTGATTGACTCCCCTAAAATCGTTCCCTGAGGGTCCTGCCATGGTGTCTGGGCAGAGTTTGAGAATTGCGTGGCGCTCTGTGGATGCTCCTAACTCAGGGGTCACTTTTGTTTCCTTCAATTCTATTCTCTCTCTGTGGGAAGCAAACATAACAATTTGTTTCTCGGTGCGGAAAACAACTCGGACTTCATTCAGAGTCACTGGACCAGTGGGGTTCATTTCATTAGCCCTGGCATTGCCTACCACTTAAAGGGAAATAAGGCTTGGGGAGCAGTGTGATGCCATTTTGCCAACCCCAAATCGGCAGCCCTTTGGAGGTATTTGGAGAAAGGCCGATGAACTACACAGCAGGGGCTGGGCACAGCGTATGGTAAATGATGTGGGTCAGTGGGCTGCACGTGAAAATGCTCTGAAAAGATCTGTAAAACTTAGATGTACTGTGATGTGTGGCCTCAGTTACTGATTAAAAGCCACTGGACAGACTTGGCACAGGAGGCCGGTGGAAGTTCTAATGATCCAGGACAGGGAGAGTAAACGCATGGTATAAAGGAGTGGTTCCCACTGGGTTTGCAGCTGAATCACCAGGAGGGAGTTTTATGAGTTTTATGAAGCTTTGCAAAATGACCGGCTCCAATTCCACAGATTCTGGATCAATAAGTCATGGCAGGGTTCTGGAATCAATCTATTTTTTAGGAGCTCCCAGAGTGGCTTGGATGAGCAGCTAGCGTGGGTTATCATTAGTGCAAATCAGTGCTTTTCAGCCCTGACTGTTCAGTTAGCTTTTAAAAAAGTACTGATGCTCTGGACCCACCCCGGGGACTCTCATTTAATTGGCCTGGGCATGGTCTGGATATTTGGTATTGGTATTTTTTAAAAAGCTTCTTGGGTGAGTCTACCCTGCAGCCAGGTGTGAGAGTCACTGGTATGAATAATCAGAAAGATTTCCCTCCCTCCCATGCAGCAACTCTGGGAGATGTATATCATGCCCACTTGGTAGGTGAGAATTTTCAGGCTGAGGGACGTCAGTCACTTGCCCAAGATTTGCACACAGGTGTGTACAGCTTCGAGGCCCAGTTTCCATTCCTCAGTGGCTCTCAGCCTTGGCTGCACAGCTGGATCACCTGGGGGACCTTAAGGACCACTGCTTGGGCCCCATTCTCAGAGATTCTGACTTCATTGGTGTGGTATGGCTTGGAATCAGGACTTTGCGAAGCTCTCCAGGTAATTCTGATGTGCACCTGAAATGGGCACTCCCTGCGTTACCCCATGCAGCCTCCTGGTGGTCGAAATTCATTTTCTTTTACAACAGCAGGTTGTCCCTCTGTAGAGGGCGGTGACTGGGTTCCTTGCCTCCATATACTCACTTATCTTAGTGTCCTTTCTGCTCCTTCCTGCCTTCAAATTTAACTATAAATATGTGTTGAGTGCCTACTTTGTGCCATTCTTCTTGGTGCTGAGATGACAGATGGTGACAAGACGGACCAAGTCACCAGCCTCATGGCACTTATGTTGAGGGAGACTGACAGTAAGGGTACATATGGAGCAGTGGAGCAGATACATATGAACTTACATACATAAGCAAACTTGAAGGTAGTGAAAAGTGCTTTTAAGAAAAATAAAGCAGGGTAATGAGTAGAGTGACCCTAACAGCTATGCCTGAGAGTTGTAGTTGCTCCACAGCCTCGCCAGAACCGCTTTGTATTGTGTGTGTGTGTGTGTGTGTTTCATTTTAGCCATTCTAATAGGTCTGTGATGCTGAAAGCTCTGCCACCAGTATTTCAAGTAGCAGGGTCACCCCTGGTGGACAGGTTTCAGCAGACCTTCTAGACTAAGACAGACTAGGAAGAAGGACCTGGCCACCCACTTCCAAAATCAATGGCCGTGAAAACCCTGTGAACAGCAGTGGAGCATTATCTGATGCAGCACCAGAAGGTGAGAGGATGGTGCGGAAAGACCGAGCAGGGCTCTGCTCTCCTGGGCACAGGGTCGCTAGGAGTCGGTGTCAACACAAGGGCACTAACAACAGTAGGTATGTAGTGGTATCTCATTATTGTTTTCTTCTGCATTTTCTGTTGACCAGTGGTGGTGAGCATCTTTTCATATATTTATTTACTATTTGTGTTTCTTCTTTGGTCTAGTGTCTTTCAAGTCTTTTTGCCCATTAAAAAAATTGGGTTGTTTTTCTTCTGTCTGAGTTATAAGGGTCCTTATATGTTTGGGATACAAGTCCTTTTTCCGATACGTGTTTTCTCCCATTCTGTGGCCTGTCTTTGTATTTTTTTAATGCTATCTTTTGAAGAGCAGAAGTTTTTAATTTTTATGAGTCCAGTTACCAGTTTTTCTTTTGTGGTTTGAGCACCTAGTGTGCTAAGGTATGTCTTCTTCCATACTTTTGGAAGCTAGAGTCTGAAATCTGGGTGTCAGCAGGGCCGTGCTCTCTCTGAAAGCTATGGGGAGGGTCCTTCCTTGCCTCGTCCCATCTTTCGGTGGTTGCTGGCAGTCCTTGGCGTCACAATTCAGTTGGTTGACACAATTCAAACCAAAACAGCCTTCCCTCCACCCCCCAAA